TGCTGCCCAGTGTGAACTCAATCTCAGCACGGTGTGCCTGCGATTGTATTCGTATCGTATTTGTTCGATTGATTTATTCGTTTTTTGAGGGGTTGGAATGCAGAAACACAACCATGATGGGGGTTTGGATGTTGTCATGAACCGGTTGTCGTTGTAGATTGTATGTTGTTCGTTTATGTCATGACACGAACGAAAAAAAACAAAACCAAAAAGACAAGATATAGTCGGGTGGCAAATATAAGGGGAAAAACAATCTCCTGTTCAAGTATGTCTAAGTCAAAAAGATCCTAGCTGTAGGTATAACCCCCATCGGAATCCTCACCTGATGCCTTTCAATCAGAGCCTCCGCTCCAGTGACATCGTTTGCCAGCTCGTCGGAGGTCACCAGGCTCATCATCGAGTTGATCCAGGCGAGCAGGTCGCGGTAGTCGCTGAGGAAGCGCTGCAGGTCGTACGAGTCCAGCAGCTTCTCCTTGCGGGCGGTCGACTTGGTGATGATCTGATCCCACATCTCGTTGATCTCCTTCTGCTTGGCGTATGTCTGCTCGGCGGTGTCCGGATGCGACTGCATCAGCCTGTTGGCGGTCTCGTCCAGCTGGCGAATCTTGTCGCGCAAGGCGGCCAAGTCGCGCTCAACACCCTCGTGCTTGCGCTGCAGTGTCTGGACACTGCGCAGGTCCTTGCCCAGGTCGTCGTTGTTCAGGGCATTGGCCTTCTCCGCGATCCAGTCCTTGGTCTCGTCGATGTCGCGATGGAAGCGCTGCACCTCGTGCGCGGAGCCCAGCTGACTGGCCTTCTCGGCGGTGAGAGTCTGCAGGTTGTTCCACTTCTCGTTGAGGTCCTGCATCTGGGTCTGGATCTTCAGGGCGGCCTCCGTCTGTCCCAGGGAAGTCAGCTGCACGGCGATCTCGTTCATGTTGGCCAGCCGCACCTCGTTGGCCTTCAGGTCGTCGTTGAAGTCGTCGAACTTCTTCTGGAGCACCTCCACCTCTTCAAGATCCTCGCCCACGACGTCGGCGACTTGGGCGTGGTTCTCCTTGTCCCGGATCCACTGGGCCAAGTCGGCGGCCTCGCGCACCAGGACGTAGGCCTTCACCGTCTCGTTCAGCTTGTTCTGGCGCTCGCGGGCGAGGGCCAGCAGGTTGTCGTACTGCGAGTTGATCTGGTTCTGGCGCTTGGCAATAGAGTGGTTGTCCACCAGGTTCTGCTGCGAGGCGCTCAGACCGGCCTCGATCTTCTTGATGTAGGCGGCCGGGACGAAGCCCTGACGGTCGTTGACCTCCACCTTCCACCAGTCCTTGTTGTTCGAGTTCAGCAGGGTCAGCACATCGCCCTTCTTCATCGAGACCTCGCGCGGCGACTTCTCCGTGTAGTCGTAAAGGGCGACCACGCACTCCTTGCCGGTGATGTCCACCACGGGCGTCTCCTGCTGACGGCAGTTCTTGGCCTGCTCCTGCAGCGCTTGGATGGTGTTGCCGAAGGCCTCCAGATCGGAGACCAGGGCTTCGTGCTTCTTGAGCAGCGCCTCCGAGGAGTCCTCGTCCTTGCCGTAGTCACTGCCCGTGGCGATCGGCTCCTTCTCGCGCATCCACGACTCCGCCTCGTTGGCATCGGCGAAGTACTGGTGGGCCTGGAGGGAGTCGTCCAAGTCCTGCTTGCGCTGGCTGGACTTCTCCTTCAGGGTGTTCCACTGCTCCTGCAGTGCCTCCAAGCGCTGACGGATGTCGTCGCTGGCGAAGGGCTGGTCCTTCAGCATGTTCTCGCCCGAGCTGATCACGTTCAGCAGCCTGGCCTCGTGGTTGTTGATCTCGGCCAGCACAGCCTGGTGCTTCTTGATCAGATTCTGTACGCCAATCAAGTCGCGACCGCGGTTCGTGGATGCGGCAATGGGTTCCTTCTCGCGGATCCAGGCAGCCTCGTCCTCCAGGTCGCGGAAGAGCTGCTGCACCTGCAGGGAGTCCAGGAGGTGCTGCTTCCGCTCGCCCATCGGGGCGGCCAGGGCGGCGTAGCGAGCCGAGAGGTTGCCCTCCTTGTTGCGGATGTTGTCCGCATCGAAGTGGCCGGATTCGATGAACTTGTTGGCCGCGACCTTGATGCTCTCAATGCGATCCTGGTGGGCCATCACATCGGCCTCCAGGAGGGCGTGCTTCTTCTGCAGGTTCTGGACGGAGGTCAGGTCCTTGCCGTGATCCTCGGACAGCAGTTGACCCTCGATCTCGCTCAACCACAGCTCGATGTCCTCGATGGTGCGGTTGAACTGCTGCTGCTGGCAGGCCTCGTTCAGCTTGGTGCCCTTCTTGTCCGAGGCCTGGACGAGCGTCTCCCACAGCACCACGATCTCCTGCATGCGGGTGTTGATCTGGTCGGCGGCATAGTGCTCCTTCTCGATCAGCTCGGTGCCCACGTTGGTGATGTCCTCGATGCGCGACTTGTTGGCGTTCAGCTCGTGCTCGAAGTTCTGGTGCTTCTGCATCTTGCCGTTCAGGTTGGTCGGATCCAGATAGCTGTCGTCCGTGGCGAACTTCAGCTTCTCACTGATCCAGCCCTTGGTCTCGTCGCAATCGCGCTCGAACTGCTGGTAGCGGTTGGAGTCCTCCAGCAGCTGACGGCGCTTAGAGGACTTCTCCTGCAGGGCAGCTCGCCGGGCCAGGAGCATCTGGCGCCGCTGGGCCACATCGTCGGCGGCATAGTGCTGGCCGTCAATCAACTTGGTGGCGAAGATGTCCAGCGCCTTGATCTTCTCCTCCTGGGCGGCAAGACTCTTCTCGAAGTCCTCGTGCTTCTTGATCAGCGCCTCCACGGAGTCGAGCGAGTCGCCGAGATCCTCGTTGGCCAGGAAGGCCTCCTGCTTGGCCATCCAGGTGTCGGCCTGCTCGGTGTCGCGGTAGAACAGCTGCAGGTCCATGCACTGCTCGTACAGGATGCGACGATCCTCCCACAGCGACAGCAGCGAGCTCTTGTCGTTCTCCAGAGCGGCCAGCTTCTCCTGGATTTCGGCGGCGGCATAGTGCTCGCGCTCCAACAGCTTCTTTCCGGACTCCGTGGTCAACTTAAAGCTGTCCTCGCGGGCATCGATCTCGCCCTTGTGCTCCTGGTGGCGTTCCAACAGAGCCTCTGCCCCAGCCACATCCTTTGCCAACTCATCGGCCGAGATGATGGCCTTCATGCCGTTGATCCAGGACACCAGGTCACGGAAGTCGGCGAGGAATCGGTGCAGGTAGTACGACTCGTCCAGTATCTGCTTACGCTCGCGGGCCTTGGTGGTGAGACTCTGCCAGTAGTTGGCGATCTCGGCCTGCTTGTCGCGAATCTGGTCGCTGTGGTCCGCGTGGATGGAGCAGAGACGCTGCGCCTCGGCTCCCAGGGTGGAGACCTTATCCTCCAGAGCGGCCAAGTCGCGCTCCACACCCTCGTGCTTGCGCTGCAGAGCCTGGACACTGGCCAAGTCGCGACCGTAGTCGTCGGACGAAAGAACAACGTCCTTTTCGGCAATCCAGGCCACAGTCTCGTCGGCATCGCGATTGAAACGCTGGATCTCGTGGGCGCCGAACAGCTTCTCCTGGCGCACGATGGCCAGCTGCTTCAGGCGCTGCCAAGCCTCGTTCAGCTCCTCCTTGCGCTTGGTGATGGTATCGCGCTCGGGATGGCCGTCCTGCACCAACTTGTCGGCCAACTGGTTGACCTCGGTCACGCGGTACTCCTGCGAAGCCATGTCCTTCTGGAACTCGTCGAATTTGCGCTGTAGGACCTCCACATGCTCCAGATCCTGACCGTACTCATCGGCGGTGACAAAGGTCTCCTTGTCCTTGATCCAGAACATAACCTCTTCGCACTGGCGCAGGAACTGCACCAGAACAAGAGCCTGCTGCAACTTCAGACCCTTCTCGGCCAGTCGGCTGAGGAGCAGCTCCCACAGCTTGTGCAGCTCGTCGAGGCGCAGCTGGATGGTCTCGGAGGCAAAGTGCTGCTGGTTGATCATCTCCTGGCCGGTGTTGTCCAGCGAAACGATGGCGTTGCTGTGCGCCGACACCTCCGCCTCGAAGGCCTGGTGCTTTTGGATCTTGGCCTGCAGATTGGTCGGATCGCGGTAGCTCTCCTCGCTGGCCGCCTGCAGCTTCTCGTGGATCCAGGACTCCAGCTCGTCGGCATCGCGCTTGAAGTACTGGAAGCGGCGCGAGTCCTCGAGCTTTTCGCGCTTCTGTCGCGTTTCGATCTTGAAGTCATTGTAGCGGGACAGCACCTGCTCACGTCGTTCCTGGATGTCCTCGACTGTCTCGAGGATTTTCACCTCCTTGGGTGTGAAGTTCTCCATTTCGCTGGTTCGTTTACTTGTTTAGTTACTTAAGTTATTCGTTCGTTTCGGTAATAAACAGCTTAAAGAAAATAAAATAGTTTAGTATGAATTACATTTAGTTATTTAGTTAACCAATTTACCTTAAGCTGCTCCGGGCGCTAAACGGTGTCAATTTAATACTGCTGCTAATGCTTTCCCTTCATCAAACAGATGACCGTGTTTTCCTGTAAACGAAGTGGAGGGGGAATAATTAGTTAAATTCGGTTTAATCAACACAAATACAATCGCAGCCAGGCAATTACCTAATCATTGGGTCATTCATAAAATGGGAAACACACACATTCATCAAAGCGAAACCAGAAAACAGTGGTGGCTGGCACCAAACAAACTTTACTATCTTTACAATTGTTTTGCGTTTTGAAACATATTTTGAGAAACTATTTATTAATTCTTTATTTCATAAACCAATTCAAAGTAAAGGAATATAATTTCCGCTTTGTTTTCAACTGAACTTAGGTCGATGATCACATCGGTTGACAACCTCGCTCCCTTTTGATGGCCTCAACGTTTGCACACCCCAACCAAACTAAAACTGCGAAAGTGACGCATTCCCCGGCTGATTAGGTTCCGTCAGCTATCGCTATCTTATCGGCCAGCGTACTCAATAAACTCAGCTCCTCGATTCCGAGTTATTTTTAGCAGGGAATTACAAAAACTAAATTCTTTATTCGAAACATAAATGGTGAATGACATAACCAACAGGTGAAACTTAAAAACTATCCAGATCTCGCGATAAATCGGCCAGCATCTCCATGAAGAGGTGTGACTTGGCCTCGTCTTCGTGGTCATCTCCTCCAGAGGCGTCGTGGCCGCTGGTGTCCATTCCGGAAAGCGAGAGTTGCTGCAGCAGGTCGGAAAGAGTGCTCCACACATTCTGCGGCCAATTTTCGGCAAAGAGCGGCATAAAGAGTTCATTGAGTTGATCCGCCCGCACTGCTCCCGATTGCAACATGGCCTGCAGTAGGTTTTTCAGCAGAGAAAAGCTCTCGGGATTGTTGCCCATTTCCTGTATGAAACTGATGCTGAGCAGACCCTCGAAAATTCCGGGCGCAGCTTCACTGGCCATAAATTGCGGCGAGTGCCACACAGAACAGCAGGCGGTGACTACACCCTCGTCGAGGAAATTGGGTTTTCGGTTGATGAGCAATTGCAGAAGATGCACCAGTCCCGAGCCAATTAGGTGATAGAAAACCGTGGGCATTTGGGGAAACAGAACCGCCCGTTGGGATCGTCGGAGCAGCTCTGTTAGCTCATCCCTGCTGCCCACGTTTTCCGGACGCAAGCTGAGGCAGTGCAGCCACTGCTGCAGCTGGTAGAGCAGCTCCGACAGGCTGAAGCCCACATCCGGACTGAGCTGCAGCTCGCTGGAGCCACCGGCGGCAGTCGCCGCCTCCGCCTTGTTCCTGTTCGAGTGGCAGACCTTGGTGGCCAGCTCCTGTAAGTCACCGTGGTAGAAGGTGCTCTGCAGCACGCTGGATTGGAGCCACTGCTGCAACTGGGACTGAGCTTGTATGCGAATCAAATGGGCGTAGGTCGAACGCAGAACCGCGTTGGTGCTGGCGGGCAGAAGGGCCTCCAGGGATTGACCGATGCGCCGGTCCAACATCTGCGGCACCTGCTCCTTCCACCGCTGACAGGCCTTCTCCTTGGCCGCCTGGAAAATCTGCTGCAGTTTCTGGTAAACCTCATCCTGCTTCATAGAGCTGATTTCGTTGACCTCGGCATCCGCCGAGGCCTTCGATGGGATCAGAATCTCCTGCTGGGCATCCTTGACCACACACTTAAAGCTGCGCTCCGTCACGAACTCAATTAATCTTCTGGTGGAGGCGTTCTGCGAGTGCAGGAAGGCGTCGGCCAACTTGCGCTGCTGCTGCTCCGTGGGAGATAGTTCGCTGGGAGCCAGCGCCTCCTTGGCGGTGGCACTGCTACTCTGCTGCAGCTGCTCCAACCGAGTGGTTATGTACCGGAAGCGACCGCTCCTCGCCTGGCGAGAGGGCGTGATGCTCACCCGGAACTCTTGGAGAAAGGGACAGGCAACAGGCAGAAGTTCATCCATCAGGGGAGCAAATGACTTCTCGGGGCAACGAAGACTGCTCAGGCAGAGCTCCACAATCGCTGAGGTGGTGCCATTTTCAGCCTCATGAGCCCGGTAATTGTAGTAGTTGTTCACCAACTGCGGCTGAGCATCCAGCAACCAGCCAATGCAACTTCTGGTTATGAACACAGCCCCGGACTGCAGTTTGTCCACGTGTATGGCAGCATACAATCCGTAGAGCAGCTCCAAAGTGGCCAAAGAGTCTGGAAGGTGCAAGCTAACCAGATCGAGCATAACCAGATATTGAACCAGCCACGGCAATGTGATGAGCAGCTTTCCTTGCCGCATGGAGCGCTCAAGTATCTCGCGGAGATTGAAGTTCGGGTGAAAGTGGCTGCGAAGCTGCAACTGCTGGGGGCAAACATACGGCGCTGAGGGACTGCCGTGCTGCGTGGTTCCACTGAAAGGCAAAACAGTTACAAAGCCCAGAAACTTGGACAAAATCAGCATGTTGGCCATGGTCTGGACGCGAACAATGCACGGACCCTGCTGGGCGGACTGCTCCTCCGTGCCCACATCCTCGGCCAGCTGGAGCAAATCGAAGGTGGAATCGTTGTGGCGCAACAGCTGGACAAAGAGAGCCAGTTTGAGATGCACAAGAAAAGCCACCGATGAACAGCCGGCAATAAAGTCTCGAAAGAAGGCTTGCGACCGTGGAAACTGACCCTCTACACTCGAGTTGGAGGTCACCAGGCGCTGGGCCAGTTTGTTGTGCCTGAGGGGATCCAGCTTGAGGCCCAGCTCTTCGGGAGATTCAGCGGTCTCTGTGCCCGAGATTAACAGCTGGCTGACAAACAACTTGGCAAAGTGGGCCATATTCACCGGGTGCTCCGATACCTTAAAGATTTCTTTAATTCGTGGCGTTAGTTCGCTGGCAAAGTTGAACATTCGATTCAGGTGACTCTGCTCCCACTGCTTCAGGGCTTTGTAGAAGAGATCCCTCTGGGCCTTGAAGGCCCCAAACTCGTTTTGTGTCGGAAAGTTCTCCCGCGAGTCCTTCTCCACGTGGTAGTAGACATTTTGCTGCGAAAAAGAAGAACTTTCGTGTGCGAAGGGTGTGGACGTCTCCTGTTTCTGTTGGCAGGAGACCTCCAGTTGTTTGACGATTTCCGGAGGCAGAAGGCTCAATCTCTCGTTTTGAAGCAACACCACCAAAGTCCTCTTGTCCAGCTGCAGAAGCAACTTTTGCTGGTTCTCCAGCAGTTTCAAGGCGAAGTAAACACAGCTTTTGTATTGGGCGAGTCGCTCGAGAGGCGCAGAAGGAGCATCCGACTCCACTGGGTGTTGTCCAGGATCTCTTATGTTAAGCAACTGCAACACAAAGCTCAGTTCGCTCAAGACATTAGGCACTAGATTCAGATCCATCAGAAGGCCATAAATTGCGGAGAGTAGCACCAACTGGTTGGTATCGCTCACATCCTCCAGGCTCAAGCATTCCCCAGCGATTACCTCGTCTTCCGGCGTTCTCTCCTGCTGACTGACATTCACGGGCGCCTCGCTTTTAATCTCCTGCTTGTTAAGCAGCAGGGATTTGCGGGCCTCCATTTCCAGGGCCGCACCTTGACTTCTATCAAAGATTTCGCTGTTCTGCGAGATTCGCCATAGGTTGTTATCATTGCTAAAGGAACTAGTGTCGCCAAACGAAGAGTTGGCTGAGACATTCTTGCTGATGGTCATGGGTAAGACCCGTCGACGCGGTTTGGATTGAGGTGTTGCTCCGGCGGCAGTTCCTGTAATCGCTCCTGAATGTTGATTATGCTGCTGTTGTTGAGGCGTTGTCTTCTTCTTGGATCTTTGATGACTTTGGTTGGGCGTGGACAAAAAGTCGCCCAGGCAGAAGCTGTTCCCTCCTCCGCCGGCTCCACCGCCGCCACTCCTGTTAGGCGTACTGCAAAACTGACCGCCACTTGCGGGCGTGGATCTTCGACCCTGCGGCTGTTGACGAGACGGAGTGGTAGTCGAAGTGGAGGACACACTGCAGCTGCTCCGATTCAGAAGAGAGTCGCTAAGTTGGTGTGGCTGCTCCTCCAGATTCTTGGGTGCATCGGCAGGCGGTGGCTTGGCCTGACGAATGGGGGTTAGGGAATGCACCGGAGTCTCCGAACTGCGACTGTAGAAATATGGCTTGGTGGTCTTGCGCAGTGCAGCCAAGAAATAAGCGGCAAACTCTTCTAGGCTGCAATTGTTTTGGTTATTTCCCTTTCCGCCCCTTTTAAAGTAGGCGACGAACTTCTGCTGCAGCTGGAGGCGTGGCACCTTCTCCAATTGCGCAAGCAGCTTCTGCAAATGCTTTTCCTCCGACATAGTCATTTTAAAATCTCCGGAGCATGACCCGCGCTGCGCTATTTATTTCTGTCTCAGCTCGAGCTATTTTTGACCTTTCAACTTCTCTCTCCCTTTTGTTTCCCTGCAACGGAAGAGGAGAGAGGGGAAACGTTGGCTCGGCTTTTCTGGGTTTTCGTTTTCTAATTTATTTTTAAACTTGTTTGGATAGGGTTGAAGTTGCAGGATTTTGTTTTGCTTTAGTTCTTTTTCTCGTATTGACATCACTTTTTCACACACACTATTCTAAATCAGAGTACATAACTGCACGAAAGACATTACGAGTTAACAATTTAGGCGGCGATGACATCATCACCTGTACTAAAAGTAACAAAGTTAAGTATTGGTTAGGGGAGAAGGGTTGAAGTACGCCGAGCTTGTTTGTCAAATATCGAAAAAATAAATTTTTATTTTTGTATTAGGTTTCTTTTGCCATGTAAAACTTATAAGCAAATAAAAATATTAAGCAAAAAATCATTATTTATCTTTCCATTATAAAAAAGGCAAGGTAATTTCTAAAAATTATTTTTGCAATCTATAAATTATTTGTATATCGCACTATATGTTTTTTTCGAATGCTTTTATATTTTAAGTAGTTGTACATAAACAGTTTCTCCTGTACCAAGCAAATAAACATTGTGATAAGAACAAATCTAAGAAATATTAGGAATTCGGCCACATATTACTTAATACTTTGAAACGCGTTAAATGGATGAGGTCAAAAGGCGGCAAACCATAGACAGTGACATCATTTAGAGGAGAGGGTGGGTCGGGCATGCAAGCAAACAAACAAACAACACACATTCGAAACAAATTTCACGCAGGAAATTGAAATAAATAAGAGAGAGACCGAAATATGCCAGGGCTTGGCAGCCATACAAAGTCAGCCAATTTAACTGTTTGTGGTGGCAAACACAACAACAACGGCTCTTAAAAGAGAGAACGAGAAAAAAAACTCACACACACAACAGAGAGAGGGCGAAACATTAATTGAAGTGTCTATCAGAAAATAGCTGAAAATGACGTAATCCTCTCGGATTGGAATTATGAGCAATACAGATTGACCAAAATAATGAATGACTTTTATAAAACAGTTCTGCCAAAAATATCCAATAGATAGCCTTCAAAAAAGTCAAGGACATCACCCCACCCCAAAACAAGTTTTGGCAAATGTAAGGCAAACAATTTACTTTTTGAACTCGACACTTAACTCTCGCAAACACAAACATCCAACGAGGGAAGCAGAGCAAGAGAGAGCTCTCTCTCACGCTTTCTTTCGGCTGAAGTTGCCGCACCACCATCACCCGATGACGTACACACACTAACACCAACTCTCTACTCCTGCATAACACACATGCAAACTGGAGTACCAGATACTTTTCTTCAATTGTAATTGGAATTCAAAACTTTTGTGAAATATGAAAACTTTGGTGACTAATCGAGCACTGGTTTGGGTTCCTTTGCCCCCTGAACCATGGCCAAGAGTTTTCTCACACTTTAAGACGCTTTTAATTGGATTTTTGTGTCTCCTGCAAGGGTGTGGCGTTGACCCGAAAAATTTTCACTTCACACGCAAGCCGAATTTCAATTGCAATTTAAAGTCAACTTTCACAGAAAAAAGAAGAAAAGGTTTAAAAAAACTTACACTCTGATGGCGAATTAAATGGTTTACAGTTAATTTGTTAATCAAACTAATGGTTTCCAGTAATTTTTAGTAATTTTCACGGAGCGCCTCAATTTCACGGGATCGCACTTTTTTCACAGAGTTGCCAGACGGCGTTTGGGTATCGGCCTTAATTTCAAAGCAACATTGTCCTAAATTTGCCGGGAAAACTTCTTCTTTCTCCCGGTTGTGATCTCAGATAGAACGTTTTCCAATTGTTATTTTTTAATTGGTAAAATTTGAACTTCTTTTAAGATTTTATTTACCTACTTAATTTATTGTAATTAATTGCTTGTTGTGGCTTTATGCTTAATTTATGCAATACCCCATAATTACTTTTCAACAGTCTTTTAAGAATCCACTAAGCTAAAACTCGGTCGTCAGAAATATGAATGGAGGGTCAATAAGCGCTGACAACAGTATTCACTATATTTATGTTATACAATATATCAAACGGCTGGGTCCGCACATTGAAACCTACCTAAATTTATACACAATAAAAACCTATTGGACAATACCATGCGAATTCCTTATAGATAAGAATAAAATAATACAAAAAACTAAACGATATATCGATAATTTAATTTTACATTCTTTGCCACCTAGCGTATTCTCGCCCTCCAAATCTGTTTAGTCCATTTCGGTATCCACAAACGGTCACACTAGTTTCCAGAGCAATCCAAAAAAGGAGCAGTGAAAAGCGAATAAAAATCTACACATTTACATTTAAGTAGAACCATCACCGGAAAACATAAAAAATGGTGGACTACAGCAAGTGGAAGAACATCGAGGTGAGTCTGTGTTTGAAGTTGCTCCGCTTGCTGCTCGCTAAGCCCGGTGTTTTTCAGATTTCGGATGACGAGGACGACACTCACCCGAACATTGACACGCCTTCCTTGTTCCGCTGGCGACACCAGGCGCGTGTGGAGCGTATGGCGGAAATGGACCACGAGAAGGAGGAGCTGAAAAAGAAGCGCCAGAGCTTCCAGGCGCGCCTCATGGACGTCAAGGAGCGGATCGCCAAAAAGGAAGGCGACGAGCCGGCTCTAAAGGTAGGGTGCACAGATCACTTGTTGCCTGACAGTTGAAGTTGAGATTTTCTCATCTTTAAGATGATCAGAGAAACATATAGTTCATAGATAAGGAACAGATTAAAACATGTGTATTCCTGGACCATTCGCTGTTAATTGCTCAGTCCAAACACTTTCACATAACACTTATTGTATTGTTGTTAAAAAATGATCAGGAAACAAGAAAAACTCGTTTCTGAAAACTGTTGTAAAGGTTTACTAATAGACTTGTGAAGTATTTTAGTTTCATATATTATGCCTGATAAGCATTATAAAAAAAAGTAATACATTAAAACGTCAATGAAAGGCAGTTCCAAGCGTTCGATAACGAACGCTTGCAGAATATTAAATCTGATTCATCTCTTCGCAGAAAGAGCTAGAAAAGATTGAGGCCGAGGGCAAGGAGCTGGACCGCATCGAAAGCGAGATGTTGAAGAAGGAGAAGAAGACACCCTGGAACGTGGACACCATTAGCAAGCCTGGCTTTGAGAAGACGGTGATCAATAAGAAGGCCGGTCGCAAGCCGGACGAAAATCTGTCCGAGGAGGAGCGGGAGCAACGCATGAAGCAGTTTGTTAAGGAGAACGAGAAGCTCTGCAAGCAGTACGGCATGCTGCGGAAGTATGATGACTCCAAGCGCTTCCTGCAAGAGCATCTTAACCTGGTGAGCGAGGACACGGCCAACTACCTGGTCATCTGGTCCATCAACCTGGAAATGGAGGAGAAGCACGAGCTGATGGCGCACGTAGCGCATCAGTGCATCTGCATGCAGTACATCCTGGAGCTGGCCAAGCAGCTGGACGTGGATCCTCGTGCCTGCGTCAGCTCCTTTTTCTCCAAGATCCAGCATTGTCAACCCGAGTATCGGGCGCAATTCGAGAGTGAAATAGAAGGGTTCAAGGGCCGCATCCAGAAGCGAGCGCAGGAGAAGATACAGGAGGCAATAGCTCAGGCTGAGGAAGAGGAGCGGAAGGAGCGTCTGGGACCCGGTGGCCTGGACCCTGCCGATGTCTTTGAATCCCTGCCTGATGTAAGTTTAAAACAACAGAATTTTAGTTAATATTTTAATAACATATACATTTTGAATTGAAACAGGAGCTGAAGGCCTGTTTCGAGTCGCGCGACGTGGAGCTCCTGCAAAAAACAATCGCCGCCATGCCCGTAGACGTGGCCAAGCTGCACATGAAGCGGTGCGTGGACTCTGGCCTCTGGGTGCCCAACGCTGCTGATTTGGAAGGTGACAAAAAGGACGACGAGGAGTCGGACGATGCCGCTGACGGCGGAGAGGAGAAGACCGACGATGCAAAGTCGGAGAGCGCGGCTAAGGAAGAGCCCATCTACACTGGCGTCAGCACCGAGGACGTTGACTGATCGCCTCCAGGTTTCCATCACCACCATAGTTATAATCTAAATGTACTGTCCACATGCGTATTTCATCCATACAAGCAGAGCAGATGAGTTATTGTATATAATTTGAATAAATCAGCTAAATTCTCAGCCACACGTCAAACATTTTGTATTCGACATTGCCAGAAACTTCTGTCCCGTTCAAGTAAACACAATGAACCGCCCTGAGCTAGACTACTATGCGGTCCTAGACCAGCCGAGGGGCGCCTCGAAGGAGCAAATAACCCTGGCTTACCGCCGCCTGGCCATTCGACTGTGCCCGCACCGCGACAAGAAGGACGAGCAGGACTTTGTGCCGCTGGCCCAGGAGGGTCGTCTCACCCATCTTTCGCCCATGGGCGAGCCAAGGCAGTGGGCCTACATCAACATGGCCTTCGATGTGCTGGGCAACGACCTATATCGCGCCATCTACGACCGCTATGGTGAGGCAGGTCTGTTCGAGGGAGTGATGCTGCCGAACGGCTACTTTCCGCCGTACCAGTACGATGGCGACCACATGCGGGTCTACGAGAGCGTCTTTGGCAGCTACTCTCCCTACGCCAATGTCATCGATGCCATAGCCAATCCGCCGAGCCTTTATGCCACCCGGCAACAAGGAATCGGGGTGCGCTCCAAGGACGCGAGCACGGAACGGATCATTGAGCTATCGCTGGAGGAAGTGCGCACCGGGTGCGTAAAGCTGATGCACGTGTGGCGACAGGAGATAGTGGACGCCAAAGAGTCGCGGCTGGAGAAGCGGAAGCACACCCTCAAGTTGAATATTGCCCCGGGAACCACGGCGGGAACCCGATACTGCTTCAAGGAGGAGGGCGATCGGTATCCGGCTACCATTCCGGGCGACATTATCTTCATAGTAGCCGATAAACCGCATCCGGTTTTCGAACGGAGGAACCTGCACGATCTGGTGTACCGGCATACCATTGACCTAAGCCAGGCCTTCACCGGCTTTACGTTTTTTGTTACCACGCTGGACAGACGCCTTCTTAAAGTGGTCATCACGGATGTAGTGCAGCCGGGCTACATCAAAGTGATTCCCCTCGAGGGGCTGCCCAAGTGCCGTAATCTTGACGCGGTCACAGCCATTAGAGAGGCCAATAAGAAGGTGGAGCAATTTGGGGACCTCATCATAGAATTTAATTGTGGGTTGTTTCGTTTTTTGTCTCGTTAGTTTCTATTTAATCGCTTCCACTCTTGTAGATATTTTTCCGAAATACTTGACTCCACATATGAAGCATATGACTCGCGAGTTTTTCCGCGAATTCCGGAAGTTGGAAATGGAGCTGGAGGAAGAGGAGCAGCGGAACATGTTATAAAAAAAGTGTCTTTATAGTTATTCTGCATTGAAAACACTAGCAATTGTGCGTACAGTGGAAACATATAAATAAATTTCGGGTTTTTAATGAAATATTTAATAAATTACCATAGTAGTAAAAAACAATATCCAATTGAAATATTTAAATTCCCATTTAACGGCTTAATTCAAAAGTACCTACGATAGGGTGGCAGCTTTGCCACAGAAATCGATTATTAATCGATATATTCAATCACAGTTCCAACGCATGGCAACACTGACAATCAGCTGTCCGAGACGAACAAGAGAAAATGCATTTGGCATTCCAGAGTTAATTAAAAATCAATTAGCGAACCAGCGCACAGCAAGTGGTCAACGAAAAGAGTGCAAACGGTCGGGGAACACCTCGCGTTAAACACAGGGCGCAGTAACCGATCCGTGTGCAAATCCGATTAACTGTTTCACAGGTGCAGGAAAAAGTGTGCCAACGCCCCCACCCCAAAGTCTATTAAACATAGAAGTCAGTCAGCGGAAGTGGAAGCACGCTCCACTGGCCACTCGCGCACTGCCACAAGATGCACCTCAGCGCGGATATTTCGAGCGCCCTGCAGCAGATCGAGGCTGTGAAGAAGGGCATCGATGAGTCCGATGATCCCAAATTGCAGATGCAGACGGCTGAGAGTCTGAATACCATCCTGGGAATTCTGCAGGATCCCGTCTTCCGCACCATTGTCCACGTGCAGGACTCGCTATCCGAGCTCAACGCCCAGCTGGGCCAACACCCGTCCATGCTGCCCAATGACTTTGACATCGATGTGGCCGGCAACCTGGTGCTCAGCTTGAACGGCGGCGAGGTGATGTACGACTTTGACGAGCAGCGCTCTTCCTCGCACTCCCACTCGGCGCCAGGAAGCCCAGATAAATCGGGAGGTATCGGTGGCGAGGAACCGCGCCCCCAGAGTCAGAACTCCAAGGGTGCGGGAGTGGCTGACCTGTACGCCACGGACTACGCCCAGATCCAGGCCATTGAGCTAGTCAACGACGGCACGGGTCTAGGATTCGGCATCATTGGAGCTCGCAACTCGGGCGTGATTGTAAAAACCATCCTGCCAGGCGGAGTGGCCGATAGAGATGCACGTCTGCGCTCAGGGGACCACATCTTGCAGATCGGAGACGTCAACCTGCATGAGATGGTATCCGAGCAGGTGGCCGCTGTACTGCGGCAGTCCGGAACCCACGTCCGCCTAGTTGTGGCCCGTCCCGTCGAGCAAAGCGTTCCCACGCCGCAGTACGCCCTAGATCCGGGGACTGCTGTTGTGCCCACGCGTGTCCTCGTCGATCCCGCCGAGCTAGAGCGTTACCTCATCTCCACCGGATACCCGGAGATCTTTGGCGAGAGCTCGACAGCCTCCACACCGCAGACCACCACGGAAGATGATCGGTTCGTGTATCGCGGAGAAACCTCAATGCTGATCGATCCCAACATCGACCTCGAGGAACTGCTGGCCCTTCCTGAGACGGAAAAGCTGCAGGTAGAGCTGAAGAAAGATGCCAACGGTCTGGGGATCACCATCGCCGGCTACGTTTGCGAAAAGGAGGAGTTGTCTGGCATTTTTGTGAAGAGCGTCTCACCGGGATCGGCGGCAGACCTAAGTGGCCGCATCCGGGTCAACGATCGCATCATCGAGGTGGACGGACAGTCGCTGCAGGGCTATTCCAATCACCAGGCCGTCGAGTTGCTGAAGAAGTCCGGTCAAGTGGTGAATCTCCGTTTGGAACGCTATTTGCGCGGTCCCAAATTCGAGCAACTGCAACAGGCCATCGCTGCTAATGACAAGCTCCCCTCCAGTGCTCCCGGAACGCCGTCCAGGGCACCCCTGCCTACCCCCGTGGCCACCACGTCCTCGGCCACGACCACACCATCTCGGAGTATAACTCGGGAGTTGGAGGAGGAGGCACTGCCGGCGCCGGAAGCCTTTATGACCACCCCGCCGTCGGTCACCACGATGGCAACGACCACCTTAACCTCCTTCGGAGCGGGTAAACAACTGGTAGCTGTTCGTGATTCCCTGGATGGGTCCACAAAGATCATACCCACGGAGGTCGTACCATTGGCGGATAAAGCAGAGGTGAGTATCGCTAATGGGCAACTACCAAGCAACTCTAATCGAAATGCAACCTTTTCGTAGGCCAAGAACGGCGGTGTAATAACCCGCCACAAATACTACACTGATCCCGAGCTTTCCGACGACGCGGAGACCGAGATCATCCGCAAGTGGCAGAAGATTGTGGGCTCCGATGTTGAGGTTATTGTGGCCCAGATAAAGAAGTTCGCCGTCGGCGGCTTGGGAATCTCTTTGGAGGGCACCGTGGACGTGGAAGGAGGCCGCGAGGTTCGGCCCCATCATTACATTCGTTCCATTTTGCCCGACGGACCCGTAGGAGTTAATGGAGTACTCCGCTCTGGGGATGAACTGCTGGAGGTGAATGGCGAGCGGCTGCTGGGCATGAACCATTTGGAGGTGGTGGCTATTCTCAAGGAACTCCCGCTGGACGTGCGCATGGTGTGCGGTCGCAACAGGAATACTTCGCTGCTGCCCTTCTCTGATGACACCCTCAAAAAGCTGAGCAATAACTTTGAGAACCTGCTGCCCGCCACCGATCGCCTGGTGAAGGCCAAGTCGGACGGGAGCTTGGCCACAGCTGGCTCCGTGGCCGATGGCGATTCGGTGGCTGCCGCCGCCGCCTCGTTTAGCAAGCTCAAGTCGCGCTCTTTGGAACCGTTGACCGGGTTGGCTATGTGGTCATCCCAGCCGCAAATCATCGAACTGGTCAAGGGCGATCGCGGCCTGGGCTTTTCCATACTTGACTATCAAGATCCCCTGGATCCCAACGACACGCTAATTGTGATCCGTTCCTTGGTTCCTGGAGGAGTGGCTCAATTGGATGGACGTCTTATCCCCGGGGACCGATTGTTGTTCGTCAATTCTATCAACCTGGAGAACGCCTCGCTGGACCAGGCTGTGCAGGCATTGAAGGGAGCATCGAAGGGAGTGGTGCGTATCGGGGTGGCTAAACCATTGCCCATGACGGACAACTCACTGAAGGCCTGCAGCAACGCGAGCACTACCAGCGAGGAGACTTTGGACGCGCAGCAATCGCCACCAGCCTTGCCCACTGCTGCTCCGCCCGCCATGCCGCCCACTGCCTTCAAAGGAGCTGAGCCCGACTTGATTCCCGACTGGCGGAATTAAGCAATTACAAGAAAGGATAGGAAACATTCCAGACAGCTGAATCTTTAACCGCGTTTCTGCATCCTAGCAAACAAGAAGGCATCGGAGTTGAGGAGTTACTTGATTTTAAACGCAAGAAAAATAGTTCTGAATCTGCCGAATTTGATAGGATACAAAAAACACAGACGCGATTGTTATTACCGAATCAAAATGTTATGCATATTATTAGCACCGAATTGTGTTTGTCCCCGAAAACGAGCATTCCACAAACATGCAATATTTAAACCCCCTAGTACTAGCAAATGAATTTTAACATGGTATTTCCAGAGTGTATGTACTTAAACTAAATTAAATAATGTACCTTCCGTACGAATGATGAGTATCACTTGGCTTGGCGGGGGGTTATTGCACACGGTTCAGTTGTCGCTCGATCCTCATGTAGTTGCGCCTCGAAAGGATTCGATCGCGGGCATAGCTAACCAGGTAACTGAGTAATCCGACCACAAAACACAGAACCTCGAATTTCAAGAAGTTCATCTGTTCTATAAGGGCTACCCGATCGCAGCTCCTTGTGACGATCTCGCCGCTTTGGCAGCGGAGCACCTCCTTGTAGTGCGTGTGGATGCAGACGCCTAGACTCCGGCTGACTATGTCAAACTCCGAGCACGGATGGCACTCCTCCACCACCGAGTATTTCTCGTTTCGCCAGCACGTCGAGTTGTCCTCAATGACGAACTGCGGCTCCCGGCGTCGGGGTCCCTCTGCCGCATATCGAGATTCCACAAAAAGGACCAGGATGGTGACCAAAGTCAGTGCACCCAGCCCAAGAAGCATATGGTGCCGTTGGCAGTTCTCAAGCATTTTAAAAGCGGGAGTCTTCTTTTTTTTATTAGATAGTCTAGGAAATAAGGACTTTAATAAGATCAGGATTGCCAACGGATTTGCTTGGGCTTACTTTGATTCCTTTTGTTTTGGTATTTTTTTGGAGAGTCTGCGTCACAGTGTGGTTGCAGCTGGGGGCTTAAGAAAATACTAAAAGGGGCCAGTTCCAAAAAACTTATGTAAATTGTTTTTGTGCTTACTTGTTTTTAATTTAAATTCACCAAATTAACAAAAAAAAATTTTTATATATTTAGATATTTTTGTCTAATGATGATTGGGTAAGTTTGCTAATTTCTACCTACTGATTTAAAAAATACATTGTCTTGGTTAATTATATGTTTTTTAATAACAAAAGGGATACTACATAGTTTTTATAGTTACAAACGTTTCTAGTAAAGTCCTAGTTCTCCGAACCATCGTAGTGTGACCAGACCACCTTGCCCCACGAACTAGTTCGCTGTTTACGAACAAGAATGGACGGAGACCAAAACAATTACGGACCATAGGCACAAAGCGGACGTGAGAAACCTGTGAAAATTTTTATAAATCGCGTGTGTGGGCGCATTGAAAAATGGTGCTGCGATCGGGAATTATTATTCCGTTTCAGTTTCGCGACACAAAGAAGTTGCTGATGATCGGGGTGCCCGAGGAGAATCGCAACCTCAACATATGGGACCTGAAGAACGTGGGTAAGCAGTGGTGCTGGGTGGAAGGGGGTGCCCCCTCTTATAAAAAGGTCGAAAAACATGGAGCCCAATTAACAATCCCGCCATTGCAGTGCGTGCCGCCTTCGGGATCTACAACTTTGAGTTTCGGAACAAAAAGATCGGCTTCAACATCCCGGACGAACTTTTGCTTCACTATTTGGCCCAGAGGCACGACCTCACCAACTTCGTTATAGAGATCAGTCAAGGTAAATAGCGTTTAAGTTACGACTAAGTCGCGTTCCCATTAGCGTTTAAGCGTTCCGAGCGACTGTTGGAGTCCCGTAGTCGTGGTTTTCCGGAGTCCGTGCTTATTTCTTAGATCCGTTGTGTTTATGTAGACGCGGCGTGCGCTTCGCTTGTAAGTCTCTGCAATTGCCATCTGTAATAAATCCCAAATTGTAAAATGCTCTCTCTTGCAGCCCTGGATGATGGCCACGCCAAGGAGCTGCTCTCCTACGAGCCTTCCTGCTCGATGGTGGCCTTGAAGCAGCAACACCTACAGGCGCAGGCTCACCACCCACATGCCCACCAGCATCAACATCAGCACCATGTGCCACTGCCGCAGCGTTCGAACGAGAGTGCCTCGCACCACGCGCACGAATACGTGCCCGGATCGCAGCCTACTTCCCCGGCACTGGGAATGAGCACTGAGCCCGTGGACTCGCCGCTGGAGCAGCAGGGTAACAACTCGGGATCGGAGCCGACGGACAATAGCCACAAACTGCGCTTGGGACAGGCATACTCGGAACGGACGCCAGAATCGCTTACCCAGTCCATCGATCCCATGGACATAATACCCAAGGCGGAGTCCGAGACGGAGGTGGAGCGCCTGCAGAGAGCTTCCAGGTTTCTGGCCCGCCAAGAACAGCAGCACCAAGCCCAGCAGCAACAGCATCAGCAGCAGTTGCTACCGGGTCAACAGATCTTCCCCAACTACACGCACCCTTTACCACCGATGAACGCGCCGAATCCCACCCAGCAGTCACCCTACACGCCGGGCCTTATGAGTCGCTTCAGAAGTGAGAGTACTCCTGGCTCCAACCTAATGTCATTACTATATTTTAAAATCTTTTCTTTAAGAACGTGGCGAACGGATGTCCAAGGACCAAAAGGAACTATATGTTAAGTTTTTCGAGGACAATCCCTGCATGCTGTCGAACCACCGCCGACACGATGGTCTTACCGAACCACTGTGGGCTAAATTGGCCCACATGCTGAACAGTGTGCCCCAGGGAGCTGTAAAGAATGTGGAGGACTGGAAGCAGACCTTCGACGCCTGGCGCTATCGCATCTTTATGTACACGCGCTACAACTCCAAGCTCAGCATGTCGGAGACGAGCGATCCGAAAAACTTCAAGCCCCTGACAGCCACCGACCAGAAGGCGTACGCCATGTGGACCAGCCACAAGCACATAGCGCCGCAGGACTACGAGAAAATGGACATGTTCGTGCCGCTGGACGAGACCACCACCGCCACGAATAGCTACGACTACTAAATCGGGATCAAAGTGCAAAGGATATAGCTGTTACTGTGTACTTCAACTAGTGTTAAGCGAGAAATACAATAACTTTTAAGAGGAAGACACATCGTTTTGATTTTTAATTTGATTATTATAATGATAACCGATTAGAAACAATGATTTGTTCGACTAAATATAAGATGTATTTATTCATTTCAGTGTACGATGTCGGCTTGGACAACTATGTGTTAAACCGACAGTGCCGCTGTGTGGACCAGAAAATGCTCAACGATTCGCCGACTCCCGAGGAGCCCACCAATCTGTGCCAGCCCAGCAATGTCCTGGAAGCCGCGCCCACCCCGCTTATGACTTTGCCGCCATGCGAGGAAGACGACCACGAGCAGGAGCACGAGCACGAGGAGAGCATGAAGTACCGGATCGACAAGGCCAGCAGCGGGGCTGCCTCGGCGGAACTGGGTATGCCCGCCTACGAGGCCTGCTCGCCCAAGATGGACTACGACACGCAGGACGAGCTGCCGGACTCGCCGCACTCGCAGCCGCTGCCCCCACCGCCTTTGCCTTTGCCTTTGCCCGCGGGCTTGCCGCTGCCACCACCGCCCACGTCGCACCACCAACATCTGCAGCAGCAGCAGCAACACGACGAGGAGCAGCAGCAACTGTTGCAGGAGCGCATCCAGCACGAGTATATGATCCAGCAGCAACAGCAGCATCAACACCTGCAGCAGCAGCAACAGCATTTGGCCCTCCTGCAGCAGCAACAGCAGGAACAGCAGCAACAACAGCAGCAGCAGCAGGGTGTAAACATGGCCATAGGCACGACAACGACCAACAACATCCGCCGTAAGTGATCCTCGTTAAAAATTATACAGTCCACTAAAGTGGCGAATCGTAAAAGAATTACCAGCCTTTAACGAGGTGTTAAAAAATCTTTAAAAATTTCTATTACCTGAGTCATAAAATTCTATGCTTAAACCATTGCTATAAAGGTTCCTTTAACAACTTTATTTGATTTATTATTTACTTAAAATAGGTACTAACTCTAAAACTAAACCACTCACCAGAACAACAAATGCAGATACTTGGCCAGAATTTATTGACTCTCAATTTGAAATCGAATTGCATTATTGCATTATTACTAAATTTATGAATAAAACATTACAATAATTACGAACTTCCATTAAAGCACAAAATGTTTCAAGCATGCAATCACAAAGTCCATAAATAAACGAATGTCTTTAAATTACTTTTACGCATACCATTTTAGCACATTTCGATTTAATCAAGTGTATATTATTTGCATTAATTTGATACATTAACATATTTTTTTGATTGTAATGCCAGTGATGTTAATTAAGACCGAAACTTAAATCTCGCCCGCAGAACGCAAGGAGCGCATGTCCAAGCGACAGAAGGAGCTTTATGTCCACTTCCTGCAGCAGCACCAGTTCATCAACGACCATCGCCGCAACGATCCCGTGCTGGATCCCTACTGGCTGAAGCTGGCCAACCTGCTGAACGCGGTGCCGCAGGGCGCCGTGAAGCACGTGACCGAGTGGAAGCAGACCTTCGACAACTGGCGCTACCGCATCTTCCTTTACGCGCGCTACAACTCCAAGCTGCAGGACGAGGAGGCACAGAATCCGCGAAACTTCAAGCCGCTGACACGGACCGACAAGCAGGCCTACATCATGTGGATCCGGAACCCGGACACGGCGCCCCCCGATCTCGACAAGATGCGCAACGTCTTCTGCAACCTGGAGGAGACGGCGGTGCAGCAGGAGTAGATTCCGGAGATTGCCATTGCCGTAGCTGTAACATTTCAACACTTTCTTTGTCTTCTTTCAATGGTTTTTATCGTGTTAGCCGTGCGTATGTCTGTCGCTGTTTTTTTCCTGTTTTGGGAATGCATTTTCCTTTTAGTTTTTGTCATTGTTATGCTTATATGAATATTAAACATGTGTTTTTTGAATGAAGCGCTAATTTTAGTCCGAGATATGCACGAGATTATATTTAGACTCCAGCCGAGCAGTTCGTTTGCCCCAGCTGGTGTTTTGCATATGGTATAGCCACAATGAACTTTAATGCTGAAGCCGAACAGGTTATGAAATTAATGTGTTCGTGGTTTTGTTCAACCCGCAGTTCTGGCAAGGATATCGAATTCGACAGCGCTTTTGGCCTTGATTGATAGAGCTGTTTGTGAGCGACTCTACGACTCTATGACAAACTCCTTTCAGAACCAGCACCATTTGTATTTCTCCGTATCTCCATCTAGACGCCCACGCCCGGTTTCGTCTACCGGTGCTGATTAATTGGCTGCCCGCGGCGGTACAGCATCCAGTGTGTGTTGTATGGTGTGTGGTGTGTGGCTCGTAGTTGTCGCTAATCCCCTGCCATTAATTATTCGTTCAATCATATCCGATACGCCCGATGCCGCCGCACAATCGACACTTGACAGCTTTCGCGGGGATTACTTTTATTGGCAAATCCCGATAATAATTCCTTCTTTTGCCAAGCGGCAAATTAGTTCCAGTGTTTTTGAACCTGAACTGAAACTGATTCTGAATAAGGGAGCCCCAGCGATTAGCATATTGTTAATTAAAAAGAAATTGTTTGGGTTTGGCATTCGTACATTTTACTCGTCTGATTAAATGGTAATTTATCATAAATTATTACACTTAATTGTGTGCAAATGCAAAGTGCTGCGGGACCATAAGAAATCTTGTTTTATTGGCAACAGAAGTGTGTTACATAAATAACTAACTCAAATGTGTGTATCAGCTCGGGAGATATTACAAATGACCACCAGAACCCTCCGCAGCCTTTGTCTGTTATCTGCAGCGTTTCCAATTGCCATTCCCAATAAAGATAAATGAACGCGCGCTCATTCCGACCGATCCACTTCGATCCGCTCGGCTCCAAAGGCATTGAGTTGGGTTATTGGCTGTGACTTTTTTCGGCCGATTGCCCCTGGTATCGGATCTGGGTTCTGGCGTATGGGTACATGCGAAAAAATAAGATCATTTTTGGAATGGCACATGCCAGGATTATAAAACAAAAAAAATGGTTATCCGCCATGCAAGGAAGTTCTACAAGGTTGTGATTTTTTGCGTTTTATAAATCTATTAAGTATTTTATAGGTCTATTTACAAAGATATCACTCACTTTCTTAACTTAATTATTTTGTTTTTAAATTAAAATTTTTTTTGTTTATCAATTGGTTTATAAATATGTATCTTTTTGAACCCATCTTTTTATTTTCTACACTCATATATTTAATTTGAGGGATATTATTTCAGATTTTTTACTGTGCATCTCTTTAAATATATTTATTATTTTTTCTGTTGAGTCAAGCGTTCAATACCAATATTTCAGCATTAGCATTCGCGTATTCGTAGGCCGACATCTAGGTGGCATTCGGTAGATGTGCCCGCGTATGAATTATGACAGGTGGAGGAAAACAATGCGCAACTTGGTGGCTGCCACGCGGATCGGCTCATGTTTAATTCATCTGTAACTGCATATGGGGCACAGGGTAACCGGGTAGCTGACTCTCAGATCAACCCTCGATAGCCGTTGACAGATTAATTTGAAGTTGTGAGTGCGGAAACCAGAAATGTGGGCCTTGTCTTTAGAACTGGGTGGAGTTGGGCTGGGCCACCGATAACGACTCGGTTCCTAACCCAGTTTCCGACTTTGAGTCCGCACTGCTCTAAAAAATTACCATATATTAAACGCTCACTTTTAGTAGTCATTTATCAAAATTAAAATTATCGCATCAGATTAGTTTGGCTAGCAAAATTCTCCCACACTCTCACTAAAATATAAAACAGTAAAAGACCAGCAGCAGTTTAGTCCCGAAAAAATATTGAACAAAAACTAAAAACTTCATCAGATCAATCATAAAGACATAAAAAATGCTGTAAAAACGATAAAAACACCATAAAAGCGATAATAATCTTTTGAAAGACCTGTTTTGCCCAGCAATGATCAGAGCAGACCAAAGACAGTTTTACAGCCCAACCACCAGCACCGCCCCACTACTCCACACACTTTGCTAAACCAAGACATACACTGAAGAATATAAAGATAGCTATTGCTTGACATACTCTGTAGATCTCTATAATGAACTATTAACCCTTATTATTCTAAATGGAAATTAGTTAAAAAAGAGTAATACATATTTTCAATTACAAATGTTTAGGGGTATGACACCTAAAAAGTAGATAAATTCTTGTGAAGTTATAAGCTCTGATTTCTTCTTGTATAGCTTAACCAACGGCAACTTGTCAGACCCAAGTGATCTTAACAGACATTTCTGTTGATTTACTATTCGAACTTAAATACACACAGACACACTCACACACACATAATTGAAAAAACTTGTGTATGCTAATCGATAGGCAAGTTGATTGATATGGCTTTTTAATTGCATTTACAATTTAATTGACCTGAACTATCTCTAAGCAAAAGGCAGAGCCAAAAACCCGCAGAATCACTTAGCATAAATTTATGTCTTAATGAGGAAACAGATCTTCCATTAAGCGATACATTGTGAGCTCATAAAATTTAATTAAATAAATGCAAACACAACAGTGTTTTGCATTGACTTAAGGAGACCGATAATTATACCGAGTGCTGACTGCAGCCGCCGCCTCATTGGATCTCATTAACTTGGCCAGCCAACAAAATCAAACGCGGTTGACATCCAATCAAATTGATGGGGACAACCACTTCGTTGTTGTGGGGGCTTTGAAGTGTTTAATGAAAGAAATTAAAATACGTCAGCCTTCAGCTCATGCGTAAAGAGCTCAGCCGCCTCAGACTATATCCGATTTCAATGTCGCTCACGTAATCGCTCTCTGTAATGCCATTCAATTGTGGTTCACTGTGGCACACTGAGTGTGCACATGTGTGTGTTATCACCGAGTGATGTGCTGAAAGAGGTCAGGGATGCCCCACACCCACGCCAAGCCAGGCCTACTAGGAAAAGCCGCTTCTGGATGAAACCGAAAGTGTAAAGAGCTTGAAAGAGTTGCTTTGAAAATTAACATATAACAACAATTATTTTAGTATGTATTAGTTTAGGTTACAACACTAATGCAAATGTGTCAGTCTGTCAAAGCTTTAAGCTGGCTTATCCTATAAATTAAATTCTAATTAACGCTTATAAAAATAATTTCATTCACGCCAATTAAAATCATTATTTTACAGTATTTACACATTGTAATGAAGTAACTTTTTCAATTAACAAAAATATCCGACTAATTTTGAATAAAGTTAGCATTGGTTAATTAAGCAAAACAAAACATTTAAGATGAATTACGAAGTACAGCAAAATATTTGTTCAGTTTAATTATAATCCCATACAAAACAAAAACGAAATGTTGGGTCATTAAAATGAAAAACGGAAACAATATAAATTTATTGAACATGCGTTTGAATATTTAAGAACATTTGAATGAATAACAACAATCTGAATCAATTAATTTAGTTTGTAAACAATTATGAAAAAATATTCATGTAGATGATTTAAGGAAACCCAAGTAAATGTTAATGTTAATAATCAATATTTAGCTTTAATTCAATTTTTATTAACCCAAATAATATTAAAGCTTATGGCGTGTATAATTAAGCGTTTTAAGCCATTTATTAGTTAAATGTTGGTAATAAAAGATAATGTTCTTATAATATAAAAACGTATTTGTTTATATTAGAATTCAGTACAGAACAGCTAAAGGTATCCAGCTCACAAGCAGAGGTAATCAAAATAAAATTAGGAATGTTGTTATTTGTTTAATCAACCGAAGTCAACAACATCCATTATACTAAACATGCAACTGGCTTCTGGCAACATGTTTTAAAGAATCCAATGCCGGAAACGGTCCTAGCAACATGTTGCCGACTGGGCCTGGGCCACATATGAAAACTGGCTGGCAAAAAGCGAGAAAAACGCCGCTGAAAAGAAGAAAACAAAGCGAAAAACAGCCGAAGTCGGAGCGGCTTGGAGTTCGGGCTCGGCTTTTGGGGTTCGGGCCTGGCTCGAAGCCGTCTGGCTGATTCGCAAACCAGCTGATGACCAGCGGAGGCCGACAAATCGGGAGACGGAGACTTTGTGCTGATGCTACCACATTCGCTGCTTTCAGTGCGGCCCGTGTCTTCAATGAGTTTTGTCACGCCTTAGCGCAAAAACAGCGGTTCGATATCGAGATTCCTGCGCCAGCAGTTACTATATATACAGAAGATATACTATATATCCTCCAGACCTCAACAGCCAGCAGCAAAGTATGTGCAGTGTCAATTGATGAGGCAAACATGCTAAATACCTCGGTGTTGTGAAGTTCTCGTAAAGTGCAAGAAACAAATAAAAGAATAATAAAAAAGAAACATAAAGGATCGTAAAAAAAATGAGCGACAGAAACAAAAGACTTGGGCAACGAACTTGCGTGCTGCAATGCAGACAATTTATAGCCTGCAGGCTGCGCAGCTGCCGTCGCAGGCGTGTTAAATTTATGCAAATAAATAAATCAATTCCCCAGAAGATAAATAAAATTGAAGGCGTTCCGCCGTTTTGCACGCACCAAACACTTTAAGGCATTTGTCAAAACAACCGAAAAAAACACAAAAAATAATATGCATAACCAATCTAGAGAAAAATCTGTTTCCCGAGCTGCCATAAATTAAACCTCGCCCATGACTTTTCTCTCCAGCAAAATAAAATAAAAGAAGGAAAAAAAATTAAAAAAGATAAAAACGCTTATGGCCTCTTTAAATGCAACAACTTGGAAATGAGTTTTGAACAGGCCGCATATTATTGTTATTATTATCATGAGCAGCCAACTCACATTTAGTTTTGCTTTATCTCCGTATAGCTTTTTCTGTTTAAAGTGCCGGAAATGTTTTCTCAGCACGGCGGATAATTGTGGGTACTTGAAGGTGGGTGTTGCCAGTGATTATAAAACCTTGTTAATTTGCGCAAATTGGTTTTGCATTTGTCAAGACCAGACGAAGCATCTTCTCCGACTAGTTTGTCGGCTCTATAAAAGTTAAGCGCTTAATTTATGCACATAACATGGTTCCTTAAATTGGCCGTCGAGCCGAACTTAAGGTCACCTGATCTGCGGGCTTATTACAGGCAAACAAACGGGTTTGCCAGAGATTCTAGTACTGGGCCGGTGAGCTGCTGACCTCCAGTGTGAATTTCGACGCCTAAAATCCGAGTCCGAGTGCGAGTGCGAGTCCGTCGAAACATAGTCACGTTCCGACTGTTAGCCGTGACATGGGCCGGCTCTTTTTGGCCGGACACGGCATACTGGCACGCCTTCTTCCTCGGATATTTACGATGGCAAATGGCTGGGACTTAGACGGCACTTAAAATGCGTGGCATGTGGCTCACATTTGGCTCCACTTTGCGACACTGTGTGGCCAAAAACAAGTCACTTAAAGCGAACCCGCCACGCCAGGCCACGCCAAAGGCAATTGAAAATTGTCAGTACCTTAAAGATTTTCAAGAAAATGGTAAATGGTCATTTAAATTGGTTCCAATGTTTACGCATGCGCGACAGATCGTGCTTACACCCCCTCGCCAAGTCTGCGAAATACTCATAGCCTCTTATCAGGCCATGTGTGGAACGAATCTCGGTCTCGATCTCCGCCAGAAAGCCAAAACGCTGCCACGGACACTTGGCAATTGAGACGCCAAAAAGTCAAACTAACAGAGTCATCGTCATCGCAGGCACAATCACCGCCAAAAGTAACCATTCACTAGGGTCCAACTAAGTAAGGGTGTTGCGTAATGAGCGGGCCCCGTTTCATTCGATATTTACCTTAAATCTGATTTGATATTGTCCCACTCGTCATTCGATATGCCAGACTCGTCTACAATTACCAGGCATCAGATCGGCCCAAGTTATATATATACATATGTAGTCTTACCGCTCTGTTAATGGAAATGGAAGTGATTTCTGATTTCTGATTGAGGCTGACCAGTTGCCCAGTCGATCGGTTCAGCAGTTGCTAAAATAAATTAATAACAAATCTGTTGTACGTACGTAGAGGACAGCCGAACAACTTTCCGTGCTAAAATTGTTATGCAAACTTCAAGTGCAATAAAGTGATTGTAGAAAAACCTAAATGTTACTTTTCAATAATTCAACTAATATTTTTGCAGTTATACGACTTAGAAGTATCGGGTTTCATTTGACCGTATCAAATAACAAAATGGTAAGTACATACTCATTGTTTATTATTGTTTATTGTAATTTTGTAAGACAATTTCCGTGCCGTAATTGAGTTCAAACACGTGTAGCCCGCCAGGCGATTAACTCGTGTTTCGCGGGTAATCAATGCAAGTATTTATGCATTCCTCGATTTTGTGTTTTCTCTCACATAATTTTTTGAAATAATTAAATCGCAAATACGATGATCCAACGAAATTGACACACACTCTTTGCACTGCATAAATTTCGCATCAACTCATGAGCAATACAAGGCATTCGTGTCAATGGACCTTGCCTTTTAAGGTTGGTCATTTAAATACATTTTATATAAATATTGGAAAAAAATTGGGAATTCAGTTCCTCTGTTAAATAAAGAAAGAACAGATTAGCATAATTTTTAAATGGCTCACAGGCAGTAAAAAAATAAATAAAATTCAAAAGGGGTTAAAATTATGCATACACTTTAAGTTAGAAATTTATTCTAGAATTTCCTTGTAGATTTCTACATAATTACTTATTTTGTTGAAAAATAATACAATATAATCGGACGCAGTGCATTCCCATAATCTCTGCTTCACCGCCAAGGGCAAACCACATTAAACCACTCTTTCTGAATGCAGTTGACAAAGGCATTGACCCACAATTGCCCATGTGAGTGCGGTTGGATGTCGATTCTTATTTATTTCGTACTTATTGTTCTGTGGCAAGTTCGTTTGCCGACTCTTATTTGTACATTTGTTAAGCAGCTGAGCTGATGTCGTCTCACCGGAAATGAAAATACTCCGCTGGTCCGAGTGAAATCAGCGTCATTAATTGTCAAAATACGCAAGCAAAAACAATATTTGTGCAACATCATTTAGGTAATTAACGTGTTCGATTATTTTTATAATTTTGTTTTTGGCGATTCGGCACAGACAAAGAGCCCGCAGCGAAGCATAATCATATTAATATGCAATTTGTTAGTATAAATGACTTCCTCAAATGGAGATGCTCAAATTGATGTTGCACTATCTCGGGATTCAAATTAAATATTGTAAACGGTTTTCGTTTCAACACCTAATAGGGCGTACAATTTGTCAGCGACCGTTTAGCATTGTTATTCAAATTATGGGTTATGCGATTGTCCAATCATACAGTATAGTATATCTGAATTACATCCATGACTTAATGCTGATTTATGCAGAAACGAAACAAAGCACAAATTATACAAATTAACGACCGAATTCGGTTTGTTTACAAAACAATCAAATACAACTTTAGCCACGCTCCGAAATCATTTTCAACGCTAACGGTAGCACATTGACCTCCTGAACACACAGAAAACCCATTGTCTTGACCAGTGGGCCAACTATTGCCCATTGTTTGGGCTGGAATTGATTCGATTCGATTCCGAACCGTTTCGATTTATTTGTTTTTCCCCATTTTCACAACATTCCTCGCTAAAAGTTCAAGACACTTAACTGCCTGACAGGCATTAACTTTTCGGTTCGTAACCGTTGATTAGGCGTCTTGACTTGCAGTTGCGTTGAGATTTATGATTAGCGCCCGGGCTAGTCAATCCACTAAGCCAACAACGAAAACGAAAGACTCAGCGAGACGCATTAGCTGCCCTACTCAAAATGCAAGTTATTACGTCTCGAAGGTTTTTTCGGTCTTTACGTATTTTTCCACCATTTTTCTTTGCGAAACTCAGCCGCCCAAAATGCCAGAAATTCAATGAGCCTCTGCTATCGAGATTGAGTCAATCAACTGGCCGGCTTGAACCCACAAATGGCGAGCTGGCAGAAAAATAGTGCCCTCGAGCGAACCCTGGGACATATTTATGGAGATGTAGATCTCTTGCCCACTAAATCTGGCAGCCCCTTCGGAATGTCCACAATAAATGACTTTTCTGAAACACTTCGGTAGATCTCCAACTGATACCGTTGTCCAAATTTGTTTCGCCTGACGAACCCTAAAATTCTTTGGCTTTTTATGAAGCAAACAGCCGAAAGAAATATTCATTTTTTATTCTTATAAATTTAACCGTAGCAAATATTTACTTTAATTGTTATAAATCGTGTAATTTAATGGTAATTTAGTATACATCAGATACTGAGTTTATCAGATTACCTTTTGTGTTGCGCAACTCTCGAGATGCTTCCACAGCTTCTGTAACCGCTTCTCGAGCCATTTATCGAGTGAATTCGCGAACAAAGTACGAGTATTTAATTTGCCAATTTTTCGCGTTAATTAAAAGCCGACCACGCCCCTTGCATGTTGTGTCCGAGCGAGTGAAATCAGCAGACTCAGCAGCTCCGCACTGAAAAAGGTCAAGTTTGCTGTCAGTTTGTCTGGGAACAATTCCGATGGCGAACAATGCCTGTCTTGTAAATAGAACCCACCCACACATCATTGCCAAAGTAGAGATCTACGCAAAGTCGTAAAAAATATGTAGAAATCAAGAAATTTGCTTATGAAAAGATTTGAAATTTCATTAACCCCATTGATCAGGTTCAAAATGCGCATTTTGGCAGCGTAATTGAAATCAACATGATGTCTACTTATTTATTAATATTTTCTGATTACCTTTTTTCTGGCCATTTTTTGTTTGTGCGCCTGATTGACTCCCACGTCTGGTTTGCTTATAAATTTTGGATATTCGATTTGCAAATCATTTTTTTTTTTTTTTGGCCATCGATTATTGTTTATTATTCTTTTGTTATGGATATGGACTTGACTTGGGCTGAACTTCTCTGAAATAGCATGGGAACAGTGTGGCAATTAATCAAAGTGCATAATCATACTGCCTTTCTTGCCAACTATTTGTGGGCCTGGGAAAGTATGCAAATGCAGAGATTTCGTTAATGGGAAATATTTGATAAATAAACTCGACTTTGTCATGGGAAACTCGATATTAGAAGGGGAGAAAGCTATGCAGCTATTCTCTGCTGAATATCAACTTTAAATCTGTCAATTGTTAAGCGCTCTTTTCACCACTTTGAAGTATTTAAAACTCACTTAAACTGTTCAGTTTGTAAGGCGATACTAGACATTCTAAATTTGGAAACTAGAAACACTTGAGGCAGCCTCAAAAGCGATTGATAATACGTCAGGCAGGCACCTTCACCAAAAGCAAGTCTATTTGCTGCCAATCACCTATCATAACTCAAGAAACATCTGCCACCGAACCGACAGATCAAAGAGGCTGGTGAGCCGATCTCCCCACACAAGGTTATGGCGAAATATCGCCTGAGTATCGGTTGTACATGAAAAGAAATAAATTGGCATTATTAAAGAATTTAGTTATTGAAAATAAATTACATATAAAAAGTTTCTATATTATTAAGCTCAATTAAAGGGAAAAGAAAAGTATAGGTTTTACATCGTTGAAAAATGTATACTCAGAGAAAAGTTGATAATACTTTTTATATCAATAACAAGATCTATATTTTTAAATTTAACTAAAAACTTATAATCAATCGATTTCAAAGCTCATAAATATTTCTCTCTGTGCAAACGTTAGACTGATGAGGAAGCTTGTATTGAATATTATTTTCGGTACTTCACCTCTATTTTGCTTTTGCACACCCGGGCAAATTGCAAACACTGTGTAGCAATGCATTGAAAACCGAATCTAATGACAGCCAGGCGAAATAACTCGAACAAATGCTCCTCGGGCTCCATAGTCTTAAAATATAAAAATGGAAACGAGTTTGGGCTGTGACAAACGAGCTCAGCCGAAAAAAATAAAACGAAACTACAGCCACGAAATAATGATTTGGCGTCAAAGAGCCATGTTCAAATTTAACGCTAGCCCCCTAATGCGCTTTTGGGGGTGTATTTATAGGGTGGGGGGGAGTGGAAGGAGGAGTTTGTTTGTTCTGCGATTTATCAAGGTTGGTTTGGCTTAATTGATGGATGGTTACTGGTTACTGGCTGCCATTGCATTGAACCAGCGACAATTTGCCAAGCCTTGAACCTCGCCGCTGATGAAGATGGATACATGTGCCTGGAAAAACGAGATCTCCACTCCGCAGCACTGGAACTAAAAAAGCGAAACCGATTCTCATTCCGAACCTGAATCGGAGGCTAGGCCAGCGGCGCTTTATATGCAAATGAGTGCGGCTTGTAATAAAGAAGCTAATTACGTGACACGCTTCGGCTGTTCGACAACGGGCAGATGAAGTCATTCTTGAACCCTTTATTTATGGTTCTCGACTTGGAGTGAAGGCCAGTCGGCCAGTTGGCCACCATAGCCACCGTAGTTGGACCCAGTTCACTGATCTGCCGGATGTCTTCTATCGTTCTGCACCAGAAGCCATTAAGATGTAAATTTAATGATCACCTACGGCGCGAATCTGGCAGCCAGATTTATGGATGATATTTTCGCGTTAGCGTTGGGCAGATCGCACCCACTTACTTTCGATTGATAAAGTACTTTACTTCTACGTCGGTGTGGATCTGATCTGCATTCTGGCATTTCCAGCTGGCTGGGGATACTAAGTGCTTCAAGCGGATGTTACTTAGTGGCTATGACTAAGCTAAGTTATTGTTAGAAAAATCCTCCACGAAGACCAGCTTTAGTGAAGATCAATTAGATAAGCAGTACTAAGTATTGAAATAGAAAATTTTATTATCTAATAATTGTAGTAATTGGTTATGAGAATGTAACTTTTGTCAGTAAAAAAGGCAGATTAAGTAGTTAAGCCAACTTGTTTGGTTTAATGAATTCCTAATGTGAAACCATCTGGTTTTGTAAGCCATAAATGCTGCCTAGAGCGGATGCCACTGATTATATTGATTATAAACAAACTTCGTGCTTGGAAAATCGTTGCTTAAATACAGTCTTCTACTAAAACAAACCGATTAATGTTTTAATCATCGGCTTGAGGACAAATTAAAAAAACAGGAAATATGAGGAAGGTTTTAAGCATCATCGTTTTTATCATCTTCAGAGGTTTGTTTGTTTTATTTAACGTCTTTACTTCATGGGATATCGATTTGTAATAAATTATCATCTTATTTCATTAATCTATTTCCAATCGTGATCGGTTGATTATCTTCTCATGACCTTTTCAAGAAATGATTATAAGGCCAAAGAGCACTTTTGATTGTGGGACTTAATAACAACGCCATAACTGGAGTAATCCTCTAATGATCTCTTTCTTTCGAAAACAGTTCAGTACAATCTATCACCTAATGGATTGTTGAAATTTCGTTTCGATTTGATTGATGAATGGTCGCCGTTTTCCCATCTCACCCTCGCTTTCATCAATCAGATATCGGCCATTGTGGATATACCCGCTTTTATAAGCCCCCGCAAATCATTGACTTACTTTCATCACCACTCATGACACGATTTCGGATCCAAGGGAATAACCATTTATCATTATTGTTTCGGGGCTTTTGCCTTTTACCCGCATTGCAAAAACTGCAACTTACAATTGGTAACGGAAAACTATTTGGGCCATATTCATAATTAAACTGCAGTTTTTCGCCCGCACGACCCACAAAAAAAAAAAAAAAAAAAATAAAAGCGAGGCATATCGAACTACTTATGAGGGGTACCCCCATAAGCCAATATAAATTATTTCAATTAAGGCGTTTAAAAAATGATTATGGCATACTTATTATCGAATTACAATTTGAACGCGCCAAATGCAAGCGTTAAACTTTGTTTCGCCTTTTCGATAATGTTGTGTAATAAAAGAGATTTACAATAACTATAAGAGACCGAGATCTCAGGCGATTTATCCAACCGTAAACCACACCACAAAGACCCAAAATAAGCAACTATAATCCACACCAATCCACATTCAGCTGGCTAAGGAGGCTTTTCTTTTATTTTGGCCACATAAAATTAAATCTAAGCTTGACCCAAAAAAGAAAAAAATAACACGAGCACGAGCTGGTTGTTGTTGCTATTTGCTGCTATTTTTTGGCTGCACAAAATTTCGCAAAAATATTTTGTCTAAGCACTTAATTTCAGATTGGAACAGAGCACGCTGCAAAATATGAGTGCAGCCCATTCAGTCAGCTTGATAATAAATGATTATTTTCGGTCTAAACTGCGTTAATCAAAGATAATGATAATGCGGTGTAATGCCGACCGTGTGGAGCGGCGTTTACTTAGTGGTTTTATTGATTGTTTTTAATTAGTGAGCAGCGTTTTGTTCCGCCCGCGGGCGGCTGCTGCTCATTACCATTACCACAACCAGATCGCGATCAAGATCGTTTTTTTTTTTTTTTTGGGTTTTTGGCTGCAGAGGTGTGCCCGGTATTCGGTATTACGACCCGGAGGAGAGTCCCTCCATTACGCGGGTTCGTTCAACCGCTCAACCGTCCAACCGACTGCGCAGTTCTGGGGCCATTAAAGAGCCAAGACTAGCGAGAAAAAATCAAACTGAAGTCTCAGCTTTAGCTCTGCTCCACTCGATCTACTCAAGTTCAGGGTCAGCGCTATTTTGTCTGTCGGAAGTGACACTGCCAGCAGGGCGACCATTGTTACACAAATCCGAGTTTATGGCTTCTCATGCCGCTTAATAACAGGTCTTGTCAAAACTGGAGCCATTAAAAGGTTTTCAAAACGGAGCAAAACGTGTTGAGATCTGGCTGAATCGGAATAGTTGTCCGCACCGCTTTGATTTCAGTCGCGGAATTATGCTTTTGAACACAATGATGAAGCACACACCGAAAAAAATCAGCAAATTGAGTCGTAAGTGTCGCAAGAAAAATATTTTTCAAATTTTAATTATATTCAATTACTAGTTTTTTGCTTGAGCTCCTTTTACTTCTGTTAATCTAAAGCGCTTATTAGAACTGGAAAAGTATCTTGACAAGAGTGTGTCTAATTAATACACACAAGTGTTAAGGTTAATATAAGTTTTCAACGAAGGTGTACAGCACATAAGTTTCATCAATTAAAACTCACTTTGAAATGGAAAGTTTTTGACAGTTGAAGACCCTGCTTGTATAAAGGTATCAGTAGTCATCTGTTTTCTGGACTCGTTTCGGCTTCACCTCACTTTTATGACAACCTCCAGCGTGGATTAAGGAGAGCCGAGGCAAAAACTTGGCATGTACTGTGCATCGATCGTGATTGCTGGCCTTGATTTCTGCGTGTTTTTATGATTGCACAAAAGCGATGACAGAGTCGATCGGCCGAGCAGCAGGTATTGCAGCAACCGGCAACCGGCGGCTCTATGCCAATATGCATTGCGCATAGCAAGTAAACGCTTGTCAATGCAAAATTGTCAATCAATTAGCCCAAACGGGGGATAGTCGGCTCTGCTGACAGCTTGACTGCTGCCTCTTCGGGGCAAGTGTTGTACATAATTGCCGGTATTAGCCACCTCACGATCCCACATTGGGGCTATGCCATTGTCAAACATTCAATTTATGGACCACAGATTGCCACAGAAAACAATTGCACAATTTGCTCCGAATCTTGTGAGCAACTGATTGTAAATTAGTGAGCAGCATTCTAAATTTATCTTTGCTTAACATCACCAGATTTTGTCTGTGTACTTTTTGCTCAAATTTGTCCACAATCAATCAATTCAATTGTCAATCATGGGAAAAAAGCGATCAAAATAGATCGATTTGTAGTCGCCAAAAGAATCCCAGCCCCTCGAATTGGCCAATAAAATAGAGCTCATGCTGTCCTGAGTGGAGGCAACAGATGGTATCCATACATCAGCGTTATCGATACCATTTTTGGCATTAACTGCGCTGACAAATTTGTTGCCAGATGCCTATCCTCCCAGTCGGGCCATAACTCTATGCCGTGACGTAACTAATGGCCATGTTTAGCCGCAAAGGTTTAGTCCCATATCGCCGGCGGTTTGGGTGCGTTTTGTTGGCGGTAAAAAAGCACACACACTTCCTCGAGGCTCATTAGTTAGGCAAACACTCGACAATCAATAGCCATAAATAATGCCGCATTCTGCAGTGTTGTCCATTGTAATCGATTTCGAGAATCACATAAAAAGTGTCAAGCGACAGTGAGTTGTACAAAAACCTGAACTGAATGCAATTAATCAACCATAATTCTTTTATTGAGCGGGTAATTCAATTAACCCAACAAACAGTCGTCATAAATATTTATGGGTAATTGCGATTCATAGACCAAACATGTGAGCAAAGTGCAAGGCAATCAGCGAACAATAACGTAAATAATTTTTTTTTTTGAATATTTGAGCGCTTTTTTCCAAACAAAAACTCAGGCAGCTGCAACAATTTAACAATTTAACACTTGACATTGTTTTATTAACCGAGGGGGTTGATGTTTTTATGTAATTATTGTTATTACATTCGAGTTATCCACTCAAATCGAGTTCAAGTTCGAAGTGTTTGTTTGCCTGAAGTTAAAATTGATTTGGCTGTGTCTGGCAATTTGCCATGCAACTAAATAAAGCGATTTTAATAGATCATCGTCGAGTCGAGGCTGCGTTGATAAGGCGAAGCGGGTTTTATGGCATTTGTTTCGAGTCTCGAATCGGTTAATTCCGATCTCGATGTTCGATTCTAGATAATATCAGCCAGCGAAATCGTGTAGCGATTTGCCAAACACGACAATGCAAAGCACTTTTCAGCGAGGATTCACCGCATGAATACAAACCGAATAATCGAATAACCGAATTAAAAACCATAACTCGTTTTCCAGCTCACTCCTTGCCTGCTGCTAGTCGCCACAGTCGCCAGCCTCTGCATCCAGACGCAGGCCATCCGCGTGGATTGGGGCACCAACACAGGACCGATCGCACCACCCCCGCCGCGCACCACCCCGCAGCCGCCGAGGAAGCCGTATCGGGATCCAGCGCCCGTCTGGGAGGACCAGAGCGATGACATACCCAACCCCAATCCCTATGTGTAAGTGCAAACGGGTTTCCATCGCCGCGGCTAACCAGAAAAACTAGCTGCAAGGGTCAGTCGTTTCTGTGTATAAACAATTTATATAAATCAATTGAATGCCTGGTATTTTTGGATTTTCGCTTGAAGCCACATGCAGAGAAAACGAATTAGCATTGCTCCAACACAAGTTGGATTGCATTGGTATTAATAAATATTTTGCAGACACGGAAATTAAATAAATTCCATGGCTTACATGGATAAATGCTATTAAAATATTTAAAGATTTATAGGTACTACAGTTGAGTCTCAGTTGAAATAAGATTAAATACATTTACAACTTGAAAACTATTAAGAATCATTTGAATTGAGGTTACCTACGATTTCAATACTAATTAAAATCTATTATTTTTTTGTAGCTATGTCCTGCCACCGCCTTCGAGGCCGAGGACCTGGGCGATTCCCGCCGGACCCTACGCCCCGCCCAACTACAACAACCAGCCGCCGCAGGGCAACAACAACTACGGTCAGCTGGCCAGCAGTTCTTACAGCGGCGGAGTGACCTCCGTGCCCGGACTGGCCGCCCAGTACGTGCCCGGAGTGGGCATCAAGTACACGGCGATCGTGGTGCCCGACAAGCTGCAGGGCAAATACAACGCGAAGACCAAGAAGTACAAGGCCTACGAGAAGGCCAAGTACGCCTACCCCTGGAACTATGTAAGGCAATACGAGGGTCGCAAGCGATATGTGCGCTACTGAGCCGCCGATACCCGATCTGAATTGCATTTAGAACTGCCTAATATACCTATATTGTACAAGAGATTAAAGCCAGACCTCAGACACGAACCCCCCGCTTTTTCTGCCAGCCTTTTACAGACACCTACTCGAAAGCATTCCGAGTCCGCTCACTCTCCCTTTCACAATCATCTTGCCCCATCCACATCCACACAACCAGCCTCATGCTACCAGCCACAGCCACAGAAACAGCCACAGCCTCAGTCACATCCACATTCATGTCCATGTCATAATCGCATGCATCATCTCGTTGCAGTTGCAGCAGTTGCCGGTGGAGGAGAAGGCCTTGGAATGGCAGGCGGAGCTGGAGAAGCGGCTCGACGAGGAGCAGGCTCAGTTGCAGTCGCAATCCTCCACAACAAGCACCACTTCCAGCACCTCGACGAGCAGCTCCACCACCACCACAGCAACACCACCTCCACCGCCATCCGCGGACAGCACCACAACTGCCACAACAGCCGCATCGACGACAACATCTACGAGCACGCAGCAGCCCACAACAATTGCCAATTACAAGCTGGCACACGAGAAGAGCGCCCATCTGAAGAAGCACACCAAGCAGAAGAAGCTCTACCAGCTGCACCTGGAGCAGGAGAAGCTGGCGAAGAAGCTGCAGAAGGAGCAAAACTCGTTGCAGACCAGTTGAGCGGCCAGCGACGTCGAAATACTTACAGTCGCGAAACAAGAAAACATTAAAGCGAACATTAAACTTAAGACTTGCCCACAATGTTGTAAATAACTATTAATAAAATTAAACATCCCATAATAAAACCTAATCGAAATCAAGGAACTTGGCCAACGAACTCCAGATGGGCATGTGTGGTAAGCGTGGTAATTGAAATTAAGGAACAGTCGCGCACAAAAACAAAAGACTTAGGCAACGAACTTTAAGTGGAAAAGTGTCGCAATAAAAAAAGGTAATGAAAAAAGGTAAGCAAAACTAATTACTTCTGAGGTACAAAAAGTACAAAGAATTCCATTACACTGCCGAATCGACTAAGGAATTTGTCTTTAAATTTGGTGGACATCATAAAATCTAATTAAAATTTATGTGTTTCGGAGCAAAATGCTGGGGTCCGGAATTAATTTGTGGGCAAATAAAATTAGTAAGGTAAAAACTGATGAAAGGGATAAAGTGAAAATGTAAGTGATAAAGTAAAAAAGGAAATTTGATTTAACAAATATTTTGAGAATGGCTTTAGTGCGCACAAATCAAATGGGGCATACGTGAAATTTAATAAAAATGATTACCTAAAACTGTAAAAATTCCACCTAAAAAGTGTTTTCACTCATTTAAAAGTTTCAAAATCAAAAGACTTAGGCGACGAACTTGTGTATGAAATGGTTATAATTAAGTAGCAATTTCCGCGAGACCTAGGTGATGATTTTAGTGACGTAAGTGATTGCAGTGCAAATACCAAAGATAAAGTCGAACAAACAGGGAGATTGTTAGAGGGCAATTTGTCTCGACCGAGGAAGATGGCGCCTAAATTAGCTTTTAATTGCCCGAAGGGGGGTCAGCAAAAGGGCAAGCCGGACAAGGTGAGCTGTCAAACGGAATAACGGAGCCACCGCTGATTGGCACTTTCTTGGACGACTTTTTGTAGCCGCCGGCACTCAAAACTGGGCACAAAAAGCTGGGCCAACAAAACATACGGCAATTAGCCGGGGCAATTAGCGGTGTCGTTGAACGGCGGCGGCTTCTGGGCCATCATTTAAGCTGCTCGCTGATCACAGAGCGGCGTGCGCAGACCCTGACCAAGAGACAAGGGACGTAAGCTGTCTGTGTGCAATGTAAGCAATACAATTAGCACGAAACGCTAACCAAAATACAATCATTCTTTTCTTGCGCACCGAAAATATTTGATTTATACCCGGCTCCTTCGGCTTCGTTAGGTGTCGTTAACCGAGTTTCGGTTTGTCAACGGGTTTAGTGGCGCAGAAATACGTCAACAGCTCGCGCCGAGGCTTAATTTATTATAATTAAGCCTGAAATTCATATTTGGCCCGAACAGTGAACAGGCATCAGCAGTAGCTGACTTTCTGTCCTGCCCTCTAAGTGTTTAATTTAGTGCAGTTTTTTCGGTAACTCAAACAATTACCAGAGCTAAAAGGCACGGCCAAAAGATTGGTTTATAAATAATAGGGATGTTAAAGGTAGCCATAAATTTCGTTTCACAAAAGCAGCTCAAAGATAACAATCAAAAACGGTTTGCATCTAGTCGTTCGTTTGTCTCTGAAAACAAAAGGAAACTAATTTTATTTATTCATTCCGCTGCGCCCGATTTAATGCCCGAAAATATTAACATTTTAAATGTAATAAAATTGTCCGTTTACATTTTATGGGCCCCTCCCGAAATCAATTTAAATTTCAAATTAGAAATCCACTTAACAAGTCAGCGAAGTCATTGAAAGACAATTAAACATTTTGCGATTTACGGCTGCGTGAAGCGAGACAAATAATTCCCTTGTCGCTTGTTGTTTTAACGGGCCGGTTTCACGCCGCTGGACGTCCTAAATCACAAATGCCACGGGATCGGCGATGTCCAGAGCCCGGATCGGCTGACTGCTCCGGAATTCCAGGGCCTGGTGCACCCGACTGTTCCCGGTTCGCTGCTCAACGACGGCCTTGAATCCCCGGTTCGGTCCCCGCACCTCGTAGTGCACGCTGCGGATGTGTCCGTCGGGCTCCAGGTGGGCGTAGGATCCAGTCACGTGGTCTCCCTGCCGCTGCTCGCGGTGCAAGATGTGCACCTGACTGGCCAGGTCGGAGATGTGGTACTGGTGCGAGTAGTGGAGCTAAAAACCAGAAAACAAAACATTAAAAACTAAAAGAATCAAGTTTAAAGATTCATTTTGAAGCATGTACTTAAGAGTTATATAAATCATATATGCCTTATCAATTAACATGATAATAATAATATGCATTGAAACAAAAATAAAATCTACTAAATTTAAAATAAAAACTTTTAGCTGAGTTTTTGTTTTTGCAAATAAAAATGTTGCCTACCGAAGTTAGCATGGCATACAATGAACTATAATGTTGCTAATATTACCCTATTCTCTGAGCACAGAAACAAATGTCAGACTCACCCTTTCCTCGTCATGATTTTTGCCGTAATCGTTGTAAAACTCAATGTGCTCGGCGGGGCCACGCTGCGTATGCGCAATGTGCAGCAGCCAGAGGATCACGAAAGCGAAACCAAAACCCATTCCATACGCCATGTTGACCGGACACGTGGGCATGAGCGGCTGCCGAAATTAATTTGATTAGAAACATAACGAAGCGGCGAGAAGAGTGGGAGCTGACCGAAGATTGGCCCCCCATAAGGGGAGTGGCCGGGGTGAAAATCATTTGCACTTTGCAGTTACGGCAGCGTTGAAAGCTCCGAGCTGCCACTTCCTAGCGGCTGCACTGATGCTGATTACATAGTCACGTTGTTAACTACATCTTCACGGTGCACAGCAGTCAAAAAGCTGGACCTGGACTCTTAAGTTGGAGCTGGGGAGCTGGAGCTGCAGCTGAAGCTGGAGCTGGTGTGGATTGGATGGGTGGATTGGCGGTGTGGTGCATGCCACAAGTTGGGCAATCAAAGCGAATCAAAGACCAGCATCTTTCACACTTCGTTAGCGGCCAGCGACTTGGTCAGGGCAATTTAGTGTCAAAAATCGAGCAGTCGATCGAAAGACAAAGGCCTCGAACCCTCGGCTATATGCACATTATGGATCTTTGCGATCTTTTGGCGGTTGGCGGTTGGCTAACATGCCCTAACGTGACTGCTCGCTGGCTGCTCGGTTGGATTGCCGTTGACCCAGACCAGGCACCTGGACCCTTTTTTTCCCCCAATCGATGGGCTTGGCTCGGGCTCAAAGGAGATTGCCGTTTATGAGCCACGAGTGGCAACTTTCTTTCTCTTGCATCATGATGGTTAGAGTTTTTTTCTCCTCGACTCTTTCGAGGCACGTTTCGCTGGCAATGCAAAGATTTGAACAGCAGGTGACGCCATCGCCGTCCGATGGCCGTTGCCTCTGCCCAGTTTGTTCCAGGTCTTCCCACTAGGATGCTCGCCAGTTCGTAAAAACCAATGCCCTTTTGATTAGTTACAGCTGTAATTGCCCCGCGGGCTTTGTGAAAGGCTGCATTGGCCACCAAGCACCGAAAAAAAATCATTTCAATAAATACCAAGAGAGTTTCTCTAAACTACATTTTCTACATGTTGTATTTATTTTATAGGTAACGTTCAACTAATATTTTCTTCACGATTACTGAATTAAGCTCAGAGGTTGGGATAAATAATATATAGATGATCCTAATAAATTAGAAAAGATAACAAATTGAATGATATTAAAAAATTATATAAATCACATTGAAAATGACTAACAAATTGCTATTTCTGTATAATCATTTGTCAAAAGATCACCGATACCAAATGTTCCAATATTAATTTAAATAATAAATGGCTAGTACTAAATTACGACCAGCATATCGAAATATCATTTAACCTTGTGAATATTTTGCGAGACTTTATTTATTGTTACATTAAAACTTTTTTAATCGGCAATGTTGTTTTGTTAGATTCTTGGTATAATATAAGATTTATTAATATTTCCTTAGACTATTCTTTTTCTGTGCATTCTGCAATTCTTCGCTGGTAATAGAGAAATTGTCTAATTAGGCCGCTACACCAACTTTCGATTGGCCATGGGCTGCACTACGCATACGCCCCTCGGATTGCGCAATCGAAGCCAACTAGATTCATCTGGCTGGATGCCGAGTGCTCTGGGCCACGAATCTTGGCGCCCAAACTGGGCCCGTCCAAACTGTCGTTAATTGCGGGGTCGCCTGGTGGCTGACTTCCATAATTCACAGAATCGAACCGATAATCTACGGTGGGTCAGGGCACGTTTTCGGCCCATCTCCGACTGGCCAAATGCCAAATGCACTGGGGAAAAGAGTGCTGGCCAAAGAAAACGCAAACAGAAACAGGCTGGACCAGGACAACTCGTTTCGTTTCGTTTCGTTTGACTTGCTAATTGCAATGTAATAAAATGAAATGTGAAATGAAATGAAATGGCGAAAGAGAAATATCGGACGACAAAGCATTTCCATTTCTTTTGGCCAGCCTTTGGACACACGCGCTCCATTAGGCCCGACAAACATGCGGCGAATGTTTATTCATAACTGGACCGACTGGACGGGATCGGGGGCTAGGGGCTCATGGACCAGGTCCAATTCCAGATCTGGCAGAGACACATCCACGGGTCCAGAGACAGTCGCACTCGGTCAGTCAGTCAGTTAGTCGCCTTGTCAGTCGGTCGGTCGGAAGCCAAACACGCTGATGCGAAAAAATAAAAACACTTGCATTTTCTATTGATTTGTGGCCAGATTTCTTGTTTTCCTTGCTTTGTTTACATAATGAACTGCCACCGAGTGCTGTCCCCCTCCGAATCCCCGAAGACCCCTCCTCTCGTAGATATAGCCCCTATCTATCCCCCCCACTCTGTCCGATTTCCAGCTCCGAGTTTAGTTATGCGGGTGCCAGTCGCACATAGCATTGCTCAATGCTCTCTGCCGACACTCGAGATCGGAGGCTATATGGCTATATCCCCGCTCCGCGGCGCAGTCGTCGCCGAGTGCGTCGTGCCCAGATATATAACCTTAGTCAATGCTATTTGTTGTTATCTTTATAGCGATCGCCGGGGGCTGCCGCACTCGCAGCATCACAGCCAATGTCGCCGACAAAGTTGCGCCGAGCTGCCGTTCGGCGGTAAATGGGGGAAGTTGCTGCGAACTTCGCTTAATTGCCACGGGGCAAAGATGGAATGGCGGGTGAAATTCGAAAGAAGGGGCGTGCAAAATGGCAGAGAAAGCAGTTGCATTTGCCAATAAAAAATCTGTCAAATATTGCCTCGTTTAGAAAGGGTTTTGATCGGAAGCAGAGAATTGATTTATTTCGTTTAAGTAGCACTAGAGAAATCGTAATTTAATTTGAACGAATGAGATCCATACAGAAAATATTGTGTCACAAAAAGGTAAAAAAAAAATGTCCAAATTGTTAAGTAAAGAAATGTATTAAAAACACTTAAGTTTTACAATCATATTTAGCTTCGTGCTTTTATCATTAGTTTAACATCTATATCACCCTATAAAAAGCTAGTCGGTTAAACATATTTTTATCTTTTGACTCTACTCATTTTAGTAAACCCCAAAGCACTCGCTAAGTTGCCAACATTCTGCAAAATTACACCCATAATCTGCGTTTTCATCTTCCGCAATTTCGGCCGACATTTCGCGTTAGTTGGCCATGTTTACCGACCTGGTTCACTCACTTCCCCTTCTACGAGATCTCGATCGCTGGGGGATTGCATAATGTCATGGGTACAGAAGAAGACCGCTTTCAAGGCCGCACTCGTGAGCACACTTGGCTGGGCCTTTCTTCCCGTTCCCCATTCCCCATTCGCCAAAAAGCCGGCCTTTTATGGCCTTTCCTGGCCGAGTCGTGTCGCTGCACTTCCCAATTAAAATGCATGGCTAGGACAGCTCCAAGCTGGCCGAAAAGCACTCAAATGCGATACGAATCGCAGAAATGCTGCGAACAACCGCGAAGCAGCGGCAACCGACAAAATTCAAACTCGTTTTAAATGCACCGAATTTACATAATGTGCTCCAAATGGGCAGCGGGCAAATATAAATCTCGAGTCACAAAAAATAATCGAAAAACACAGCCCGAAGCAATGGCAATGACAATTGCATGTGACAATTGCGGAAAAGGCCAAAGTTGCCCAAAAAATCCGCGAAAATCTGGACGCAGGCAAAGTTAAGTTCATGGAAAATCAGTTTTGCATATGAAAGTTTCAGTTTCCTTGATTTCCATTTGAAGGGGAACTGCTCAAACTGAAAATTAAGTCGAACGTGAAAAGCGAATCTAAAAAGCGATTTTGATGCCGGGCAATTTATGTTATTGAACCTTGCTGTATGCAAATTGAAAACCCTGAGTAATTGCAACAGATTTCTGGGCTTGTTTTAATAAGATTTTTCATTTTCGTCATTTTGCTGAATGTTTGAGAAATGAAAGTCCCGAAATTAAGGAGGTCTCCCAAAAAAAAATAATCAAACGTCGACTTCCTTCCACGGAGAGCCACTTACTTTTGTGTTGCAAGTTGTTGGCTGGTTGCAAGTTGCGAGTTACCAAGTTTTTGGTTTCCAACTGCTATGTGTTGCTATGTGTGGGCCGTAATATCAATGGCAAACACTTGAAAAATGAACCACTTTGCTGGGCTGCCACGCTTGCTCTGAAGTGTTTGGAGTGCTCTTGCGTTTATTTACGACAGCCGGCAGATGAGAAGAGTCTGGGATTTTAGATTGTCAACGCGAAGATTCTGCTGCGCACGAAAATCGTGGTGCCGGTGCCCCATAATTATGCATTCACCTCCGTGTGTGCATAAATAAATCCATATCTATATCTATATCTATCGCACACAGACTCAAAGTCTATTAGATCATTCTCTTTTGCAATTCTTCGCCGGCCTGTTTGATTTAATTAACTTTTGGCGCACAGCAATTGCGAGCAGTTCCCTGAAACGGATTCAATAAGCCAACAAAAGGGCATGATGCCGCACTTTGTGCACCCGGCAACTTACTACACACACAAAAAAAACCGAGCTTGTAACCGCAAATTAGTTTCAAACATCACACAAAACACAAAAACAGCCTGCAAAACAGGCAGCAAAACTGCATCAGCGATCGGCAGCCTTGCAAAATCTGAAAATCCGCTGCAATAATACCCATAGCCCCCTCCATATGCCCGCCATATCTCGGAGTCAGTCAGCTGAAAAATCGACAAACGATGTTCGCCTTTATTCTGTATTATTATTCGCTCGCTGCTTATACATATTTCGGTTTTGCGAGCCGGGCTTTGATTATTCAGTGCTGATAGTAAAAGTGACGCATCAAGTGGAGCTGCCTGAGCTTCGATGTAATTGGAGTGCAGCGGGGGGTATAAACGATTCAGAATGGTTTAACAATTTATTATTCTAGTATTACAAAATTTATAATGAAATAAATTTAACAAATAATCTGGTAATAAATAAACTACATTTTACTTTACTTATAAATTCCTCAAAATTATGATTCAAATTATAGAAACGAAGCAAGATGCCCACTTATATGTTATGCCATATATTTTTTTTAGTGATAAGTACAAATAGGTGTACCCCCCAATAAACTGTTCTGATTTGCTGTTCCATGACTCAGTGACACAAATACTAGCGCACACGTGTTTATAACTCATTTTGCAATATTTTTTGAAAAACACACAAAAAACGTGTCCCAGCGGCAAACAATCACTTTGAAAGGGTCGTGTGGTTTTGCATCTTTACGGCCAACTCAGCCAACATGGGCATCAATAGAATCCTAAAAAAAATGGCTTTGCCATTACATCTTACTTCGGGGTTTTGTAATGCCTGCCTGCTAAATTTGGAAACTATTCAAGCAGCAGCAACTAAACAGCCTCTAACGTCAATAATAGATGCCAAAGAGCTTTCAGTTTAGCCGGTTTCGGATGCTCACAACTTGCTAACTTTTATGACTTAATTTTTCGCAGCCGCTCAGCGAAAATACATCGGCTATTGAAAACATTATTTGCGGTTTGCAAAACGGGGTTCAAGAGGGTTTGAAGCACACAGATTTATTTGTGGTCTGCAGAAATCGATTAGAGCGAACGAAGTCTGATCGATGCCGATCAACTGAGAGTTGGGCACGTGGTTGGGTTCAATTAATAAGTGAGTTTGTTTTGCCACGAGACGGAAGTAATCATGGGCGATTATTTTAAATTGACTGTTAATGAAATGCAATTGGACTTTGGCCGAAAGATTTATTAAACTGGGTGGAAGATTAAGTTCGGAAACTGGGTTTATCGTTTCTTGTACTTCTTCCTTATTTTTATTACCTCTCGTTTGCAGCGCAGAATTTTATGACTGCAAATTGATCAAAAATTGAATCTGAAAACTAGTTTAATTGCCTCAGACGCGCATTTCCTCGTTGATACACATCCAGTCCAGAATTTTCTCGTTTCAGTTTGGAAGTTTTCCGTGATTTCCTTTGAACTGCTTGCCACCCAGCTGAAGCATTTCTAAGCCACGAAAAATGAGGCTTAAATTATTGGCTTGGCATTTAACATGACAGCCACATTAAATTGTCCACTTTGGCAACCTGTGTGCCGGGCACATACTATATGTATATACCAGTAGTACCCATATATATATCTGTATGGCCATATGTATTATATATAGATAGGAGTCGGCTAGGCTGCCACTGGCGTTGGCTGTAATTGAGGTTTGACGTCTCGGCCCGGGTTGGGTTCAGACTTTTGCTCTGGGGCCTCGGACCTCTCGAGGAAATTCAGGTGACGACGGCTGTCGGGGCAAAAAACAATTTTTATTTAACAGCTTCAGTTTTCGGTTTGTTAATTGTCACTTTCATCGGAGCCCGCACAATCCCAGCAATTTTAATTCAATCCTAATGCGCCCAAATAATTTCGGATTGGGTAAGCCTGGCTCTCCGCTGGACTCTGATGCAATCACACTGGAACAAATTGTTATATTACTTTGTCTGGAAAATGCAGCTCATAACTCACTCGAATCAAATATAGTATGTATTTTATTGAGCGGGCTAATCTGCGTTTTATGCAAAGCAACTTGGCAACTCGTACCGAGAAATGTTTGCCCGAGACCAGTTCTTGGCCCCTAACCTTGAGCCACAAACATGACGCTAAGAAGACGCTTCCACTTCTACATCCGTTGTGTAATTGCCAAGAGACAGAAAAAATGAGAAAAATCCGTTGCGTGGTGCTGGACAGCCGTCCAGTGGTGCGGTGGCTCGGTGGTTCGGTGGCTCAATTACTAGTCGCCAGAACCATTAACAGGTATAAAGATCGAGCCGAATTCAATTTATTTGTTAATTAAACGATTGGCTAATTCTATGTTGTCTCTTGTACGCAGATTAGCAGCCATCAAGATCACAGCTCGGATATGCAGTTAGCCGACTTTGGCACCCCGGTCTTATGAGTGATATTTCGTTGAAATATTAAGTATACGTTGCGGTGTTACAAAGTGTGTTTATTGCCGACTAAGAGAAACACACATAAACATTGGATAAAATGCGTTTTAAAGAGAGTTATGAATGAAGTAATTAACATTTTACTAAGCAGGCAAAAGTCGGTTAAACTTTTTGATCCTAAGAAAGACATCCCCTAAAATATGCAAGAAAACTTAACTTAATGCGTTAGTAAATTTAAAAACCTTTTGCTGCGGTTTAAGCCAAGTTTTTTGAGCTCAGCTTTCAACTTCAGTAAAAAGCTTTTAACCGTATATTGCCGTTTCCATTTCTACTGTTTAACAGGTCAGACGAAGCGACCGGAAGAAAACTCTTGGCACCACCAATTAAGTCAGTCAAATGGGCCAAACAAACAAACAAAGAAAATAACCCAAAACAGAAGTAAAAAAAAACTTATGTAAGCTGGAGTTACAAGCTTTCAGACCGTGAAAATGTCTTTTTTTTTGCTGAGGAAAAGCGTTAACGGAAACGGCCAACTTTGAATATTGAACTGCAATATTTTTGCCTTAATGAAATGCAAAGCTTTTGGAGCGCTCAATTGGCCATGAGACATATCGATTAAAGCTTTCTTAAATGGGTGCTGCAAACTAAATTAAGGCTTTGCTTAGTGCAAATTACAACGCCTACATGGAATACGGTATCTGGTAGCTGCATATTAATCATCACAAATCATCTGCCTTATTCACATGTCTGGCTTGAATCAGTTAAAACAATTATGTCAGATAAGTTATGATTCACAACTAAATTTATAAAATATTACAAGAAACGTTACTAACTATTAAAATTAAAACAAAACAAAAATGTAGAATTTATGTTTTAATATTAGGTATGTTTATTATTAGCATCAGGACTTTGTATAAAATCCGTTTTTTGAGATTTAATTTTCGTCATAACAAGGCCAAATATAGTCTCAAAACTAAAAGAATGAATGTTTTTGACAGCTGACCATCTAGACAAACGATCCTAATCATTCTTTGGTAGACTAAAGAAAATGAATTTTTGGCCAATTTTTACGATTTTGGTAATTTTGCATTTTATTGCATTTTTTGCGAAAATAGTCCAAATTAAAATAATTTTAGGTGTAAATGCCATCGGATTCAGAATTTTATTACGAATTCAACGATGCATGCCATTTCATATTTGGAAGATTATTTCATGAGGATAGACAAAAGTATCAAGGAAAACACTACAATTTTTATATTTCCACTTAAAAACATGTTTCGAATCTTTATTTTACAAATTTGTTACATAACTTAAGTAAGATTAACCTTGATGTTGTTCCCTTACGTTCGATCCGTTGCGCAGATCTCAAGTTCCTTGCAAGCTGCACTGAGAGAATCCGTAGAGTTTCCGGGTGGCGTACAACTAAGTGGGCTTAAACGACTACGAAGTGGGTCCGCTGGGAGGGAGTCCTAGTAGTGGCCCGCATAAGGACTCGCGTAGTGGCCGTAGTGCCCGTTGTACTGGTCGTACTGCGGGATGTACTCGTACTGGCCCTGGTTGTAGTAGCCGTCGTCGTAGTCGTAGTGGATGGGGGCAGCTGCCGCCGGCGCATAGTGCTTGGCCACTTGAAGATCGAACAAATATAGAAACTTTAGCTTTTGCGCGGGGCGACTGTCTTAAATTTATTTCGCTCTTCGGGGCTGTTGTAATAATGACCGACAAAAAACTAAACTGCGGTAACAGCTGTTAACCGTTTGCCATTGTTGGTAAGTAGCTCAACTGCCGAAGAAAAATAAACTAACAACTCAGTGCTGACCAAGGCATTTTCTTCGCCCATTTCTCTGCCCCCTTGCAAAAATTTATTTGTGCACGATTTTGTCAGTCAATTGGTCACAGGTGTTGTTTTGCTTTGCTTTTGCTTGCCATTTACTTTTTTATCTTCTTTACTTTATTTTTACTTTGCTTTATTTTTGCTTTTCCGTTTTGTATGCAAACAAGTTCGTTGCCTAAGTCTTTTGTTTTGGGCGCTGATTTCTTTCGCTGTGCGTTTTGCTGATAATTCCCAATTAAAATTGCACCGCAGCACCCACAACAATTATGAGTTTTCACATGAGTGTTCACCATGTATTCATTTCCCAGGCCCAAAGCGTTGCGACATTGAGAAAATTATGCTAAAGTCTTTGCTAGTGTAAAACAAGGGGAGACGGGGAAATTGCCGAAGAAGAAGCGGCAATTTTCGTGAAAAATATGCTGCGGTGGCTGCTGCCTGTGCTGTGTTTTTTCAACTTTTTTTTGGAAGATGATGCACCTGACATAATCTGTGTGGGAAATTTGAGGCGGAAAGTGCATAAACAAAGCTAGATCTTTGGCTCCGATCGGAGCAAAGTGAGGTAACCCACTAAAGAGGCGGGTCGGCGCGGATTAGTCAACCATATGATGTTACACATTGCCAACCCAGTTACAGCCCATGATGATTCAGCTGCTTAGCTGCTTGACTGGGCACAAATGTGAGACTGATTGCGATTTATTGAATGAAATTGCCAATGCAACTGCCACCCAAGCTAGAAACGATGAGATTACAATGCAATTATGGTAAGATATTCAGACGGCTCAGAACCTTTCAGTATTCAGTAGGCCGCATAGTAATCAGCGTCAAAGCCAAGATCATCATCATCAGCATCGCCGTTGTCGTCTTCGTCTGGGCGCAATTTGCGATACTGATTGTTCAGGTAGTTGGCATGCCGCCTGAACAGCTTTAGCATGCGATATGTGTTCATGCCTGTAAGAGCAAGCAGAGAACACGTGGAAATGGATGGCAGTGGGTGGGTGGAGCCACAAGAACGAGGGGAACTACGCGGGAGAGGGGGTGAAGTGAAGATGTGCCACCGGAGGTGAAGGACCCACTAACAAGGTGCTGCTAAGCCCTAAAGCCTTGAAACTTCTCTACACCATTTACTATATTTATCCTCCCCAAATGTTCTTAACTCACCATAAGGCGCCGGAGAAGCCACCACCAGTGGGGCGTGGGCCACCGGAGCCACATGCTTCACCACCTGCGGTTCGTAGTGGGCCAGGATCGGCTTGTGGGCCACAATCGGATTGGCCACCACCGCCTGGGCGTGCACAGTGGGTCCCGACTTGGTCACCACCGCGTTGAACCCGTGAATGGAGTCCGCCGTGTAGTCCACCGTGCGGATGGAGCCATCGGGCTCAACCAGGGAGTACTGACCTGGAGGAGAAAACATAGAAATACAATGGACTTCAACCGAGTCACTGCCAATTTACCCTTGACCACATCGCCATCTCGCGTTTCGTGCTGCGACTTCACGTCCCCTGTGCTGTGATCAGCCACGCCGTAGTTGAAGGCGTACTTGGGATGATCCTGTTTTTATAAAGATGGAAAATATATAAAATTAAATCTGTATTTTATAAATACAAAACAAAAAGAAACAAAATTTACTTAATTTAATTTTTTGTTACTTTAAGATTCAAATAATAGTAGTTAATTGATAAATAAAAATATTCTTTACTTTTAAGATGAAGTTAACAAACTCAAACTTAAACATTTTTTAAAACTCTAGGATCTTCAAATTAATGTGTTTCATATATGTTATCCACACTGAACGAAACATTTGGTTAGTTAGGAGTTTTTCTGTATGCAAACAAGGCTTTTAATCGTTTGTAAACCACATACATATTCCTATCCAAAACTCACATAATAATCCAGGGCATATCCTGGTTTCGCCACAGCAACACTGGCGAACAGAGCCAACGAAAGGATCACGAAGCACACGAAGTTTGCCATTTTATATTTGGGTTATATTTTTGGTTCAAGAGCGATTGAAACGTGAAATATATGCTAGAAGTAAACACAAGATTCGTATCCGTTAGAGCACACCGCACTGAGTTAAAGATTTGTTGGGTTATCCTTCCAAAATTTACTTGTAGTAATTCAACGGCACCAGATACAAACACCGCCAAGCTGCCCGGAATACTGTGGCGATTCTAGGAGCCAGTTTCCATTAAATAAGCGCGAAATGTGCGAAAGCCGCGGGCAGCGCAGTCGGCGTGGGCAGCGCTGTCAGCAGCGGAGTCGGCAGAGAGCGTCCACAATGCCAAGACTGAAAGAAAAAGACTCTTGGTTTCTCAGTCAGTCGGCTGTGGCGAATGGCAAATGGGGATCCAGTCGGCCGAGCCACTCTTCTCCGGCCAAGTGGCAAGATACCCATGTGGCCATGTGAATGGAGTTGCAGCAGATCTGCCAGATCCAGATCCATGGGATGTTGCCAAACGAAGTTGCCGGGTTTCCACTGAATGGGGTGGCGTTGTTGTCGACCGATCGGCGGCGACACATTTCTCAAATCCGCCGCCGCCGCCGCCGTTGAGGTTGCCAATCCCCCACAGCCATTGTCAATGAAGTCATCGGGAACAATCACTTCGGCTCAGCACAGAATTATGCGAGATTAATCATTCGAGTTAATCATTAATTTCCCCTGATTTCTGCAAGAAATGATTGTGGCCAATTTAACTAACAACTTAATGCTCGCCAAAAGAAACCCAGTCCGAAACCGAAATAAATCGCTGACAAGAACCGAAAAATGTAAATCAAACACAAATCGGGTCAAGTTGCAATTGCAGCACAATAAGGCCCTAGTTATTCGGCACATGCGAAATTCTCAGTGATCTACTTCAATGACAGCGGCCAAAACTGGTAACTACTACGAATACTAACACTAGTACGAGTACTATAACAACTGGACTCCGCTTAAGTCTTTGTCTCTCAGGCATCTAGCTGAAGGTCAAGCGCATTAAACTAGACTTTAAAGTTGGCTTCCATTCTGGGCTTAAACGAAAGCAAATTCTTCGTTGCAGGACTATTTATGACAGTCAACAAATGCTATTCCTTAGCTGTGGTGGTGCTGACCTTTGGTTTGGCATTAGCAAATAATTTGATTGGGAAAATATATATAAAATAAATTGAAACTTTTTAAGAGCTGAGTTTCTTAAATAAAATATACTTAAAAGTCATTAAAATAACCAAGTAAATTACACTAAGTGTTTTACAATATTTCAAAATGTTGTTCCATAAAATAAAAGAACGAAAATTACGACGTTTCTTTAGATATAAAGAAAACCACTTAACTAGAAGCTTTTGAAACGTTGTAAGACAGTTCACCTCTATTGAAAACGAATTCAATATTCTCTCATCTTCGACAAAAGCGGTCTGAGACAGTTTTTAAATCTTTAATTTATGGCAATTGCACACCCTTGAGCCGAGACGAGAACGTGCCAATTGCGGTCTGTCTGGCAGCCTACAAACTAATCCAAATTATCGTCAGACCGCAGAAGCCTTAACTTTACTGTTGTGCTGCAGCTTTTTGTGCGGCTAATAAGGTGGGCTAGTTTAATGTCCAGGTCGGCATTTCTTGGGCATTTTCACACAATTAACCGCTGCGAGGGGCGCGCTAAAGACTTTAATTAAACAGCGAGGAGGGCTTCAGCGGTAATCCCGGCCAAAAAACCAAAAAAACCAACAGACCTTCGACTCGCCTGCAAACAATTGCCTCTCTTCGACTGCGGTTTTTGTAAAACTAAATACTAGATTAAGTCAATTTGCATGCCGCCAAAAAGCATTTTGCTACCTAGACTTGGGAAAATTCAGTCAGCAATTGTCGGCGTTTTCCGAAGGTTTTCCACCTGCAGTACTCATACGAACTCATACGTTTTTTCCATTCGTTCTTTTTGCTGAGTAAGCGGGCACATGTGCGTGGCTGGGCATTGTTTCTGGTTTCTGGCAATTACCTTAAATATATTTAACCGGTGAAACAACAACAAAGCAGAAGAAAATTCATAAGCGGAGTAGAGGAATTTTTCTGAGCTTATCTAAAACTTGGCAGTTCAAGGGGGAGATTTTATGTGGGATGCGAAAATCAGGAAGTAAAACATTCTAGCCGCTTAAATATTAATATTCGTAAATCAACTCAAATCTATTTGTCCAGATTATTACTATACTATATTTCTGCCTCATTTCCTTTGCTTAAATAACTTATCTTTGGCAAGATAATTCTGCACAAAGTGCGTCACTCTGGGAAATTGGCAAAGCAATTACCATGAAGCGGCAGTTTTGGCCAAGTCCAGAGACGAGTCATGAGCTCGGATCGAGGCTGGTGACTTTGACTTGGCTTACTTCGCTCACCTAATTTCGGCTTGTTTACACACCCACTGATTTGACAATGGAGCACTCCACTTGGCGAGCTTCGACAACTGGCTTGCAACATGGGGAACGGAATTCGGCTGGGCTGGCGACGGGTGTTGCAAGTCGTGGGCGGTTTGCGGTCTTGTTTCCCCGGCAATTCTGGTAATGCCAACTCCGGCTGTCATTGTTGTCGCCCTTAGTTGGCCATGGTCCAGTGCCTCCGCTCCGAAGAGCGGCTGCCGCATCGCCAATTGAGTGACCATTGTTAGGCCGGGGAGTCTGTTACAGAATGACCCGTGGCAAATGCGTTCGCGGCAATAAAATGCAAATGAATGGCCGCCGCGGCATCTCTTCCTCGGCCTCTGGCCCCCAATAAATTTCGCACCTCGGCGGCCAATTTGCTGCAGACTGTTTGCCATGCATCAAATTAACGGCCCAGCTAATCCAGTTAACATGGTTATATAATTGACTCTGACAGTCGCCGGGCTGATTATGCACTGCTGAGTAGCAGATGGGATGTCTCCTATTATTTATGGGCGCCTCTACTTACTTCTGTTTAATAGCTGCCTAACATTAATCAACGAATAATGGCATTTTTCAATTACGCAGACAGGCAGACGACATTTAGCATCTTACTGTGGCTTAGGTGGGCTTTTTCAATCAACTATTGATGGAAGCTTTGGGGACTAACACTGCGTATACGTAATGAACAGCCACAACTGCGTGCTTTCACTTAATTTTTGAATCACTTGAACAATTCATTTGACTTATATTTAATAAGTGAGTGAAACAATCATATATATTATGTTTTAAAGGTTATCCAAATTGATCTCTTGACACTGTGCAACAAACAAATATTTCCGAAAGCCAGTAGCCCATAGTGGGGGTATTTTATTATCTATAAATCGTATCAGCTCCGATCGATGCATATCTTAGAGGTTGCATCTTAATGTTGCCGCCGCGTACAGACTCGCAGATACAAAGATACAATAAGTGCACTCGATGCCATATAGAGAGCACGTGTTGGCGACAGTTTATTGAGACAGTCGTCTTGAATGTCAACTAGTCGGGCCAGCAAAAACCGAAAGAGAAACATAAAGCCAAGACTTTAGTGACTGTCATTTATCTATGAAGAAGTTGCTGGCTAACTAAAGGTTATTGGAGCAGCAGCTACAGAAACCGATAGTCATACAAGTTTACATTCCATTCGACATTGGAACTTTGGAACAAGGCAGAAGTGCTGCCCAGGGCACCTGACTTGAACTCAGTAGTCTAGTTGGCCAGCGGAAACTTCCTTCCGGCATTTCCCACTCTGACCTTAACTGCTGGAGAATCCGCCCCCGAAGGCGGCACCTGTCCGTTCTTGTTTCTCGTTTCAAGTAAATTAATGGAGCCCACGTATGAGAGATTCCCCCTTTTGTTTTGCTTTGGGTTGAGCTCGAAAATGCGCACATTTAAACGGTCCGCTGATCACTGATCTTTGATAAATTCTTTTTCCCTCAGCCAGCTTTTTGCACCATTTTCTCTGACGTCTCTGTTTTGATCGTCGGCCATTTGTCTGGCCAAAGCCACGTTGTGCCCATTAGGAGATCAATATTTGGCTTTGTTTCGTTTCGTTCGCACGTTAAAAGTGACGGAAATGCGAAGATTTGTTGCATGCGGAAGCCCCACGCACTCATCTGTTGTGACTTAAATGTTTTAAGTTATGCTTTATTTGTTTATTGTCTTCATCGGGGAGTCGCCCCCGAACTTGTGACCGCACTGGAGGGCAGCACCTCCGCGGCATATTTCCTGCTGTGGCTTTCAGGGGGGGATGAAAGGAAAAGTGCGTGAAGGGATGGGAATTTGGTTATCTAAGTGCCTTTTATTGCCTTGCCATGTTATGAATTTGTTATCGACAAAAGGATCCTTTTAAAAGGAAATAAATTGTATTAAATGAACATTTAACATTTAAGCTGTTTCCACTTGAAGTCTTTAGTTGTTTAATAAAAATAAAACCTTTGCAAGGTGAACAGGAATAGATTACCAAATTATTCCATTTGAAATGAACTGGCAAGGAAAAGACTTTAGAGGTAGATCAACGGGTCTCACTTCTTAGATTTAGTTATGGAACTAAACTTCTAATGTTTAAAAGTAGTCTACTAGTTTTAGTCTTAACCTTAACAGCCAAAAAGCGTGCACATATTTCAAACACTTTTCTTATCCTCAAATGCACAATTTCTAAGCCCACTCTTATTTGTTTTACAAAAGCTCAGCCCAAAAGTGCTCTATGAAACTAGTTAGGAAAATAGTTTAAGACGGGTATGCATGTTACAATATTCCCCAATGTAAAAACAAATAAAACACATCATGTTTATTAAAACATATTATTTAGGAGAAAACTAACATTTTATATTAATAAATGTTGTAAATATCCATCTTATATTAAATCAACAAACCAATCTGCAATTCTTTAATAGATCTTACAGCAGCTTTAATCTGATGGGAAGATACAAATGCGCGAGTATCGAGTAAACAGACGTCAGAGTTCTTTGACTGATAAATAATAATTAAGTAAGCACTAACTGGTTATTGACTGATCTAATGCCAATCAATCGATAATGCTTACCTTCACCTTTTCTAATCACGCCCACAAATTATCCAGTTTTATAATTGTCAACCAAGTGGCATGATCTCAACCAAGCGCTCTACCCATCAATTTCCATAACTTTCATATTCAATGGCAATCATAATTAGCAATAGAATCGATTGCTGGTTGAAAGTGAATGTGTTCTAATCAGGCAAAAAGCACAAAGTATTAAAGTAAAGCAGCACTTCAATTGTTCGTTAATAAGTTAAAGCGTAAACTTTGCATAAATTTTATAAATATATATAAAAATATATAAATGTATATAAATTTATATATTACATGAACTTATGTATTACATAAATTTATAAATATATAATTTTGTAACCATTCCCACGCTTCACTTTAAACCCTTTTTCTGTGCAATAAAAAACGGTTTACTTGAATTTTTGTAATTCTCTACATTTTGTATTTATAGCATTGTCAGCAGTTCAGCTTCAAACTTAAAGTATACGCAATCTATTATAATACATGTGTTATTTATTCATTTTTTTTTGCTTTGTTCGTTTTTCTTCATCTTTTCAGGTTGGTTCTTCTCGTGGGCGTGTGGCATGATGGGCGTTTGTTCTTCACTCGTTCTTTTTCTTTCTTTCGGTATTTACAATAAAGGAGGAGTTTGGCTAACAAACCAAAAGAGAATTGCGCGAAAGCTGAGACAGAGACGGCAATGTGTGTGTGTGTGTGAGTGAGAGAGAGATGCCGTGCCGGGGAGGGGAATCCCCGACAGGCGATGAGGACATGACTGGGACGCTGAGTATTTTAGCAGGCTTCGTCAGTGGATCCGCGGGTAATCCGTTTGTGAGGTCGTCAACGTGCTTAATAAATTACAGAACAGTGGAGTGGAGTGGAGTGTCGGCGGTGCAGCAGCAGGTGGTGCATCGAGGCGGCTCGAGGAGCTGCTCCACTTAGTAGTGGGCCACGTGCGCGTGGGCGTTGTGAGTGGCGTATCCGTAGGCGGGCACGGCGGCGTGATGCGCCAGGGATCCGGCGTAGGGAACGGCTGGGGCGGCGGCCACGTGGTGGGCGACAGCGGGGGCGTAGGCCACGGCGGGAGCGGCATGGGCCACCACGGCAGGAGCAGCATGGGCAACCACGGCGGGGGCGGCATGGTGCACGGTGGGTCCGGTCTTGTGGACCACGGCGTTGAATCCATTGTGGTCATCGGCGGTGTACTCCACGGTGCGCACCGAACCGTCGGGCTCCACCAGGGAGTAGGATCCCTTCACGACATCGCCGTCGCGCACCTCGTGCTGCGACTTCACGTCTCCGGTGTGCGAGTCAGCCACTCCGTAGTTGTAGTGGTACTTGGGGTAGGCCTGCGGATTGCCAAAAGATGAATACGTCCATAATGAGTGCGGATTTGCCTCGGATTGGGTGCTAATTTCGTGTGCATGCCACACGCCACTCGCCAATCGCAGCGCCACAGCTGTACGGCTGTGCTAATGGACGCGGCGTGGGAAAATCACGAAATGTCAGAAGCCACGATGACCCTGGGCCAACTTTTTAGCACTCCGTTGGCCAGAGGAGCGGGTGAAAGGCGGAGCGGATTGGCCACCAGTCGCTGGTGGTGTTAGTTTTAGGGCATACTAAATGTAATTTTATGATTGCTTTTAGAACGGTTATTAAGTTGGTGCCTGATAGCGTAATTTGTGTAGAGATTACCGGTCGTATGAGTAATTTTTTGGGAAATATTTACGAGTCGCATATTTAATTTTTATAAGAAGTAGTTTCTCACAAGCAAAGGTTAGTTTTTACAAATTTATCTAATTTAAGGAAACACAAAAAAATTTTTTTTTTATTTAAGCTTTCAGATATGAATAGTGTATTAGCATCTTTTTAATAGCTTGTTAGTTTTATGTCTGTAAATATTTAAATTTACTTTCATATTTTATGTAACCGCAAAGGTTATTTTTATCAAGAAATGTATAAACCTTTAATCATAAATCCTATCATTGCGATCTTTTTGAAAAAAAAAATTACCAACGTTCTGATTTAGTAATCCTTTTCGAGCGTTTCCCTAGTAGAGGACCAACTTACATGATAATCGATTCCCTCGTCGTGGTGTCCGTGGCCGGCGTAGATGGCCGGGGCGGCGGCGTAGAGACCAGCACCATGTCCGTGGAGGACTCCGGCGGAGGCGGCGCTCAGGACGGCCAGGCAGATCAGGGACTAGAGCACAGGGGAGGGGTTTTATTATTCAATATTTTTTGAACAGATCACAGGGCACTATTGCGCAGGCGGGGCTATCCTGTTCACTCACTTTGAAGAATGCCATTTCGAATGGAGTTTTTGGGATTGAGTTTTTTGTTTGCAGACGCGAGTGTGTGCTGTACGTTGAGCTGGATTCAACTGATAACTAGAACCAAGAAGGAAGCCGCTTTTATATACAAGACAACGCCCGAGCGGGCCAACACGAACCGAGCCGCAGAAAGCCGAATGCGAGTCGGTCAGCAGCAGCACAACAAAAATGCCATTCGAAGCCAAGCTCTGCGCAGCGAAGCCCAAGAAGTTAAAGCCCCCGCAACTCCCCCTGCAACCCACTAAACCTCCGAACCCCCCGAGCAGTCCACAATTATTTAATGCTTTTCGAAAAACGAGAGTGAAGTTCAGTTGGATGTGGAGCAGTTGCTGGCTGCGGTTTGTCTTTGGAAATTGTCTGATTTGTGAGATAAGTCGCGATGTACTCGCATACGTATGGAAATCGAAATAATTGTGAAATGGAAGGGAAAACCTCAAATTGGATAATACCCGCCCGACACTCAATACGAGTTCTAGCTGCCAAGTTAGGCAAATATTAACATATCAAATTGGCCATTACTATGGCATATTAATTATGAAATCATGATCAGAAAAAAGGTCGGCTATCTTTATGTTTTCATCTCCCATCACGATTTAATTGAAATGGCCTCTCCGAGCTCCCTCGCAAAACAATCTTCGAAGCACGAATAAAATTAGCCGCAAACACAAATATTTATGAATAAAATAAGACAATGGCTGGAAATAAGTTAAAATTGCATTTCGGTGGGCGGAGGTGTTGCCCCCTTCCCTCCCCTCCCCTCCCCACCCTCCTTATTCCAATGTTTTTTTCTTCAGCATGTTGCAATTTGTTCGCTCGTCTATTTCGTGGGCTTCCAAGACGATGTTTTCAATGTTCTATGTTTTCTTTTTGTCTGGCTTGCACAGAGTGCTGGGCGTCGTCTAACAAAACTTCCAGATAATGCTATAGTGCACTAAGAAAAACATTTAAGTATTACAGAGTCTAGAAATCTTTTAATCTATTTTTGCATAAAAAATCTATTCAAAAGCTTTTGGTGACTAGTTTTTATTTGTAATAATTAAAATAATAATTTTTCTAGATTATATCCATTAAATGCTTTTTTTACGATTTATTTCCAGTGCACCGGCTGTTGTTCCTACTAACGAATTTTAATTGCCATGTAGGCCGTTTTGCTTATTAAACCAATCTTGCGCAAAGGGGATGTCAAGGGGGGTTGGCCTTGGAGAGGGTTCAACCCGAAGACACCGCTGAAGTGGGGAGCAGCGTGGCGCCACATCATTATGGCCAAAATATACGCCAGTGCAGCCCCAACTCATTACCAGGCCGAAACTACAGAAAACTACAGAAAAAGCGTTTTGTTTTGTCATATTTTCGGGGCTGCCTTGCTTTGTTTTATGGCATATTTGCTGGGCTTATGCGACGTACTTGCCCTCCTTTGGCTCATTTAATAAATTGTCTCGAACTAGTAAGCTCGGCTCTGACTTCCCCCCCTCGACTGGCCCCTGCACGCCTAGTTGGACATCGCGAACTAAAAAAATTGAAGTAATCATCTCAAGGTTAGCACGACACAGCCAACGACGAACGGCAAACGACGTGTAACGGATCACTAACAGTTGTAATCGCAATAGTCGGGCCAAGGGAGTAGCTCTAAGGGGTATTATCATCCAAAAATATCTCAAAATAAACTGATGGATTTGTTGAATTTCTTCTATGATTTTTATTATTCCATCTATAGAATTTGGTAGAACAATGGAAATAATTTCGTTGCGCTGAGGGTATACAATTTGTATTTCATTCGATAAAAAATTTGAAAGATTCATGTAAACATAATATTTTTTTTTTACATTTCCCAACCCCCTGAAACACCAACTCTGGCCCTCTGAATTGGATTTTCGATTTCAGCCTGGGCTGCCTGAATTAGAGCACGATCTGATTACGTCCTTTGTTTGCGGAAAATGACGCACCGCCATGGCCAATTAATTGAATTTTTGCAGTCGAGACTTGAAAAAACTAGGTTTAGATTGGATTCGAGCAAAAATGCTGTAATTGATTGCCTTCGATGGATGATTAAGCCATATTTGGGAAGAGGTAGGGCTGTTGAAGCCGAGAGGAGTGGTTTGCATTGATCGATAGAATACTTCTGATACTACAATATTATTTAATATTTTCCTACAAGTGCTGGGTAACCAGGTCTCTCGGCTTCCTTGATAAGAGGTTTCATTTCCTATGTAAGCACCAACCCGTTAGTTAAATGTGTGGAAATTCCTTGAGCAATCATAAGCCACTTACAAAGCGAGAACCAAGTCCATTTAAAAACACACACTCTGAACCCAAGAATGACAATTGCAAATTCGTTTGGCCATATTGCGCGTTTCCTTTTCGATTTAATTATGCACCCCTTCCGCAGTCCGTGGAACAGATCCGCTCCACATGCTCCCCAGTTTGTATATATCTTTACAGTTATGAGTCAGTTGTGGGGTTCAAGCAGCCAGAAGTTAGTGGACCACCCAGACCAAGTTGGTAGCCGGATTCGCAGAATCGCAGATCGCAACGCCCAAGTGGCCCGCAGCGCCTGCAATCTGGGCCAGATCTCAGCCAGATCTCGGCTCGTCATGTCAGCGGACCAAGATCCCAGATCCGAGATCCGAGTCGCTGGTCACTTGAGTTGAGCCCGGCTGAGTGGGGATCTGGCCATATTTTTCTAGCTGCGGGTGCATGACGTGACGTGGTCGTCGTGATTCCTAGGTGTCGGCTGAAAAGTCAGAGAGCATTCGCCCAGAGAACACTGAGATTAATTTGCTACTAACTATATTTTTATTATTTTTGGAAATGTCAGCTATAAAATACATTATTCTGTTAATAAACTAAATAAAAGGAATTATTTAAGATATAACCTATATATTTATTATCTAGAAATTGGTAGAATATACTACACTTTTAGTTTCTGTCAGTGTTTCCACTCTAACTCAGCTAAAATACCTCAAGTTGATATATATTCAAGCAAATTTGTTGTGATTAAAGCAATTTGTGTGCGTTGCCTCTGCTGCACTAGCTGTTGCCCGCTGATTGAGTGGCAAATGTTTGCAGCTTTCCACACATTGTTGTTTTTGTCGTGTGTGCGCAATATGCGAAACAAGTTCGTTGCCTAAGTCACTCGTTTGATTTTGAGTTTCGTTCTGTCAGATGTCTTGCGAAATATCGCCCGATGGTGATGGTGAGTTCACAAGTCAACAGTGAGTGCAGAACGTGGGTTATAATTTAAATTAATTATGCAAAACCGTATTGCAATTAACATATTGAACTAAGCCCGAGCGACTCACGGCAATTAACATTTACTCATGATTTGCTTTGATCATTTTCGACCAGCGGCTACTCCGCTTGGCTTTTGCGGTAGCAAACCACAAAAAAGACGGGGGGCGGCAATAAAAAGACAATACCAACTGCAGTAATTGAACAAACCGCTGACCTTGACCAACACCGAATGGAATTCGTTGGAAATCAAACTGCAATCAATAGACAAAAGAGTTCAGCTGCCAGATAGAAAATGTTAAAAAGCGTAATTGATTAATAAAATCGCTGGGGCATAACATGCTTGTCATACAGCCAAAGCCTGATAATAATAATGCGAAGAAAATCTGTTTTTTCCTTTCCTTTAAAGTGTATATAGTGCACCCACCGAAATTGAGCCACCAAGGTCATAGCAACTCTGATTTCAATTTGATTGCGGCTGCTACTCCAAGTTTTTCCCCCCACAAATGTAATTTTTGTAAACGCTCTAAGATTTGGGATCTGGGTTTCAGTTCTCTGACAGCTTAATGCCAAAACTCTCGGTGGGCGTTTGGCTTATCAGCCGTCCAATTTGGGATTGCAGGAGGGAAAGGGGGAAAGGGGGGAAGGTAGGTAAACAGACAACAGCTTAATCCGTACAATTATGTCGCTCGAGATTTACATAGATCACCTCCATTGTTCCGCAGGGAGATCGACCTTCGGGCGGTGGCCAGATCGGGCTTAGAATGGAGGCCCAGCGATGGCAATTTGCCATGACCAGGCCAAAAGCCCGGGACCCAGTCTTTGCTCAGAGTTTGGACTGCATTCAGCATTCAGCTCGCTTTTCGCAATGCATTCACCACAGTCTGAACTCTTGGGCGATTGGGGCTGTTCGCTGGGGGGGGCGTGGCGCTTTACAAAATTTCCGCTTTGGGTCTCTCGTATCGAATTGGTTTTTATATGGTTTTGTAATTGTCTGGCCATTGTCATTTTTGTTGTTGAAATTTGTGGCTCAGTTCGCTGATTTATTGGCTCTCGATAAAGTGCATTGTTTGGGCTTTGGCATGTCGAATGCTTATCGCATTGTTCACCATATCCGGCTTAGAATTGTTCCTGCCGTGGAACATAACTTTTGTGGATATATATTTCATACCTGGCGCTGTTGCAACAACCGAGAGAGGCGAGCCGCAACAAAGATGTCTCAAATATGATCATATGATCTGCACCCCCCAGCTCTCTGTGAACATGGTTAACCGCAACTCAATTGTTGGCAATCGCTTCTTGCACAACTGCGACGTGTGGCTGCCCTGTAATCAAAAGTTGAACTCGGCTTGCATTCAGCTCCCTTTGAACCCCCGTCTTTGTTTTTGCGATCCGAGTTGCGTGGGTGCCGACGCCTTGTATCTATCGCCAGTAACATGACAGTCCATTTTCTAGTGGGCCCCCAAGAGCTTATCGGATATTTACACAAGCTGGCTTGCAAAAAGAATTGCCCTTAGTTGATCTTAAAAGTGTGTATAAAAGTTCTTCATAAAATAAAAACGAAAAAGAACAGTTGGCAGGCGTGAAAGCAATGTGTCGAAATATGCGAGGAAATAACACAATTAACTTTTATTGCCACGTTTTGTGATGGCAAATTTCCTATAATTTCCTGCAGCGATTTGCAGCTCCCTGAGTGCGGCCAGGGCGAGTTTGTTGCCTAAGTCTTTTGTTTAGTTTTGCATTACAAATATTTTGCCACTTGCCCGGGCGAGTCATAACCACCGCTGCACTCGAAGCTTTCAGCCATGGACTAACGCTAGTAACGGATTAACAATTGTAATGTAGTTCAAACAGCACATTCACCCATTAACCCACAATTGCCGGCGGACATGGCTTTTCCCCGTTTTCCACTCAGTTTTCCATTTCAGCGGGACACACCCAGAGCCAAAACGACATGATTGCGGAAGATCTATCATATTTGGGCCAAGGAATGGTGGCTGACCAGCAGGATGGTGAAGGCAGCGCCAAATTCGTGAGGTTTTAGTATGCACAATTCGCTGGTTGCCTTACTTTACTTTAGATTGCGGGCCGGGGATTAGTTATTTTTAAATATTTTAATGATTTTTTTTCGGCCGGAGTCTTAGGCCAACACCCCCGCGAATAAATCCCCCTGCCTTCCCCTTCCCCCACAAGATTATGTAAGGCGGTTTCTGTTCTCTCTCTCGCTCTCTGCAAAATGGCAAAACGCTTTCGAAAGTTGCAGCTGTGGATGCAGGCCGCAAGTGAGACAGTTGTAGTTGAGTCGGTTACTTGGCCAGCTCCACATGACACAATTTGTTAACTAGATCATTACGTAACCCCCTCTCTCTCCCGGTCTCTTTCTCCTCGGTTCGGTGTCTAATCAAACGACATGCAAGCAGCCGCCTGCCTGCATATGCAAAAATAACAATTAGCCATCATTTTGATGCCGGCAACGAGCGGATAGAAATCCCAAGACTTCAGTTCGGCTCACGCCACTCCACTCCACTTCACTCTGCTCCACTCGACTCGAATCCAATCCACTTCGGTTGCAGACAGGCGGAGATGATAATTAAATCTGTTGCGTTGATGGGTTGCCAGGCCAAATTGAGTTGACATCTTGTGTGAGCCTGGCTAATTAATGGCCGCTCGTCGGGATCGTTCACTTGGGCCTCAAAATAAAAACATATGTTCGCCTGTCCATTAGAAGTAAACGCGGAAGCTGAATAGCTATGCCAAAAAAAAAACCTAATTTGTATTGCTTTTTCCTAACACATCATTAATTATACGAAAACAAAAGCCACGCAACACACCTCGAATGCTATTTCAATTTCGTGCAGACTCAAATCATAAATAAATATAAAGACAAGAGATCTTGACCAAATTGATCGTCGGTTCTTAACTCGTAATCTCGGCTCACTTTCGGCTTCGATATTAAAAGGCAATTCATTTTTTCCGCCCGTTGATTGTCTGAGAAACACTGCAACTCCCATTCGCGGATGATGATTAATGGAGCCCAGACGATCCGAGTCCGAGTCTGAGTTTGAATTTGAGATCGAGTCTGAATCTGAATGTGCCCCCATCTGGGATGGGCTCTCTAATGGCCCACAATTGTGGCAATCGCTGTAATTAGCCATCGGCATCGGCGGTGTGCTGATTGTGTGTGGATTGCTGCCTTAATTGTGTCACTTTTGCAATGCCTCGCCAAATGGTTCATTTGCACAACGACGGCGAAATTGTGTCAAGTTCAGAGCCGTCGAAGCGGGGATTTGAATTTCCACGCCTCATGAGGAAACTCGCTTTGGCCAGCTTTCGATTGCCGCAAGTTATGGGTTTTTTATGGATTTTCCACGGAGTTGCTTGGCCAGCTGGGTTGACATTGGGGCCAAAACGAGTTGTGCGTTTACGCACGATTCCGTTGCGAGCCAGTGAATGAAAATGGTGGATGCCAATTCATTGATTCTGTCCAATGCGAATAGAAGCCACGTGCTGTCCAGACAGGCAGTCTAAAAAAGAACTACCTATACTGCAATAAAAACCTTATCCAAATTCATGAAAAACATTTATGATCTAAGACCAATTTAGTATATAATATTGGGCTTTAAAGTTAATATATTCTTAGGTCACGAATTTAGATTTTAAGTATTAGTTTATTGTATAATTTTTATTGAGTATTTTTATTGAGTACAAGTAAATTAAATTGGACTTAAATATAAAATTTTGCTAAGGAAAATTGATTTATTTTTCTTTGTTAGATTATTTCCACTGATGGAAGTTATGTTTTTCAGCCTCACTTAAGTGGCATTCGGTAGCCGTTCCCCGAAAAACGAAATGGCTTTATTACATGAGGAATCCGAGCACATGAATTGGAAACACTTTGCCCGGGGCATTCACATGCCCGAGCGACTCCGAGCGGAGCCACTTCATCATCGTCGAGAAGTGTGGCCTTGTCAATGCCGTTTCGGAGGAATAATAATAAAAGCGGCGCATATCTGGTGCAGCCGCCGGTAAACAATTGCGATTGTCTCGCAGTTGCAAGTTGCAACTTCAGTTGCAGCTAAAGTTTTTCTCACACGAGCGATTGAGTCAGCAGGGAGTTTCGGAGTATGCGGTTTTGTGGAGCCTGCCGTGTAGGAAATGCCACGATTCCCACCCATCCACTTGAACCCAGGCAATTAAAGTTACGATTTCAATTTGGTTCTGATTCCGCAGTATCCACCTCTTTCGGTTTTCGGCCGGGTGTAGGTGGTGGCGTGATTTGAAAGTTCAATTAGCCCGCGGCTAAGACAACTGAATTAACTTAATTAAGTATCTACCGGTCTTACTTTTACTTTCGTCAGATCTGCTCTGCTCTGCTCTGTGTTGGTCCGGTGATCAATTTGCCTGACCCTGAAATCGTTTGGGGCTGGTAAAACGACGAGCACTTTAGCGCTTAATTATCTCGCATTTCCCGACGGGGAGTTTCAAGTTTAACGCGGTTTGTAAATTGTTTAGGGCCAAGGAAAACACCAGCACGCTAAACGGATCAAGATTGATGGTGCGTGGAAAACTATTAAAGTTATTCCAAAGTTGCAGATAAACACTCACGTTGAAAGATAATTGCCAGACTTCTCTTTGAAATTATGAATCATTAGGCTCTGACTATTTAAATAATTTGAAAATTGCAAATCAAATTAAGTCTATTTTTTATAGCAGAAAAAGGCGTAAATAATTTAGGGCATAGATATTAAATAGCACCGATATGGTTCGTTCCACAAAGATAGCAATAAAATAATTAGTTTCATAATAAAATGTATTTAAAATATAACAAATTTTGCACAGTGCGGCTTTATCTTCAATCTAGAATTCCACATTGATTAGTTCTGCCACTCCAAATCTGTCATCGTGGGAAGTTCGCCAAGTAATTGCTTTTCATACATACACCAACACCCAATTAACAGAGATCTTAATAATAAAATGTAGGCATCATAATTCCCGAGATTAGCAGACACACAAGCAATTTGTCGAGCGATTGGATCACGTTTAATCACAATAGAATTTGCATTCGAGTAGAACAACAGTCGGTATCTGCTGAACAATTAGATAAATATATATAGTTATGCCTCGGCATGAATCACTTGAAAGCGAATGCCGCTTGCTCGACAATTGCGAATAAATCGAAATGCATTTCGTGTAAACGTGTTAAAGAGCATAAACTTAGACTAAATGTGAGGCAAATCCGAAGGTCGCGACTGGTCAGCTACGTCAGCAGAGCAAATCCATTGAAAGCGTAATAGTACAGAATAAATAGAAACAACTGCGGATTCAGATTTACTCGACATTTTCCCACAGCCAGCGAACGCGTTTGGGCGTTTACTACTTGCCAGTTGGCTTCGTTCCACACCGTTTTTAATGGCCAACGGCGCCGGCTTGACATTAAGTGGCCGACTGTAAACGCGATCGATTTCTATATTTCATATCCTGCAGACACCTCGATCGGTTCCGTACTACTTACTACACCCACCAGATTCGGCCGATTTGGGTTCTGCTTCTGACTTTTCAACAAATTGCAGTGGCACTTGGCCTTTGCAATTGCGACCTGGAGGCCGGCAAATCCAAAAAAAAAAACACAGTGGGTTTGCCACCAGAGGTGGCAGCGTGATTTTATTGCAGTTATTACGACTTCCGAATGGGTATTAATTAGCAGTATCTTAACACTTTCCTAGAAGTATCTAGAGATCTACTAATTCTCTGTGTCAATATGCAAATCATTATATAATTAACGAGGGCGAGCCAGTAAAAACAATTAAGTGGTTTCACATCGAGTATTAACACGCTTTAATTGACTTTGTGTTCAGTTCAAAGTGCCAATAAAAATCTTGAAGACTAATTAGATCTTACTCGAAACCAATCTTAAAATCCAAGTCCGGTAAACTTTCTAAAGCTCTAACCTCGGAAACGGAATATTCAGAGAACTTTGCTGATATAATTTCCATTGAAGGAAAAATTATTTCAGCCTTATATTAAAATTTGTAAGAATTAAAGCCAAAGTATTTTTTGCCAAGAATCATTTATCTTTATACCCGAATAAACTATAAAAGGAGTCCAACCAAAGCCTAAAAGATGGCTTCATATTCAACCAAGAAATGTATTGAGTCCCATTAAGCTTATAATACTTTACGGAGCTCAAATGATTTTCAAATCGGAAATTACCTTAAGTAATGTATTGCCAAAAACATTTAGTGGACCACCTTTTGGGTCCTTGAATACCATAATCATATAACATTTATTCAAGAAATTGGCCACAGATCATTCTTGTTCGTTTGGTTTTTTCAATAAATATTTTGTAATATTTTCTGTAATATTTGGGCTTAATATCTAACAACATTTTGTTGATTATTATTAAATGTATTTCGAATACAACAAGAATCATAGATAATATTAGAGTTAAAACTAATATGGAAATACTTTAATGTGTGTGGGGTCAGTTTAAAGAGAGCAGGGAGTCAGATGTGTATCTGCATGTGCAGGTCGATTCATATATTATAAATACAATGTAGTCATAACTTCTAATTAAATTCTGCGCGGGTTTATCTAACTAAAATTAAAACAGTAGACAATACTTGGCATTTGAACATTCGTTCAACGGTTTGTGACAATGCAAATTCTAATTTTTCTTTGAAAGTTTTATTTAATTTTGCTTTTGTTCTGCGTTGGGTGTTTCTTGGGTGCATCGATACTCCTCTTCAGTAGGGATTGAAGCCGGCGTTGCGCTTGCGTCCCATGTTGCAGATCTTGAAGTGGCAAGGCGACATATCTGAAGGGATTCACAAAAAATAAAGTTAATAAAGTCTTACTTGGCTTTACTTATAAGTTCATGCAACACTTACATTGTTTACGAACTAATTTTGGGAATCAGAAACAAAAACATGAAAATAAATCAAACCAAAAACAGTAATTAGTCAATCATGCCACATTGATGTGTTAGGTATATTATCCTAAATAAGTACAAGAGATTATACAATTTTTATAAAATTTATATTTAAAGGTTTTCTGGAACTAAAACCTATTGTTTTGTATAACTTGTTTCCCCTTCTTATTAAATAAAATAAAAATGTACTCACATTGAACATTCTTCTTGGTGTTGTGATCCTTGAGGGAGTGTCCTGGCATGACTTTCTTGCTGGGCATGTTGGTTAGATCGGTGACGACATTGTAGCGCAACTCATCGCCGCCACCATTGTCCCCCAGTTTGTGAAGACGGGCCAGCAGTCGCGAGCTGGTCGCCTCGGGCTCATCGCTCTCCTGGGTGACTCCAAAGTCATCGTAGTCGGCGGTCAGCAGGAGATCCCTCAGCGATGGCCACTTCCTGGCGAAGGATGGCAGGCGCTGCTGTTTTTGTTCCTTCTGCGAACAGAAAGAAAGGGCTTAGTTTCTGTGACCCCTTCTGTGGTCAGACCACCTCGTACCAACTGCTCGGTATAATAGCTGTTGTCCTCATTCCCGCCTCCCAGGAGCTCGCTGAACAACAACTGCGTGTTGCGGGCTGGACGGGGCAGGGCGTTCCCCGGTCCAATCGCCACTGACAGGAGCACAATGACAATGGCCCAGTGGACAGGCGAGCAACCACAGGTGGTCGGCGACGACACGGCTGACATCCTCAACTGCGGAATTCGAAATCAATCCAAAACATTAAGGGGTGCCTTTAACTTAAAGCTATAAATAACTTAACTTAATGTAAATAATATGGATAACAGGTTGATTTATTCGCGGTAATGTATAATTATATTTATAATATTTTATTTATTAGCCAACTCACTTCATTAGATAATATTTCAAAGCTTTTCTAGCACCTTCCAAAGACACATTTAATGACCAAAAAAAAAGTGTTTTAAAACAATTAAACAGGAGAGCGGGCCACCACTCCGAAACACATGACCCATCCAGCCTAACCCCGATGCCACCCCATCTCCAGGACCTTCCAGGACCCCCAACGCTTACGCAAAGGGTTTCCTATTACAAACAACACAAGTTGGCAAAAACAAAACGAAATGCGGCAGGCTGAGTAAAAATATGCGTGAATATTTCAAGGGGTTTCGGTGTTGGGTACTTCAAATAAGTCACGTGGCAGTTGGCCAACAAGTTGACCTGCTCAATGGAATCATGGCCGTGTTCCAGTTAAAAGTTTTGGCTTTCTTAATGTTTCTCAACCTCTCCACGGGCTTCTTTGATGCGAGCTCTCGGATTCAGGTCACATTGCAATATCATCACTTGATATGCTGCCAACACGGGTCATCAGCGAGATGAGAATGGGAATACTCCCGTAATTGACATTTATGAAATATTAATTCCTAATTAGGCTCAAGCCCTGACGTCGAAAGTGAGCGGAATGCTAAAGGTGAGTGGCAAGCTCATTATCAAATAAGGCGTGAGTTCATTTCGGGGAGGCAAGTCCATGACTTTTAAAAATTACAAGTCATTTGGGGTGGTTTGCTAATAAATGAATCGGTTACCAAGTTGGTGGACCATTTATAACCAGGAGATGAGATAAACTAAAAGGTGAAAGTAACAAATAATTGAGATTAAAAGGAAGTAATTAGTATAAAATTAAAAGTAATGAATAATCAGCAAAGTTATACAAATTTAATTTCCCTTTTGTTTCTTCGTTAATAGATAAATGTCGAACTTAAATAGAAGTTATAAAAATTTCGAATGGCTCTTATCAAGTTTATTGGTATAATAATAATCATCTCACCCTCTTCCCCCAGAATTTTTTCATTATACTTTTACGGCGCCTCACATATTTTCCATTTATTGCAGTTCATTATCGAATAAACGAAAATTACTCCTTGTTTGTTGTTGCCGAGTGGACCAGATTTTTTTAGCTCATAATTTTCATCGACTTTTTTGTACCTCCTGAAGTGCAAGCGATAAGCTTTGGCGATCGTGCCAGCGGCTTTCTCATCTCGTTCAGTAATTTATGTCGAACCGTAATCGCACCAAACGCATTTTAACAGCCCAATACAAATAAAAAACAAAAATGCCTACTGATAATGCATTGATGTCGTGGCTAATTTGCGATCCCCAGTCAAGAGTCATCTCTATTTTGGTGTTAGAGTCAAGGCCTCGCGCGTAAAAGTTCCATTGAACTCTGGGCGGGCCTTTTCCCCCATAAACATAGTGCTAAACTACTAAAAAAAATTGGGGAGGCGTTGGGCACCTGTCGAATTTATTAGACAGTTTTCCATGACGCGTGCGGGTTTTATTAAAAACCTTAACTGAACGGTGTCCGATAAGCGATAACAAGATGGCAAAGTATAACCCCATACCCTTACTAATTGCTAATTATGTGGTGAAGATATAAATACACCTGTGTTCAGATTTATAATTGTAATTTGCAAACAATTTTTTTTTTAAATAAACATAGGTTTAAACTATCATTTTAATTATTTTCTTTATTAACATAATAGGATTTAGTACATATTTAAATTGATTACTTATTTTCCCTGGATACAATACTTTCATTAAAGCTTAGATTCCTATAAAAATCTATTAAGATTACAGCCTATAACTGGTTCTATTCAGTTTAGACAAGATGTAATAGAGCCTATGCTGCGATGACTTTCACAATATTCTAGAACCTTTTCTAAGAACATCAGTATTTCGGACGCAAGTGAAATCCTAATCTATGCTCAGAAATGGCAAAATAAACACAGCATATAAATACGAACTGAGCTGGGGGTCTCAACATCTACGACCCAAATCGTATCAATAACAGGGAATATATATTAATAAAACCGCTGGGTTTTCTTCTTTTATTTGCCTGCCATAAAGTGCGTCACCGGGGACGTCATAAAATATCGGACCACAAGCTAAATAGAGAGCTAGGAGCTCGTTCTTATCAAGAACAATAGGTTCAAATCTAGTGACACGCCCTCTTTTCTACACTTTCCAAGCTGTGTAAACAAAAGTAATCTCTGTCCGAATCTAAGTTGGAATCCCCCTCCTCCGAAGAATAAAACTACGCAACACTTTCCGATTCACGAGACTTCCATTTAAACTTTTCGTGTTCGCAGCCCTGATAAGACGACTACAATTATTTTTATGTGAGTGGAACATAATTAAAACGAAAATCCCGTAATGAGATGACAGTTCTGAAAAATCGCTGCTGATAATGTATAAATAAATAATTATATATATTTGTATAATTGACCATTATCAATGAGGCAAAGCAATTTTCTTGGCGCCTTGAATGGAATTAAACGATTCGATTTACGTTTTATATTCGACGATTACGGAAAATCTTTAATTAATTCTTACAGGAAATCTGTTCTTTAAATAAACATGGGGACCAAGTAAAAGGACAACCAATGTATTAATACGTTCATTTGGTTAAGATGTAACCCCAAAAAATAGAAGTTGACTTTTATTAATAGTTTAACTATTATAGTTTTAACTTACCTTTTTCGAATTTCACTCCGATTTAAAAAAAAACGTGAACTGTGTAGTTCTTCACACTTGATCCTTAATAAAGTTCAATCAGTTTAACACTTTCCACTGTAACTGTACTTTTTTACTGTAGCTGTACTTTTTTACTGAATTGTTCCGAAAATAGACTTCAGATTTTTTTCCAGCCGTATTCCAAGTATACCACTAAATATTCTGAATAGATTTCTGATTTGGCTTGATATTTGATTTTTGCTCTTCCTGAATTGTCTTTACCGTTAGATGTGACAATGCAGAATAAACGCAAATCCGTTGGGAGCGTTTGTTTATATAGGCGCTCGAAGAACGACGCCGCAAAAAAGGGTAATTCAACAGGTACAAATAAAAAACCGACGGCACTTCGGAGGTGACAGAAGTCTAATGTTCGTGTGGGCGGCGTGGGGTGGTGGTGGGGGTGGTTTTCCGCCCACCTGGGGTCAGGTTATGTTACGGTTTCGGGGGAATGGCGACACGAGCACTTGAAAACTTGTGTGTAATTTTAATTCTGCGCGGCTAATTTGGGCACAATCTCGGATTCGGGCACTCGGGGTTCTCGGGATTCTTACTAGGCGCTTTCTGGTCTGTCGGCGAACTAACTCATCGAATGGCAGATCCCACTAGAACTGACTCAAGTCGGTTGATGGAGCCCTCGGCCCCGGTCTTCGTGCGTTTGTCGTGCCACGCTTTTGACAAATCGACCGATAAAGCCAAGATTTATGATCAGCGCTATATGTTTAGTGGGGGCTGCGCTACAGCACTCGGGATGGGTCGTATAGGTGCGGTTAAGTCAGCCAATTAAATCACTTCGAGTATGTCCGAGTCTGATCTCTGACCCCAAATTACTTTACTATCTGGGGGCTTATTGGGTTATTGACACGAAGCCTTACTTTCCCAAGGTAATTTAGCCAAGGTTCTAATAGTGGTCATGAATTTTTAGAGAGCTCCCACATGAACCATTCGCATTTACTGTAGGTCATTAAACTCGTCATGATTTAGCTGAAACATTTTCAAAGTTAATTGGGTCAATGACAATTTGCAGTTTTTAAGCTTCGATTGCTGAAAAACCCAACGGCTTTGCGAAATCGTTGGATTCAACAGAAGTGATCACATGATTAGAGTTCTTTACAATTTTTGGGTACCTGTAAATATAACCCATTTCGTAGGGTAACCTGTCACAAATCTAAATAAAATATTTTGAATGAGCTATCAACTTTATTTGTTAGGCAAACAAAACGGATAAAAATAAGTTCGCAGCTCCAAGAGTTTGAACAAAAATAGCATGGAAATTTACACTTGTCCATCTCAGATAACATGTCCGATCTTATCTTTTATGCTTACTTAATTATCCACGTATCACAGCAAATCTGGATTCTAAAAGAACGAAAAGTGACGCAATACCGGCCGCGGATTAAGTCACACAGAAACCAAAATTAATTGGGGGTGCCGTGACACAGCTTTGAATTTTAATTTCCCCTTAATGTTTAGATTATAATTCGCTTATACAGAGTCTCCCCCAAGTTATTTCCTAATTTAAATGCGTCTCATCTTGGACAAAGTCCCCACAGATAGGGATTGATGCTGTCTAGCCTATAAATAAGTGGTGCAGTCTTCTTAAAGCGTAGTCTGACCCGAGAATATCGGAAGAGAGCGCCCACGCGCCTTACGCAGACTTTGCGATTAAATTAATATTTATGGTTACATCACCCCGAACCCAAATCCGGCGGGGGAGTCTCGCCCATCACTTGTCCGTCTGATATTGATAAGCGGGTTTTGGATGCCGCCTATCGCTGATACGGAATCAAACGGCAATCATATCAGTGCTAATTGACACTTATTAAAACGCGACCGGCGGAATTGACACTGCGTGCCGGAACAAAGGCAAAAACACGTGCGGCAAAGTTATCAGTAGTTAAGGACATCACGTGACATTCATCAGCCCAACGTTTTGATTGCGATATGGTAATTAAGTCATCTGATGGGTAACACAGTAACAACCATGCACTTAATTGCGCTTCATTGAAGTCAGTGCAGACCAGTTTGAATTGGCGCCAAAGGTTAGGTCGGACGCCTTGCAACACTGGCTTGGTAAAAGTACAACAAAAAGTTGTCGACGCCAAAATGCTACGATGGTACCTCACTGGTAGTAAGGTCAACTGAAAAGATTACAATCCTGAAGATTTAAAGGTTTTTTTTTAAATTGTAAGCTTTTAAAGTTATTCTCATTTGTCTGTTTTAGTGAACACCCCATATGTTCCTAGTCAGAATAAAACGAGAATAGAGTGTTACCGCAATCGCGCCGCCTGGTAACACTGTGCCCAATTGGACTGTGGGGGCGAAAATAAAAAAAATAAAAATAAGAATCATGTCGACGCTGCAGCTGGAATTTTCGCAGGCAATGACCGACTTTAAGAAGATGTTCCCGGACATCGACCGCGAGGTGATCGAGGCGATCCTGCGAGCGAACCTGGGGGCCGTGGACCAGACCATCGACGCCCTACTGGCCATGTCGATTGACAACCAGGTGAGCGCCGATTCCCTGTGTATACTAATGTCGCACGTACTAACCCACTAACAAACGCAGAACGAGAAACTGCGCAATGAACTGGATGCTAATATCTCGCCCCAGCAGAGCCTCATCAACCTGAACGATTCGGACAAAGACCTCCAGCTGGTGGACACCACGGACGGCGGGGGAGCTGTTGCGGCCGCGGGTGCAGCTGGAGCACCCAATGCCCTGCTGACCACTGCTGGCGCCTCCCCGAGCCACCAGAACACGGGCGCCTCGCCCAAGCAACGTCCACTGGGAACGGCCAGCAAGGGGAGCAGCCAGAACAACACGCCCACCAAGCGCAGTCGTCGCTGGAATCCACCCATTTTGGGACCATTGCCGGCTGGCTTCCTGCGGATCACACCCGCTCCCGGGCAGCAGGACTTTGAGCTCCCGGACGAGCAGTTCGCCCTAATGCTGCAGAACGAGGAGTTCATGAACCAGCTGCGCTGGAATCAGGACTTCATGAATGCCCTCGAAAGGGAGCAGAGTGGCAAGGCCAAGGGCGAGGACGACGCCCCTTTTCAGGAGCGGCTCAAGAACATGGGCAAGATGTCGCGCAAGAAGTTCCTGCAGATGGCCCGGGTCTTCACCTGGCAGCGCAACAAGAAGGTGACCACGGCCAAGCAGATAGACTCGCTGCCGCTGCGCGAGGAGCCCAGTGACGACGAGGACCACCACCATCACCACCAGCAGCAGCGCGACCAGCAGCAGGCGAGCCAGCAGCAGTCCAGCCAGCAACAGGGACAGTTGCAGCTGCGCAAGTGAAGCGGAACGTTCTGTTATCTTATCTCAATGGCCATAACGTGACGATCACGTGCGCTAGTAATCTCCCCAAAACGAAACGCAACCCAGACCCAAGTAATCTCCAGGCAAGAACGAAATCTCCTGTCCCAATCTCAACACAAAGACGCGATGGTATTTCTTTTAGTTTTAACCTGAAGTGCAATTTTCCTCCCTACCGTGCAATATTACCCCTTTCCTTATTGTTTATACACGTATTGTTTACCCCTTTCGTTGTTGCCAAATTAGCGTAGTTAAGTTTTATCCATTATTTGTAAACGAAACTGAATGCGGCCTCTTTTGAGCCGCGTTTGCTAGAGAACCACACTCGTACACACGTTCGACTGATTATAGAAAGCGTTAATTAACCAAGCATCACACACCAGGGATCGAAGGCGAGTCCCCCAAGTAGAGCACTTTGCTTAGCCCAAAACCTAGTCATAAAGCGGAACTTAAGCCACTTTTTGTACAGTAATCAAAACTACCACTTAATTCCTGTCTTAAATTCAACTTTCCCCATTTTAACTGCTGGCCAGCGCTTGAAAACCATCTTCTAACGAAAAGCATTACTTATATTGTATACCCCGCGAATCTCTCGGAACTTGCGTACCATATCAGCTGTGGATACAATGCAGTTTTACTACACCTACACCCCTACTTAACTCCGAATCGCTCCTATCGCAGATCTTACAGTGGATTAATATGCGTGCTTCGCACTAGCAAATTATTATAATTAAAAAGATCGGCTATTTGATTGTAATTGTATATGTATAAATATTTGAATAACAAACTTATATAACTATTCCAAGTATCAAATACAGATATTTCAAAACTTCAACAAAAGTTGTATTATTTGGCATAAGCTGCCTTCCCTTGTCTTTCTAAGGACTTTTCTCTCCCACCCAAAAAAGGACTCTCCGTACATGAATTTATTTAATTTTTATTTTGTTTTTGCATTTCCTTTTTAATTTTTTATAAACATAATACATTTATTAATAATTAAAAGACGATCGACCATGTTGACCTACTGCACCGCGAATTGGGGACCATCAAGTATCTGAGATCAGAATTACAAAAAAATCCCAAAAACCCGGTCAATAGGGTAACAAGCTCGAAAAAATGGTTTTTCAATTACATTTTCACACGCTCATTATTACATTATGTTATTGTAACGGTTTGTTTGTTTATTATGTTCAAAAATGATTTGTATCTTTACCATATATTTAATATATACGCTTTTATTTAGTTTTAATGTTGGTTGGCTGTGTTTAGACTTTGATTTAAGGGCATATTGGTTACTACTCGTACGCGAAGTTTATGCAATGTTTATTATGAAATATTTGTAAATTACTTTGCTCGTTTTTAGGTTTCTTTTCATTTTGGGATTGACACGACAGTTTATGTTAAACCATTCCTTATGTATTAAATATACTAGAATTTGTGGCTGTCTCTGTACTTGGTTTTTTAACAGGAAGCGGAAACGAGCTTAGCAATCCTTCTCATTTCCGTTTCCGCCTTGCATTTTTTCAGAATGCTCTCTGAGAGCGCGTCGGAGTGTGTCAGTGTGTGTGTTTATGGGTGTAAATGTGTATGTGTGGGATGTGGCTGGTATGTGGAGTGTGTGGGTGTGTTTTAATTTCGAATGCAATTGATCATGTTAAACAATTACTTGTAAATTTGTTTTAAACTAATTACTAAATGGGCTCATTACTTCTGGTTGTTTGCAACATTTTGACATCATTTGCATACAATATTTTTATAAAATATGTTCCTTATTCATGATTTATTCCCTTTCTCGATTTATTTGCTCAATTCTTTCGTGGAATTTTTATCTTTTAGGCGTACAATTTATTTTAGCTTAATTTGATTTTGGGTTTTGAATGTTTCTTTCGGTTCTATTTAAAGATATACTTGTTGTTGGTTGGGGTTTTTCGTGTATAAGTTGATGTAGTTGTGTAGAGTACAATCGAAAAGAATCAATAAATACGAATGTTTTAGTTTACGAATGTTTCACTTGTTGCATAATTTAAAAAACGGCTCAAAAACGAACGACAAATATATTTAAATATGTAGATATATATATAATAATTCCCCATATGCGTAATGGTTAATCAGCGAAAAATAGTACAATCATAATAGTAGTAAATGGTAATAGTTACAAAAACTTGAAACAGTTAAAAAACATTTGTCAGTTTAAGTTTTGTTTTGTATATAGTAGATTGGTTATTTCAATTTTTCGACAATTGCCATTCGGATCCAAAAACGAAACGAGAACGAAAAAAAATCGAAAATTCTTTACTTTACGCTTATACTTTTTCTCCTCTTCCTCCTATATCCTCTAGATCCTTTCTTCTCCATTCGGTTTTTGTATTCTTTTTGTTTTTGTTTTGTTTTTGGAAGTCTTATAGCAGAACACATAGGGACTTTTTCGGCTTCTTTTGTTTCTTCTCGGGCGACTTCTTGTTGATCTGCCGGACCAGGTCGTAGAAAATATCGTTCACATTCACTTTGGCTTTGGCTGAGGTCTCCATGAAGGCGCAGTTGAACTGGTTGGCCAGGGACTTGCCCAACTCCTTGCCGACAACGCGCTCCTCCTCTAGATCGCACTTATTGCCCACCAGGACCATGGGCACATCGTCCGTGTCCTTCACCCGCAGGATCTGCTCCCGCAGGTCCTGCAGATCGTTGAATGTCGATTGCGCTGTAATCGAGTAGACGAGCACGAAACCCTGGCCGTTCTTCATGTACAGATCCCGCATGGCAGTGAACTGCTCCGTGCCCGCCGTGTCCAGGATCTCCAGCATACACTGCTGACCGTCCACCTCCACCTGCTTCCTGTAGCTGTCCTCGATGGTCGGATCGTACTTCTCCACGAAGATGCACTGCACAAACTGGACCGTCAACGCCGATTTTCCCACGCCGCCGCTGCCGAGAACTACGATTTTGTACTCACGCATCTTGGCTATATGTTTTGTATATCTCGGGGGTTTGGTTTCTTGTGCTAAATTCTAGAGAAGAGACCCAAAATGCAGGTAGGCCAGGTAGGTGGGGTTTACTTCGTATTTTTTTACTTTCTACTGGGTTTTTCTCCCCTGAAAATCACTAGTTTTTAGGCGTTGTTCGGCGATTGCTTTTCGGTTGCAGTTGTTATTTTAGTTATTTTATGTTATATATTTAAAGTAAGTTTGTTGTTTTTGTTGTTGCTTTTACTGTTGATAACCTTTGTGCCGTGTATGTGTGTGAGTCTGTGTTGCTGCGTGTACTGTGTGCTGGTGTTTGTGCCTCTCACTCTCTCGCTCGCACCTTCCGCCGAGTTGCGTGCGTTCAATTGTTGCTTTTAAGGCGGAAATCTCTACGCTTTTGTTTTTTTAAGACCGCCGTCACTGCTACCGAGGGCACACTGTATGAAAGTAGAAAGAAATGCGGTTTTTAGACACTAATAACTCTAAATTCGCTGCGAGTGTTTTTGGTTTGCGTTTTTTGGTATGCTGAGAACTGACTGCACTCCCTCTTTTCTTCTCAACTCTCTCTTGTTCTTATTCTCGCTCTTATGATTCATTTTTAGAGTTGCCAGGCGGTCGCCCCAAACTCAGATCCCCACTGCAGAGTCTCATAGATCACACTTCTCAAATACTTCACTGAATTTTCAATTAAAATGCACTTGCTTTAGAGTTTTCGTTTCGTACAATGTGTGTGTATCAGCTAACCAAACGCAACACTAGACCACGGAAATGCACCCGCATGTCGTGCGGTAGGGCAACTCTGGGCGGAGCGCAGCGGAGTTTTTACCTGTTTTTCACTTGATGCCGCCAAATGCGTTTTCCAGGGGCCGCTTCACCTGTCGCCACTCGCGAATAGATGCACTTTTTATTGAAAACGCCTTAATTCCGCAGAAATGAGACAACTTTTTCGCCCACAGCGAGCACTAGAGCTGGAACGAAAACCGATGGTAAGTCGACACTATCGATGTTTTGGAAAACTTGGCAACATCGATGTTTTGCCTTCAGCAATCGATAGATTTTACTACACCGTTGCTTTTTTTAAATATTTATTTATTAAACTTGTTGTTGATTAATTCTTTTTAAGTTTAATAGGATTGTAATTCTACTCTAAGTTATATTATATTCTGCAGAGGTAAAAAACCGGGAACAATAAAACATTTTCGTTTTCTTCTTTGAAATGATGAAAAACAATTAGTTTTTTAATCTCTGTTGTTTTATTGGTGTTTTATTTTTCTACAGCAGTTATTTGTAGAGCGAATCCAGCATACAATTTTTTATAACAAATATTGCATAAATCAAACTTGTTATTTAAAAATTACACAGTTATTAAAGTTTTCAATGTTTCATTAAATGATTAATATTAACAAAATATAAAATTCCAGTAGATTAACTGTTTTTAAACAAGTTAATTTTAAATTTAATTTTTGTGTGGCCCGTAAATTATTCAGACTCCGCTTTTTCTAGTCAATATCACTGCTCCAACGCCTTTCCGGTTTTATCAATTCATATAAACTATGTATATTTAGCAAAACAACAATAATGAATATCTAACTAAAATTTCGTACAAAATTCAGCATTGGCATCCGTTTCAGCGGATTTTAGTGACCATTCCGGCGGCAATCGTGACGCCTGCTACCCTCAGCATAACTCGTCCCAACTCCTTGAAGTCCGCATACCGCTCAATGCAAATGGGTCTGCTGGTCTCCAGTTCCACCAGGGCGCAGGAGTTGTTGCCCAGACAGCGCGGTTTCTTTTTAACTACTTCGCCAGTGCTCTTGTGGATGGATGCGACTAGCTTGCATACAACGGCGGGTTCTATCAGAGATTGGTGGTGCAGGAGCACGGGGAATCCCATCGTTATGGGAACTTTGACGTTGAACACAATGACGCGAGCCTGGAAACGCGTCGTCACCGGAATTGGCATCTGGGGATCGCAGATTATGCAGCCGACGGTCACGTTGTTGATGTCCAAGGCGGGCAGCGTCACGGAGACCTGATCGCCGGCAAAAACACTTGTCTGGGGGAATTCGTTCATGGTCAGCGACTTGACTTGCGCCTGCTCTCTGCTGGCTCCCACTAAAACCTTGTCGTTTAGACAAAGCACTCCGGTTTCTATGCGTCCCGAAATGCAAAATCCAGAACCAGTGCCCTTGTAAATATCCGAAACGGACATACGCAGCGGTCTGTCGATGGCTCGCTCCGGGATCTTAAAGTTCTCTATGACATCCAGCAGATGCGGACCGCTGTACCAGCTGGTCAAAGCGGCTTCATGGGCTGTGTTGGTGAGATTCTCGCCGGTTAGCCCGGAGCAGGGTGTAAAACTTACATCGGACTCCTTGAATCCCGCCTGCTTTAGGAAGGACCTAAGTTTTGTTACAATCTCCGTGAATCGCTCCTGTGACCAGCCAACGGTGTCCAGTTTGTTGATGACAACTCCCAGTTGATTTACACCAAGGGATCGCACTAGAATAGCATGCTCGCGAGTTTGTCCGCCAAGCTCAAATCCAGACTCGAACTCCCCTCGCGTGGCATCCACCACCAGGAGAGCCACATCCGCCTGGGTGGCTCCGGATATCATGTTCGGAATAAAGTCCTTGTGACCCGGAGCATCCAGCAAAGTAACGATCTTTGTCTTGGTCTCTATGCGCGACTGACCCACATCCATCGTGATGCCACGGGCTCGCTCCTCGCCCGTCTCGTCCAGAACCCAGGCGTACATAAAGCTCTGCTTGCCCAGCTTCTTCGACTCCTGCTCGTGCTTATGCATCACGCGCTGCGAGACATTTCCGGTGTCGTAGAGTAGATGGCCCATCAGTGTGCTCTTCCCGGCGTCCACGTGGCCAATCACAATCATGTGGATGTGGCTTTTCTGATCGGCTCGCTCCTTTTCGTAAAGCTGGCGGGCATTGCGCACGGCTTGCTCCTTGGACACCTTAAAGAGGGACGTCGAGCTCCGTGAATTGTCTTCGCCGCCAATGTCCACAGGTGTGTTTCTGCCGGAGACAACTGGCGACGAGGGCACCTTGGGCGACGCTATTTCAAAGCCACGACGGGGCTCCTTTAAACTGATCTTTGGCGGCGGCGTTGGCGCCGTTTTGCTTGAGGATTTTGGCACCACTGGGACAGCAGGCACCTTAATGCGGGCGGGCTTGGCAGACTGTTTGCTTTCCTCGTTGAGGATCTCGTCTAGGATCTTCTGCATGTCGTAGCCGAACTTCATGGAGGTCTCCACGATGCGGCGCTCGGAGACAGCATCGCCCACTACGCTGCGCACCTCGTCTACGCAAGAACTCAACTTCGCCTGCTCAATCTCGTCCAGCTGCGGCATCTGGAAACTTTCGGAATCGCGCCGTGCCTTCTCAAAAGCCTTTTCCTCGTCCTCTTCCTCGTTGTCCTCTTCCTCCTGAATGTCCTTGTTCTTGCTGATAAACGCCGAGATGCTCTGCTGGCCGCGAGCACGATCATAGAGCCATTGCTGCGCATCAGTGGGCGAAATGCAGTGATCGTCCTCCACGGAATGCCCGTAGATGTCGTCGTACCCGTCGTACTCGTCGTTGTAGTCCATGGTGCGGACTATTCTGTGGCGCGACATTTTGAAGGTATCTGTATTTCACAATTTACGATTTAGGAAATGAAAGTCAGAATTTCATCGAGTTGAGAAAGGAAAATAATAGAGTTGCGTGCAGGTGTGACTGCCTTCTCTTCGGATTCTTGGTATTTCTTTGAGTATTTTGCGGTATTAAAACCAATGGCGTAGTTGGAAAAATTTAAATTAATAAATATTTTGGAGAATACAGTTTTTAAGTAGTTATCCATGAATATCACTTTTTGAAGTTGACTTTAACTACATATGTTACTAAGATCAACCTTTTTTTTTATAATTTTTCAGAAAATTTAGCATTACTATTTTATATTAAAATATGACAACATTTTTGTTTTTCGCTAATACAAATTTGCAGATTTTAACATGTTGCTGTATAATCATAGAAATTTTATTGTATATTTTTTACTTGTGGGTAAATAAGCCAAAATACGAGTTTTTTTCTTAGTACTTCATATTGAAGCCACCCCCGCACGATATTTCGCCTCCCACTCGCGACGGTCACACTGGTTCGAGTCTGCCCTAAAACATTTGTCTTTTGTGTCGCGTTTTATTGTGAAAAGAAAAACACTTTTGCAACGGTTGCGGGCTGTAAAAAGAGTGCAAGACATTGCGAATACGAAGTGCGCAAAGATGCAGGCGGGGCAGCACTAAAACCAAGCCTCATTTCCCTCGATTTCCGCCGTTTTTCGTGTGCGAATGCGAGGCGAGCCAACGTTGGCAAACCGAATCTCGTCAAAAGTCGTTTATTATTAAACAATAGCAGACAGCAGGTGTTGGGGAGTTCAGGATTCCAGAACACAGCAAAGATGTACAACAACGGAACAAGGGGCTTCTCCATTCACGATGCCTTCGAAGAGGAGACGGACGAAGCGATACGGGTCTACGGATCAACGGTGATATCCACGCCCATGAGGGGCGGCAAGCAAGGTCGCTCCACCGAAGACGTCTCCATTCGGATTCAGGACCCCAAGTGAGTGGGATGAAGCTTTGGTGGATCTGAAAAACAGGTCTTTGAACTGCCTGCGTGGGCACACCGATTATATTGGCACCATTTTTCCGAGCTTTGTGCCAAACAAGGAGCTCCGATTCCGGTTATTGTTGTGTTTATAATATCTTTGTATACCAACGTACCAGCTGTGCGTCTGGTGTTCTAAGAGCTGTCCCAGCCAACTTCCCATTTCCCCATTCCCGCCGGAAGCACCTGAATAAGTTAGCCAAGCGGCGCGTGCGTGATGGATACTATATAGCGCCTATGCCTCTCGTATTCCGTATCCCATATTCCATTTCTTCTGCTCTCCGACATTAGCCATGCATGGCGTGTCGCAACTACAGAAACGACTTGTAATTATGGGGATTATAAATGCAGACGTCCAGCCTAATTTGGCATTCAATTGTAAAAATCATTGCGCATAAATTTCGTCATAAGGGTTTCGCTTGCTCTTTCGCTCTGGCGTTTCACGAGGGGATCACAAGGAGGAGAAGAAGGTGGCCTTCGCCTGCGGTCAGCTGGAACCAGTTAGCAAGCCCAGCAAGCCAAAACCAGCAAGCAGCGTTTGCACTTGTCGGGCTTCTCTTGCCAATATAATCGAGTGGTAAATGCGAAATTGATTGCGTCTCGCTTTTGGCGGCAATCCAACCTTCCGATAACCCCTCAAAACGGTTGATAATGGTCCTAAAGTCCATGTATAACCAAGTGGGTGAGCCGACTTAGGGAACTAAAGCTCTGTGCGTATATTCAATTAATAACATTAGTTAATTCGACTTTAAACTCGGCTTAATCCAGCGCAATCTCCACTTAACCATGATAGTTCGCAAAACCAGTTTGTGAAGAAGACAATTAGGGTATATGCTAGGCATTCAAATGATTATCTACCAGTCTACTATAGTCTTCATTAAATATTAATACGTTTTATTTTTCAAATATTGTGCGAAAGAGTTATTAAAAAGGGTGCTTATCTTTATCAGTTTATCAGTAGTTTTGGACTTATGTTATGAAATCTTTTTTTAGTTGCAATTAAAAATGCCTAATTAATCATTTAAGATAAGAGTTTTTTATACTTTTTGAAATCGTTTAATCGCAGTTTTCGCGGGAACCATTTTCTTTGGCTTGCACAATCTTGATTTAAGTGGGTCAAAACCGGCATTCAAAACCTGCTTCGTTGCACTGCCCGAAGGCTTTTAAGCGCTCTTCCTTTCAATGTTTCCCATATTCTGTCTCCCCAGGGGCTACAACAAGTATGCCGAGGACACAACCTCCAGGGACAGCGACTCGCTCATCCAGGAGTACGGCAACCTGCCCACGGAGGAGACCAACACATACTGCTGGCGGCACCCTAAAGTGCGCGAGAACTGGCGCACGGTCCTGGCCGCCTTTACGCTTCTTGTTGTGGGTACGGGCCTCTTCGTGATGGGCACCTTCGCAATCGCCGATCCGCAGAACACGTCGCAGGGAGTCGTGTTCTTTGTGGCCGGACTCATCTGCTTCATACCCGGGGCGTACCACGTCGTGTACATCTGGCTGGCAGCCAAAGGATATCGAGGGTTCGACTTCTATCACCTGCCGCTGTTCACATAAGCGGACGTCTGGTCGTTCAACTGGTTGATCCAAGGAACCAGATAAAGCAAGATAGCGAGAGAGCGGTGTGGGAGAGCCCCTTCTATAAATATAAATCTACGTGTTTGTTTATATTTGTATAAACAATTTATTTTCTATATCGTAATAGTAATTAACCCAAAAGTCGGTTTGTGTAACGTCCTTTTTGTGTTTAGCGGCAAAAATTTCGTTTAGACAAAGCCCCTCCTTAAATCCCCGAATCGAAATCTAGCAATATATAGATGATATATTTTACAATATTTTCTATTATGTGCCCGGTAAAGTGTTTTGTATACCCCAGCCGAATCCCAAAAAGTGCAAAACATTCATACGTACACTCGAAATTTATTTAAAAAAAAAAAAGAAAAAACAAACGAAAGACTTTGTATATGATGCTAACATGTTGAGGAAGCGCTAGAGTTATAACGTATACTATATATAAATTGTAATTGTAATTTATTGAAATTTAATTGCACCAAAAACGCTGGCAAGCGTACGAAAATGTTTTACGATTTTCAAAAACCAACACTCAAGAAACAAAAAGATTAACAACCTTACACCCACGAATCTATGTATATGATTAGTGAGCGTCTGTCCAGGGATGCGCCTTAAAGAACTAGATCTAGACTTTAGTCAACGTCGAATTATGATTATGATTTAACCTAATCGATTGCAATGAGAGATTTCTCGAGCAAACCATGATAATACCAAGCTACTAGTGATGTAAGACGGATCGCCGATATTGCAATACGTTCTTTTATAGCTATAGTAATGACGCGACTCTTTTCCGCTGACCTTACCCCCGTCCTTTAATAAAATTACATCTCACAATCATCCACATTTTTAAAACTAATCACACACCCCATCTGCCGTTTAGTTGTTAATGTCGTATAATTTCTTTTTTTAAGAAATGCTGAATATGGTTGTATTAAAATGAGAATAACTATTACACGCAGAAAACTCAAAAAACTAAATAAAAAAAAAAAATAAATTGACTTAAAACACATAAAAACTATTTATGGCTAATACAGGACTTATTATTTTCCAAATTTTACACAAAATTAATGTTTAGCTCTAACTTTGTGACTTTTGTATGTATTTTCCCATTGAATGTTGGTTTTTATTCGAATTAAAAATATTATTTTTGAACACTTCAGTTTGTTTTAATTTACTTTATCCGATTGAGGGGATTTTTACCATGATAAGATACAATACTCACATTTTTTATCTTTTGTTTATGGTCTTAAACGTGATTAATCGCTTCTTTTTATTTAATTTTTTTCAGCACTCTTCTGGGAATTGATTTTGTTTCTTAACGCAGCTAAAATTGGGCGATAAGTTATATCTTTTTTTGCGGCATGCCCATTGAACTGTATCAGAATCCATCATTATCAAGTTCACCCTCAAACATTTTACAGTGCGTTTCAAGACTGCAAGATAGAGGATAGGGGTGCGATTGGGTTAAACGGAAGAGGTTTTAAAACTTAGATTATTCTAAATTAACCATAACACTACCATTAACTTTCTGATGCTTTATTTTTAATTCCTTTACGAGCCATTTGCGATAAGACTTAATTGTTTAGCTGACCTCACTCTACAATTTTATTGATAGCCCCGCAATAGGAGGGGCACTTGGCCTTTGTCCTACAGTCACGAAACGCACTGCTGGCCGACTCCAGCTCTTCACCAATCCTCCTCTTGGTTTAATGGACTCGGCTGCCTTCAGCCAAAGGCGATGCAAATGAGATGAAGTGAAATGTTAGAAACAATCAAATCGGCAATGGAATAGGATAGATACTTGCTCAATATACGAAGTTAACGACGGCTCGAATAGGTTTAATTATATTGGTGTTGTGCGCCTCTCCGAATCGATTATTTTTGTAGCTTTGAACTTGTTTGAATTTGAATAATTGTTGCCTCGACTTCGACTTCGACTCCACTCGATTCGATTTGATCCGGACCGATTTATTTTGCCTCGGTTCGACCGTTGATGATTAAGCTTTAAATGTGCTTAGCAAAGTAAGTGTGGAAAAGGAATAAAGTGCATGGAAATTAAACGCCAAACAATGTTTGTTGATTCACCCCCTCAAGGGACCCAACCCCTGACAGTGGTGGGTAATAAATATTTTGGGGGCTTGTACCTGTACACGCTTTTTATCTTTTTCAGGTACCACACACCTTTTCCATTATCAAGTGATAATTTAAATAAAGTCAATTTGGAAGTATATATGTAACTTTGCCAATTTAAGTCTGATTCCAAAGTGGCATATGTACCTCTAAATGTTTGTAATCGCATCCTTGAATAAACTGCATTCAATATTTTTCATTTTTCGGTGGTCGATATTTCGACCCCTGTTCATGTCAGAATTTTCCGACTTTTTGATACTTTGCCGCAGGAGACCTAATTGTTGAAGTCCACAGTCCATAACTTTGACAATTTTTTTCCGATTTTAAAGTGGCATGTATTTAAATATTTGTAATTGCATTCTTAAAGAACTGGCATCCAAAATTGTTAATTTTCCAACGGTCAAAAATTTGAGCCATGCTCATGTCAGATTTTTCTAAGCTTTCCGATCATTTTATACAATATTTATTTAATAAAGGTACATTTTAGATTAAGCCCCACGTGGCTTATGAAATATTGTACCTACTCCTCTGCCTTTTTCGAAGAGACAATTTGTCACCGGGCATCGATCAAACACAGGACATCCGAGTGGCCTGGCAACGGGAGCCATTTAAGTCCGGATGGCAGGCCATAACCGCAAGGGAGCGGAGTGGAGCCGCTAATGTCTGGAGTGCACATCCAAGTTCATTAGACTTGGATGGGTGCGGAAAAGCTGTTCGACACGAAATGGAAAGTTTTGGCAACATTTCCCGCTGGTGAGTCGTCGTAAATCGCAGCGCGAAAAGCTGAGTGTCTAAAAATATCCCGGCACTCGAGGGCAATCGATGTGCCCGCAGCTGGCAGAGATGGGCGAGCGCGAGCCGGAGTCGGACGAGGACTGCGAGGTCTATTGTAAGTCGTTCTCTGTAATTCGGCAGCAGCATGTCCCTTCTCATGGATTATTCCGCAGTCCTGAAGCCGGTCAACGAGTACAACATTGTGGACAGGATCAAGGAGGCCAACAAGGAGCTCTTTGCCCCGGACGAAGACGGTTCGAATGGCAACGGCAAGGTGACCAAGGTGAAGTTCGCTCTGAATCTGGAGGACTACGAGCCCACGGCGCAGCAGAAGGATCTGAGTCCCAGTCCGCCGGACGAGCTGCTGCAGCAGTTGACGCAGCTCAAGCTGAAGCCCATTGCGGAGGAGGAGCCAGCAGCTCCTGAGTTGTCCAAGGTGACAGAGGAGGAACCTACTGCGGAGGAGGAACCAGAAGCAGAGGAGGTGGAGGAGGAGGAGGAGATCTGCGAGGAAATCCTGGACTTGGGGGAGGTTCCTCAAGAGCTGCAGCCGCAGGTCCAAGAAACCATTCCCATTGAAGAGGAGGACGACTTCTCCGGCGTGGATGAGGCAGACCTCGATGATGATACTCCAGCGAATGATGCCTCGAAAGCTGCTCTTCAACTGAGGCAGAGCACCTTTGACCAGGACGATTCCGACCAGAAGAGCCTTACCAACCTGCTGACCGAATCCGACTGCGAGGAGGAGGAACGCACTCTGAATGAGGCCCGCCAGAAGTTGAGGGACGCCTACAAGAATCTGTACAAAACCCTGGATCCCAAGCAGCAGGCCACCATCGATCGGCTGACGGGGGCCGAGAATGCAGAACCCTTGCCGCCTCCCGTGGTTCCTGAACCTCCAGCCGACGAAGAGGACGACCTGTCCATCATTGTGGCCAGCTACATTCCGGATGACTTTGAGCTCAACGAGCAGAGCATTTACTACAAGAAGGAGGAGCCCGAGGAGGCCAAGGAATCCTGCTCCACCTGCCCCAAGGCCACTTCCAAGACCTTCTTTACCTCGCGCAGCTTCAGTTTCCGTCGCCGGGCCAAACCCACACCCACTCCTTCTTCCGCCTCCGCTTCGACGACTTCTCCCTCCATCCGGATGAACTACAAGATCTGCTGCGAGCACCGGCACTCGATTCAGGGCAAGTTGCCCAGGTACACGGGCTACATGTCCGAGTACGGACTGACCGCCCAGCAGCTGCAGCGCAGGGAACAGCAGCTGCGGCGCAAGCAGCGCTACTCCATGGAGCAGACCATCAACCGCAACGAGCAGGAGCTGAAGAAGATGCAGGACAACGAGCGGGCCTTCACCACCTGGCTGAAGAACAAGATGCGCTATCCGATCAACAAGACGAAGAACATGTTCGATGCCCACAAAAGGCGGGGCAGCGTGGCCGCCGCCGGAAGTCCACACCAGCATCTCCAGGCTCACCCCCATCTCCACCAGGAGCAGGAGCAGCGCGGAGGTCGTCGGAGGCGTCGTCGCGACAGCGGGGAGGTCGAGGTGCACGCCTATCGACACCTTCTCGGCAGCTGGAACAAGTAGCCGTAGTGTAGATCTTACATTAGTTTATTTCATAAATGTATCGTATTATATTTAATTTGTAATACAACTTTTGAAGCGTGAAAAAATGAGTGGGTAGGATCGGGATCAGAGTGGGAGGATCTTTTAACAGATAGACAATGATAACAGTTGTTAAAACATATTACGCTGGGAGTGTCTCGAAAGGAATCGGAACAGCTCCCTAGTGACGCGACTTCTTCGACTTGTTGTGGCCATTGTCGCGACTGTCGTCCCGCGAGCGCTTGCGATCCTTGCTGCTGCTCTTGTGTCCGGACGACGAGGAGGAATGATGCTTGTCCCGGCTGTGGTACTTATCCTTGGACGATTTCGATGGGCTACAAAAAGATACAAGATTTTTGGAAAGTGTAAGAAAAATATTCCAGACAATCGATCAGACATTGGTTAACAAAATTTTGAGCAAGCGAAAGTGTGATGTTTGTTTCTGATTAAATAAATTTCGCTTTAATTTATAAAGTTCTCCCTAAAGATAAGTCCCAAATATTATGCAAACCAAAACCAGAACCAAATATTTAATTAAAAAAAAATGAATATGAATGAAGTAAACACAAATCGACTAGGTTTCTTTTTGTGAAATTATTAAAAAAAAAATATTTTTGAGTGTGAAATGTGTGTGAAATGCACTTGCGTTAGGCCATATGTTTGGGTATTAAGTGTTCGGGGTTTCGATAACAAACCTAGATGAGCTGCCATGTTTGGAGCTGGAGGATTTAATATGCGAAGAGGAAGAGGAGGAGTTCGACTTATGCTTTTTACTGTGCGACGACGATCGAGCCTCTTCACGGTCGCGGCGACTGTTTTGGGTGTAAAATGCGGTAGAACGATTGATATAGATAAAACAAAGGATAGATCTCGGGTAAAGTAACACTTCTGGAGTGGAGGGACAGAGCATGCTCATACCTGTGCTTCGAACTCTTGTTGTGCTTCTTGGAGTCGAACTTTCCGTTGCGTGGCTTGTCATCGGTGGCGTAATCATGGTTGCGATCCTCCTCGGCAGCCTCCCGCTCCAGATCGGACCAATCCTTGCCAGACTCCTCATCCGAGCCGAGGTCCTCTACAAAAAACAAAGAAAATCAAAATTTAGAAAGGAATTAAATTGCTAGATTTTTGTAAGGTTATACCATCGCTTTCTTCGCTGTCTTCTGAGGCCTCCGAGTACTCGGAGTCTTCGTCCGACTCTTCATCCGTTTCGGCATCTGTGGGATTATATGCCTCATCCTCCTCGGACTCGGCGGTTTCGTTCTCGCCCTCGCTGCCCGATTCGGGGTCCAAGAAAGTCCAGCCGCCTTGGTCAAAGAAACCCTCGGGGTCGTCTGTGATGGTCTTCATGATCTTTTGCCAGTTGAGTGATTGAACACCCTCAGAATAGCGAATGTCGCAGGAGCTAAAAAAATAATAATAAATGAACATTGGAATTCTCTTTCATTAAACCATCAAACGTACTTGAGCCACTCTTTGACGTGATCCAGCATGTTCATGGGGATAGCATTGACCATGGCCACCTTCTTGTTGTACTCCTTGAACACAAAGATCATGTCGAAGTTTCGCAGATGGAACTGAACGCGCTCAAAGTGCACCAGCTCCACGTCGTCCAGCGTGATAACGAATGGCGGCCATTCAGTAAGGTTGACCAGCGAGCCCGAGGTGGGTTGCAGAGTAACCGTGCTGCGGAAAGGTGCTCCAGGGAATCCCAACTCGCGGAACGGAGTGTCGAACTCCACCACGGACTTGGTCATTGTTTCCACCTTCTCGCAGAAGCTCTTGAAGGCCGTCTTGAGCTTGTGTCGCAGCTCCCGCTCCGCCTGCTCGGCTGCCAAATCATCGCGGTCGTGCATGTGCTGGTGTTTGCCAAGATCCGTGGTAATTTCTCCCACTTCCGTGTAGAACTGCACGTCTACGTGCTTCTTTTTGCCGAACATAATGGCGTACTTCAAATGAAAATGCAGAAGGATAATCATCTCGCCGTCGCAGGGCTGGAAAAACGCGCTCTTGATGTTGTTGTACAGGATGTCCACCTTGTCTCCGCGCACAGAGATGTACCGGAATCCGTTGGTGTGCGCCTCCAAACTGCCCGTCATGCGCTTGGTCACGATGTTGGGTCGAATATACAGATCCTTTAACTTGGGATTACCCTTGTTTTGGGACAGTATAAGCGTGTCCTGCTTCACGAGATCCTCCTTCTCGCGTTCCTCTGCCTCGCGGGTTTTGAAGCGCTTCTGCACCTCCTTGATTAACCGAAAAGCGTTGTTCAGATTCGCAGATGGAGCACCCACTTCACCGTGTTCTTTTACGTTGGAACTGCGATAGGTTCTGCAGGGGAAATGTTAATACATAAGTTAGTTTGCTCAGTATATGTATTTAACGAGTATCACTCACACTTCCTTGACGAACGTTGCCTCTGGCTGAGGATAAAGTCCGCCTTCGTTGCGACCCATCGTGGCGCCCGGATGGAAAAAGTTGATACGCAAGTACGTGTACTCGCCTTCCACCGACTGCGAGATGTTCTTGATGGTCGAGATGTGGAACGGCACCTGGATGCCGAACACGGGCATGATGACGGTCTCGTACTTCTTGTCCACGTACAGCTTCAGCTCCTTGACCTCTGTCTCGCGCGGCATTTGGCTGATGGACTTGTAGGAGACGGTGTTCTTGCGCACCTTTTCCACCTCCTTGGAGTTGCCCTGCTTGGCCAGCCGGTCTTTGGCGCGCTCGTTCAGCTGCTGGGCCAGCTCACGCTGGTGCTCCTTGCGTTTCTCCTCCGTGTTAATCTCGTTTCGCAGCTTCGATTCCAGCACGGCATTACGCTTGCTTCGTCCCAGGATTTCAGTGCCCTGATCCTCCTTCGCGGCCTTCTTGTCGTCGACGTCCTCCTCGTCGCTGTCGTCCTTGATGAAAATGCCCACGTTCTTGATTTTCTTCTTGGACGGGGTCATCACACTGGCAGGGGATTGTTCGCCAACAAGGACAGTGTCGCCGATGAACAGGGCGTAGTTCTTGCCCTCCTTGTCGGTGGCATCGGGATTGGTAAGATTTGAAAAGCCCACGTGCAGATTGAAGACCATGTTCTTTTTGAGCAGCGCCTGGCACTTGGGTCCGATTACGATCGAGTTTTCCCGGAACTCCAGCCCCATAGCGAAACCAAAGCTCTTCGGCAGATTGTCCACCAGGCTGGGCTTCTCCTTCTTGACGTATTCCAGCGTCTTCTCGTATACGTCGCACAGTTTGGTGCCCGGCACCAGCAGCTTGAGTATTTCCTCCTGCACACCTACCAGAAATGTGTAGTTCTCCTGCATGGCCTCGGTGGGATTAACAAGGAAGGTGCGCGATATATTTGAGCAGTAGGATTTGTAGCGGGCGCCCAGGGAGCACACAATCACTCCGAAATGCAGCGGATTCTTGTCCGCCACGGCGGAGAACTTTAGGCTGTAGGCACCGCCCGATTGAATGATGGGTGGATAGGCCATGTCCAGTAATCTGGGATCCAGGCCACTGGTGTATTTTTTTTCGCCAATGGCCGCCTCGCAGCCATCTGATAGTTTGTTGTGCTTGACTTTCTGTGTGAGTGAAAATGTTTAGGCCAGGGAAACCTTTCAACTTTATAACTAGAACTTACCCTATCCGAATCGATAATGTCCATGATCTCATCTTTCAAATACTTGTTGAAAATGTCCATGGACACTAGCGATGCCTTCCGTATATTGTTGATCTCCGATTCATCTTTGGGACACATAATGTATGCGATTATGGTGCTGATGTCTACATGTTCGAATTCGCAGGACGTCAAAGACTTTTTCCAGGACTCGCTAAATTCCCCGGGGAACGCATCCTTGGTAAATACGCCTAGTCGCTTGCCCTTTTTAGAGTTTTGCAGCGCCTTAATGAGTTTCTCGAAGTTGCCCTTGTCTTTATCCGTCTTTTGGGACACAGGAAGTAAAGGATTAGAAGAGTTTCGGTCCTAAGAAGGTTCTGGAACTTACACGATCCCTTACTAACAGCTTAATTTCCGGCACACCCTCCTCTGTAATGTTCTGGGTTTGCTTAAGGAACTCTATTTTCTTTTTGCTGGTGAGGAAGTATACAGAATCGGAGGCAAAAACTGAAATAGTGTCCGTCAGTTCGTAGCCCAAAAGCCATAGCTGCAGGGCCATGGATTTCGAGTACAGGACATCCTCTTCGACACCCACGACGCTCATGATGCAGTCCAGATTGCTGAGGGCGTCATCGTGTCCGATGCTTGGAGCCTGTGGAAGACAAACAAAGGAGATCACTATGGAGTTCAGCCATTATACCAGCCCAAAGAAAGTTGTAGTTTAAGTATATACGAGTCCAATTTCACCACGTTACCCAATTGCTTTATTACGGACTTTTTTTTAGTCTCCACATGTTTTTAGGGGCTCTTGAAGGCAGAGTATTTGGAGATTGGCGACCGGCAGACAGACTTACCCTCCATTCCGTGTAAAGGCGCTTTAGGCGTCGCACAAACGCTTCCTTATCAAGCACAAAACTCGACATTTTGCCGTCGAGTCAGTGACAGTAATTCCAAATGATGCTTTGATGATACTGCGTTCAAAATCCGTGTATTTGCATTTGCGAATTCCGGCGGACGAAAAAATTGCGCGGCGCGACGAGAAAAAGAAGAAGAACCAGCGTCAGTAGGGCTGCAAAAACATCGTGACAGCGAAGAAGAAGAAGAACAAAGAAGAAGAAACCGTTACTGGTTGTGACACCTCCTAACAACAAATGCACCATTCCTATTTAGCGAATACACCCTCCCAAACTAGCAATCCACCACAGCTGTTGGACACCACGGTTTCCCACCAGTCAGTGTTAGGAAATGTTAATAAATTTGAATATTTTAGATGACGGAAAAACTAATTTTTCTTGGCCAATATATGTTCTTAACAGTTTATCCAAATATTCAAAAGAAAATAAAGGCAACTTTTCGTTTAAATATAGTTAAGTTTATTATTGTTTTCCTTCAGTATTATCAACATTTGCAATTACGTACTGTGACGGCTAATATGTGAGTTCGTTGAACTTGATTCATTGGTTTTTAGCAAAGTCTAAGTGTTCGGAGCTAGGTTAATTCTTTGTGCCCGCCGGACTTTCAGCCTCATCCGGCCGGGCCACCTGCAGATACTCCTGGATGTCGTAGTCAAACAGCTCAAAGTCGTATCTATGTGGGAATAATATTTAATATTTTAAATTTTATATGAAGATTTTTAACGGCCGACTTACTTGTAATACTCGTAGAGCTCGAGCATTTCCTGGCGCGTCAGCTGCGCGTAGAATTGCTGTTGGAGCTCGTGCGTCTTGCGGCCCTTGCCCATGTTGCGCCACACGGGCGCTATCACCCGCTTAAGGCCAGTCTTTTCGATTAGATATAATTGATCCTCCGCCAGCGACTCGAACTTCAGTATCATGTCGAACCGGATGAGGCAGGGTGTGCAGAAGGAAGTGGCCGCCACGAAGTGCATGTCGATGAAGCTGCCGCGCTTCACCTGGTCGAGCAGCCAGTGCACAAACTCCGGGAACGAGGGGAACTTTGTGTTGGCCGCACGCCCAGCCAACGAGGGCTGAAATGAAAATAAATAATTACAACTTTAGTTAGCAAAAAATACTAGCATTTATTATTCAAAGTCCTCAAATTATTTAGATTAAGAAGACTCAATCTCAAATTCCTATGAGTATCGTGAAGTTAAACGTTCACATGGCGTATACTTAATATTCATAGACAGATGCATAAAAGGTAATAAATCAAGTATACGCCTTGTGTAACTTCTTAAATACTCACCTTCTTGCGATAATTGCGCACAATGCTGCGTCCCAATTTATCGTGGAAGGAATAGGGCAAAGCGAACACCATTTTGTCCCGATAGGCACTCAACAGCCGCTCGAAGGGATCGCGTGCGATGATAAAGGTCAGCGAGTAGTTCTGTGCCTCACGCAGCTGTCGCCCAAAATAGAACAAAGTGAATTGAAATTGGATAGCCCAATGTAAGCAATCCTTCGACACCCACCTCATCGAGTGTCACCCGGGGATAGCGCTCCCTGGCCAGATTGAGGAGAATCTTTTTCGTCTTACGCAAATAACTGGGCGAGTAGCCGGCCAGGACATTGAAGTTGAACATCCAGGACGAGGAGGCTGCCTTAAAGACATTGCACCTGCCCAGGACATGAGGTTTATAAATATATTGCCATAAGAATTATAAAAACATTTGCAATTTCAATTAAAAATCAACAAATAAGTGGATAAACAGTCAAACAAATTGATTTCCCATAAACTCAGACCTCAACTTGAGAAAATAAAGTCATTTAAAAGTGAATAAAGCTCACACCCACCAGATAATGTGATACTTTTTGTTGACCAAAAATTCCCACGTGTTTGGGGTGTGCCACGAGTCGTGACCTGTAAGTAAGATTTGCGATATAGAGCGCGTGCTGGGTGTCACATTCGATCGCACGAGGAGGACCCACCTAGGACGTCCAGGCCGTAGGCGGAGCACTTGTCCTTCAGCCGCTCCCTGCGCTGGTCCATCCGCTGCTCCACCTGGAGCATTTCCTGCGGCGTGAGCGTCTGCACGGCATACTCGGGGATGAGGGGCAGGAGTGTCTGGTTGCTGTCCTGCCGAGGGACAAACATACGGAAAGTTGAGCCATCGTGCAAAGCCGGAACGCCGCTCGATGCGAAATGGGAGTAGAGAAATGGGAGTGGGGTGCCCAGATGCCTGCCAATGCGACTCGCTAATGCGCAATCAATTTGGCTATCTGAATTTTATTTAGCCGCTCTGTTTACATCATTAATTATACGTATACGAGCCTGTGAGCTGAAGTGTTTGTTGTGTGTGTGTGTGTTGCTGGTGTTTGTGGTGAGTGTGTAAGTATTTGTGCGGGTTACATATTTACTTTATCAACATAGCGCCACTTGTTCTTGGTCTTGCCCGTTGCCACGACGGTTAGGTCCTTGTTTTTGTTTTTGTTGAGCAGCAGCACTGGATACCGGACCACCGGATACGGAGACTGGTCATGTTGCTGCGTCTGCTGCTGCTGCTGCGACTCCTGCTGCTGCACATTAAAGGCCTAGAAAATCAGTTGCATTTGCGTTTGTGGGTAAGGATTTGCTGGTCTGGGTGGTACGTATATTGCTATGTGGGTTAACAGGCTGAGATGATGTGACGTATGCGCAATGTACAAGCTTGGAATGTCTGTCCAAGGTCCAAGGTCCAAGGTCGCCGCCCCCACGCCTTCCGGCTGAATCTGAATCTGAATCGGTTCTCTCAATCCCAATTAAAAGCCCCAGACGCCGGTGTCAACTGTCGGCTGGAAAATGGCCACATTTATCAAGTGGCTGCGGCGACTCTGCGGATAAGTTGGCGTCATCGTGGCAGGCACTTTGCATTCGACTCGCGCACGCCTCGCTTTTCACTTTGCAGCAGTACCCTATTCTACTATACTACTATACCACTATATGGTTTGCATACCCTTAGAGGGGCGGGAACTTCCACTTGGGGAGTGGGGCGGACACAATTCAGGGGTACAGAAATGCCCGGTTCAGATAAGATTGATTAATGGCCGGGCAGAGGGGCTGAATAAAGAATGCGATACTTCAGTAAATGTTTGGTCACATTTGATGACTTGTCTAAATATTTTTATGCTTTTAGCTAAATTGTTTTCTTCCACAATATTTCACTTGGCAAGTTACTTTAAACTTTAAGGAACATTTAACATTATAAAAGCTGGAAATGTGTACAGACTATATGGTTAATTTATAAGACACTTTTTAGCAAGGGAATATAAGCTTCTGAGCTTCACATTTCCGCATGACATATCCATCCACAGTGGCGCTATTGGTTTGGAATTTCGAAATGAATGATAAAAGGGCTATGGCTCTATGGGTAAACATGGGTGTTTGTAATTCGCACTGCTTAATTATGCGTGTGTGCCAGCCGAAACAAACGAAAAACACCAGCTGTTTAACTGGAACACAACACGGCGTATGCGTGTTCTAATGTGCTTATATTTTTTCGGTGGTTGAATTAGCATGTGTCATTTGGGTAATGTAATGCAAATTACCAGTGGGCAAGCGCATATTGATTGAGGTGCCAGCCCCACGTGAATCGATATTCCTCAGCCCCCGTTGATGACTTTTTCATGATGCCACACGCAATTAAGTGTAATTTGTGCGAAAGTTTTCCTTTTTCGCAAGCCATTTGCCCAAGGCCGATGGACGGGAGTCCAAGAGTCTCTGGCGACCACGCAACTACGCTTTGCAACTAGTCAGCACTTGGAAAAATAAGTTCCCTTAAAGCCAGATGTTTAAATCATTGGTCACCATGTCGCATGCTATCGAGATATATTGAAAAATGGATCTTACTGGAAACTATAAACTATAAACATCTATACAAAAAATATATTATAGTTTTTTAAGACCTCAAACACAAACGTTCAAAGGTTAATCAGAATCAAATTGGTCGGATTATGAGGTTTCGAAGTTTAGTTTTCGGTCACCTTTGCTCCACTGAAAAATTGTAATGTACAAAGTTTTCTAATTATAGTGTTTGCAAAAAATCTATCTACAACTTATATAACAGCCTTGACTATTTTTGTCTTGTGTAATCTGCTTTGGCCATGTCAAAGGGTTGTCCGGGCCAAAAGGGGCGTGGCCGAGGGCGGTCGGACAGCTTATGTGATTATAAGCCAAGAACGCTTTCCGTACGTCCGCGTCCGTCTGTTTGTCGGTGTGTCAGTGTGCGATTGATGTGACGCTGGAATATTCCGTCTTAATGTGGCATTTGCTCATTTTTAAGCACAAATAGGCGATAAAGCCAGCAAAGCCCCCGGCTAATTTCGAATTAATTTGCACCCAATCAAGCGTACACGTAATACCTAAAAAGCCAGTTCAAGCATTGCAGTCCAGTTGCCCGGTGAGAATTAAGGCGATAAACGTGCAATTCCCAAGTGCGAAAGGCGAAACAAAGAGATATGCTAAAATCACTAAACAACTTGGATAAATAAACAACAGCGGGATGCCTCCGATCGCGGCTATTTATCGTGTATTTATAGCGATCGTTGCTAATTTGCGTGTAAGTTTATTCTCGGCTCTTTCCAAATGCCCTTCACACAATTTGTTTATACGTAGAATAAGATGATTGTTCGGATTGCCAGCTGATAGGTTCGCCGATTCGATTTGCATTTTATGGTAATTACTATTAATTGCTTTCTTTTTGTTTGGTTTTTTGTTCGTTTTTGATTCGGTTTGGTTTGCTTTGTTGTTTGACTGCCTCCTCCGATGGCCTGAAAGTGAGTCAGGCAATCGATGGCCTGCAATTTGTTTGTTGTCAGGCGATGAGGGGTGGGCGGGGCAGGCGGTCGGGCGGCAACTACAAGCGAGTATATCTACGGCCAATAAGTGCACTGAGAAATAATAGGTGTTGTTGTATTTGTATTAAATGTTCAACGATTTTATAAAGTTACTACTATAACAACTTGATGTGATAAATATCTTAAAATATTATTTCTTATTTATAAGCATAGGATATAAACTTGTATATATTTCCTATTTTTTCTCAGTACCCTCGTACAAGCGATTTGTTCAGCAGATGTTTGCCGGGCACTCAAAGGGCTACGGTGGGGACTACAATATAGTACGTACTACCAGCACGGGGGCATGCTACCTGGTCGAGCACCTCCCACTGCCACTCCCAGTGGCACCTGCACTCACCTCGAATCCTCGGATCTTCTGCAGCTGCTCGTTCCACACCAGGTAGACCAGCGAGAGGGGCAGGAGCAGCAGGGACACGGCCGTGAAGATGAGCAAATAGCGCCGGATGGCGCGACAGTTTGCCAGGCTCTTGCTCAATTTCATTTAAACCCGGCTCTAGCTGCATAGGAACTGATGCTGATTCTCCTCTCGGTCCTCGCTTCCGATTTGTATTGGTTTGATTCGGTTGGAGATTCTGATTTGGTTTTGGATGTGGATTGATTTCGGATAGACGCGCGTGTCGGTTATTGATAATCGTGGGACATTTCCCGCTGCTACGCGGTCACAAAGTTTGCCTGCAGTTGGCGACAGATTTTGTAAGTTCTCATCGTTGACGACGTCGTGCTGGCTAAATTTAGTTTGCTGTGCTAAATGTTCTTAACCGAAAAAAAATGAATAGAAAACAACAAAAAAAAGAAGAGCGGAAACCAAAAATATATTGAGTGAGCTGGGCGGATGGCAGTTTTTGGTTTATTGTCGTGTGGCTTTCGACCAAAATTGTGTCACTGCAGTCAGCACAATATTTCGGGCCAAACAATTGATTCGCTTCCGCTTTTGTTCGGCTTTTTGTTTGTTGGGGGTGTGCCTTTGTGGCTTCTACATTTTTGGCTGCAAGTCAGGAGGCACAAAAAAAAAAACAACGGAAGTCGTTTATTGATTTTCTGCTCACTTGAAACTCCATTCTTGGCAGTGCAACTTGAGGTATTGTGATGTTTGTGTGAAAACACCCCCTACATAAATTACTTGGCTCTTCGTTTTGTCTGCTCGTAAGCTCTTTGCACTTCATTTTCAATGTTCTCTTTCGTCTTTGTATTCACATTGTTATTATTATTATTTCTACTATTATACGGCTTACTACATGCATTTATGAAAAGCATTTTTCATTATTTCACTAATTAATTTGATTTGCATCTTTTTGTGTATATAGTTATAGCATTGAATGTGTCCATATGTAGATGTTTCTTTAAATGTTGACTTTCTTTTTGTTATTTAAATACATATTATCTTTTTAGTCACCTAAAATTCTATATGCAGCCCGAATAGAAAATTAAAACACCCCCTACATTGCTCTTTTTTGTTTATGTTTTTAACGTATCTTTATTTTCACTTATTGCAAGCTTTTCGCATTGCTTTGGTTATTTTTAAGATTTATATGTATTGCTTTTCTTAAAAACTGTTAAAAATGAAGCACATAGTAAAAAAGTTATTAAGAACTGTTTACTTTTACACAGACAATTTAATCTCAATATGTTTTAAGTTCAAAGGGTCTCTTTTGAAATGGTTTTTGTTTAAAGTTTTTAGTATTTTAATCCCTCAATTTTATAATTTGCACTTTTGCAATCACTTTAGCATTGTTTCGATTCGTGTATTTAATTGTTATATAGGCACTGAAGCACACCAAACTTGGCAAACAAATGCTATATGCGGGGCGTAAGAGGCGTATACGTAACGTGCTGTCAATTGCTTTGCTTTATGTGCCCGCTCTCTTTTCCCTTCGTTTCTCCACTTGGTCTCTCTCTTTTCACAACAATAAACAACAATATACTCGGCAAAGATGGCCCTCCATTAATGGAGGGCACTTTTTAGTTGTTGTTATTCAATTGTTTGCCAATTAAGAAAAAGCGCACAATCAATATAAATTCGCCAGGCGGGCTTTGATAACATTATTTTTATTTTTTTTCTTTGAAGAAAGAGAGGTGGCAACAAACACTAACCGTTAGCGTCATCACCGCACAACGCACATTTCACGAATGAAATCAAAATCAAATGCGAAATGAGCACAGGCGACGGGCAGCGACGCTAGCAGAGGAGCAGCAGCACAGTTTCAGTTTTCGGTTTCACTTCGCCATTTCTCATTCTCTCTTCCTTTTTTTTGCCTGCCATTCCTCAGCTCCTTGATTCCTTGATCCTTCCTTGAGCTTTGTTTACCCGTGTGTTTGTTGCTATTTTTGCGTGGCCCTTCGGGGGTGGTTTCTGTCCACCTTTGATTTGTTTATCGACGGGCGGGGGCGGAAATACCTCGAAATTCTGGGTTAACGCAGCAAAACAGTTTTTGTTTATTGCTGAGAAAAGCGCCGGTAACGGTAAATTGAGAGAAGTGAGAGCAAGACTGTCAAAGAGAGAGAGTGCAGAGAGAGAACGTAGTGAGTGCGCAGTGAGGCAATCGGCATGCAAATGGTTGGCAACCAGGGCTGTTTGGGTGGGAACAAAAGTTTTGCGGCTAAAATGGTATACTATCATGTCGTTTAAAAATTTATCAAAATACCATAACCACAATAAGTATTAAAAATATATAAATTATGTATCCTGAAATCACTTATTTAAATATGTCAGTCCTTTTTTTCCATCTTTTGAAATATTAGCATACTTTCAGGGGCTCCAAAACAGTATGAAATTCTTTAAAAAATTAAATATAGAAATTAGTAAAATGATTAGTTAAATAACAAGGAATTTAAAAATCTTGCTGGAAAGTATTAATATAATTATTAAACATAATACCAGCATCAGCTGATAAAGCAATAAATTCCTTTTATTTATACTTGAAAACTATCCAAAAATAGCATGCGATTTATTATGCTTGTTGATTTTAAAAATAGGTCCACACTTATTAGTTGTTATCAGCCTGTACATAAATTTTCTTCAAAAGACGAAACTAGAAACACATGTTTTATAATCTTCTAGTATACAGTTCTTATCAGTTTGAGTTTACAAAAAACTATGTTGCATGTAAACTGAATATCATTGATGGATTTTTACTACACTTATGAAATACAAATACATTCCATTGTAAAAAGTGCCTCTGGTTTATTAAATGTTAACATTAAGAGGTAATAGGTAAATGCAAATGTGGAAGGTCTTCGTCACAATTTGAATAACTTTCAGTACTTGATGAGGGAATGTACTTTTCCATCCAGTTTCTTGCGACCCCCCAGCTCAACCAGTTCCATTACTACCAGACTCTCCACGACAACTCCACCTACTTTTCGGATCAATTCGGCGGCAGCGAATAGGGAACCACCTGTGGCCAATAGGTCATCAACAATTACAACTTTTTGACCAGGCTTGATTGCGGAACGCTGCATCTCAAAGGTGTCCTGAAATGAGAGAAGTGGTTTTGAGAAAATAGTATACGGCTAAAAGTAAATTTCAGTAATTATAATTAGGCACACTAAAAATAGTTAACTGTCAAATAAGCTATTTCGCATTTCAAAACATGATCTTTATTGTTAGTGCTTTTAGTTGTAGTCCACTGATTTATCAGAAAAAAATTTCATGGTTAGTACCTCTAGTAATAGAACATCAATTTAATTTTGGGGTACTTACACTACCATACTCCAATTTGTATTCCACGGAGACTACTTCTCCTGCTAGTTTTCCCTTTTTACGAATTGGGGCGCATCCAATACCCAACTCAGTGGCTATGAGAAGATTGAAGAGGAAGCCCCGTGAGTCCAGTCCCACGATGATTTCCGCCTCGGGCGCACTTTCCCGAATATGATCCACCAACAGATCCCTCAGATAAACACAGGCCTTTGCATCGGTCAGTGCTCCAAAAATATCGCTGGTGTTTTACATGAAAACAGAGGGCTCTACACATTAACAACCTGATAAGAGCTCATTTGATTTCCCATTAACATCATTGTTGCACCATTAAGTGCTTCAACCACAGATAACCCCATGTGGTGATAACCCACCGGAACTCACCGGAATAAAATGCCCTCCTTTGGAAAGTTTGGATACTCGCCCACTTTGGACTTTATGTAGTTCAGCTTGTCTTCCGCAGTGATTGGGCTCATCTCTCTTTTTTTTGGTCTACTTAGCTATAAGGGAACTATTTGAAAGGTTTCTGTATTTCAGAGCTACGTGAGTGCGTGCCCAACTGCGGATTGGTTCAAGGGAACAGCTGATAGCTCAGCTGCTATCGGAGGAGGTGGTTGCTACAGATGGTAGATACTTCGTGCGATGAATATCCGTGTTGAGATTGCTTGGCGCTCGATTTGAAATTTAGGTGAATAAGAAAAATCATGGTTTGTTTTTGTTGCTTTTTTTTTTAAATATTATTAAAAATATATTGCTTTTATAAGTAAAACATAAGTAATAATTTTAACCGCCGGTTTCGTAATTTATTTATTTATTTAAGATTTTAATATAATTTTGACATCTTATATTTTATGAATCATAAGCCTTTATAAAAGGGTTTTTAGCTTAATTAGGCTAGTACCTACCCTAATTTTACAAAAAATTTGTATTTATTCTATGCATTTTTCTTCAAATTATTCCAGATTGATTTTGACCTCCGAGCATGTTAGACCCATAACTTTTCCAATTTTAGTCCGATTGCAAAGTGACATATCCCTTAACGTTTGTGGTTTTGTTGCACAAAGAAAGCATTTCATGGAATTCGGCAAACATCCTGCAGGTAGCAATGAAACCTTCCCCGAAAATTTTCCATTTTCTTGTCTAGATCTCATTGCTATCTAAACGATAAGTGGAGAAATCTTGGCAGTTCTTCGAGGGAAAGACACTCGTTGCTGCATTATTTATCAAGCAAAATGACTGAAAAGAAATGCCAACAATTTTCGCTGCACTTATCAAAGGCGGGCCAAGATCGGGAACTCTCACCTGGACTCTCTCTTCTTCTCTCTTTCTCTCACTCGCACAGACAGGTAAACAACGAACACAGGTAAGCCCAGGTGAATGTGAGTATCTGTGTGTCCGTATCTTAGACTCCCAATGCCAAGAAATATATTCAGTTCGTTTTTCAGCGCCGAACGCGACGGTTCAGCTTAAGCGGTTTCTTTCAAATAAGCGGATCGAATTCTCTGCCCGCAGATTGTTTAATAATTAATGCAAACTCGCAGCGATAGTAATAAATTTAAATAACAACAATAAAATAAACTTAAGTTCAGCAAAAACCGAAACCCGTTCTCGATCAACGTAAGCAAATCGACGAATAGAAAAGAGTTCGCGAATTCTCAAATTGAATTCGATCTTAACGGCAAAAGTAAATGTCAGCCGACAAAACTGCGCCCCGTTTTTGCCATTTTTAAAGTCGAAGAACGACTATAAAGCTAGCCATAAACAACAACCACTTCGTACTTACGACAACAACTGAAACAACAAAGTTCAAACAACATAAAAACGTGAAAACCTACAAAAAATTAATACATATATATATGCAACATTAGACACAACAGCAACAATATTGCAAAGTGCAGAAACACATTCACATTCGCACACATGAATGTTTACACTCTGAAAAAAAATTAACAATATAAAACCATTTTTTGAGGATCAGTATGTTATTACAAACGTTTTGTATTCACAAAAATACTATTTTTAGATTCATGTATTGGGTTATAAAGTTTTTAGTTGAATTAGTTTTTTCCTGTGTGCAAGACACACATACCCATATATCTCGGCAATGTGAAGACGTGCGTATTGAAACTGCAACAGCAACAACAACCACTGCTGCAACTGCAACTGCAACAACAACTGCTGCTGCAGCAGAAACCGCGCGCCCGAGTAACGTGAAAAACCAGAAAGAGGCACAATTTTTTTGTTTTTCTGTTTTGTTTAATTTTTTTTTTGAGGCAAACGAGCATCTCAACTGCAGAAGTTGCGGTTGCGCGGTGTCGGCCTTCGTGGCGAAGGGCATGAAATAGGGCGCTTTGAAAAAAAGGGAAATTTACTATCGAACTTTGTATAACATCTCACAGAAAGCCTTGTCCTATTAAAAAACTGAAACCTGGGAAAAAAAGTTAATATGAATACACCATATTTATCACGGGAGTAAAATAATTGCTATGCAATTTGTATAATAGAGGTTCAGAAAAACAAACTATATTAGAAAAAAAGTACACTCATTATTTGTTTCAGAGTTTTCTTAACAGTGAAAAAGAATATCTTTCTATCTTAAAGAATATTTTTAAGGGAAACAGAGAAAAAAGAACCTTTAGCCGCTCCTGACTTTCGTAGGCCCAAACTGAGTGAAGAATAGCGGTGTGAGTTACTATTATGTATGGACCCCCATTGTAGTTGTGGACCCGCTCATCGTGCTGGCTCTTGGTATGCGCGAATGTTTGCTAACATCCAAATCGTGATCTAATAAAAAACGTAGGAAAACAGAGACACATACCTCGGGCCCACGAGCGAGTGAATGAGTGAGCGGACCAGCTTTGGATGGCTTGGATTGGAGGCTCTTCAAAGGGGCCGTGTGGATGCCACCAACTTTCGCAAAAAGTAAATTGAGCAAAAAAGCGGGCTCTCCCGAGATGGATGGCAGCTGTAAAGGCTGTCAATACATTGAGTAACTGACCGCAAAAAAAGTTCACTTTTGCCGGTTCTTCTGGTCTTTAGTCCCGTTCCGTTTTGTGATTCTCCCCTTTCGGAAAAAAAGAAATCGCCTGTTCCGAAAAAATGTATGCAGAAACGATCATCACACCAAAAACATACAATGTTGAAAAGGGGAACCCGAAAGAAATGGGCAAAAGCGAAAAAATTCGACGTAAAAAAACATGGAACAAGAGCCACTTTAAACGCCATTTCCGCATAATTCTGAAATGTTGGAACCAGTTTTCATGGTGGTGACTGAAATTTAGCAACTTTTTTCGAGAAACCCCGAACGTATTAATCAAGCCACTGGCACCAACGTCTTCAACGTGTTTTAGGTTCCACTTTGTTGGCAAAAACAAACCATAACAAGCTAGTTACATATACTATACGCTTCCCTGATCGCCGAGCGGAACAATACGAGATTTTCCCCCGCTTAGCCGGTGAAAAGCTGAAAACGTGAAAATTAATTACAAGTGTGTGGCCAATTGGTCGGTGTTCGGTGTTTCGGAGTCTCGCGAGGTGGGGTTACCTCCATTTCAAAGCCAAAAGCCGCTCCAGACACGGGGTACTCACCTCGCGGTCCGGTCGTCTGTGCCTAATGTGAAATTTATGTTTATAAAGTAGAAAGTCATCGGGGGCTCAGGGAGATGGAATGACCAATGTCGGCGGTGGAACGAAAAGAAAGCCCGCTTGCTCTCTGTTTGGATTGCAGTTTTCGCAACTGCAACTGCGACTGCAATTGCAGTGGCATTTCTCAGTTAGCCGCTAGCCACGTTTAAGGTATTGCCATTACCCAACTGACCTTATTTCGTCGCTCATACGAGTATCTGCAGACTCAGCTCAAAAGTCACCTTAATTGCCGAGATTGCAATTCACCCATAGCTGCTAGTTTCAGCTTGTTTTTTTGTAGTATTTATTGCAGTGTACAGAGAACAAAACAAAGATACAAAACAAGGGTAAAATTTAAGTCTTTTTTGGTAGATATTATCACTTTATGATCACCTTGATTTATATGCTTATGTATTCAAGTATTGAAACTATCTTAACTTGGAATCAAGTGTGTTTTTTTAAAAATGGGTTTTAGTTAAGGTCATTATGAGCTGAGCTTGCGTTTGATGGAATTTGAAATTTAAAATTTTGGTAAATTTAAATTGAATTCATATATTTTGTAAAGTTCAAGTTAAACTTTGTAGTATGGTGGTAGACATATTTGAAGCTCAAGCTTGTTTTGAATTTATTTCGATCTTTAATCTTGGATTCCTTTGTGTTTTTTAATTATGATGTGATTCTCCTGTATTTCTTGCTGTGCAGTGAAACTCGTCAAAAAACTCGGATTACTTTGCTGCCGGCCGGTGAGCGGATGTAACCGAATTCGAGCCAGACTCCACTGATTTTGCTGCGTCATACGAACAGTTGGAAGGCTCTCCGCTGGTCACTTTCTTTTTGGTCACGTTTGAATCCGAAAAGCAACAGTGCATTTAAGTCTTACACGCCCATCAAACACTGAAAACCACGATGTAAACTATGAATTACACCACAGAAAACTCCAACGAGATAAAGGAAGTTATTAGACGTCTGCGGTTTGTCTGTCTGGTCCACTGCAATTTTCCCGGGACCCGCTTTTCCGACTCCCCGTGACTCATGGACAAGATTTTCCATCGATTCGATTTGTTTTCAGCCAGGTTATCACGTGCCGACAGGAAAGTTGCTGTATGTTACTGGGTTGGGTCTGTTGTTTGTTTGTTCTTCGGGCCCGACTCTCTCTTTTGTTGTTAGCATTGTTGCGTTAATCGATTCCACTTTTGCCTTGGACTCCAACTTCCAACTCCCATAATTGAGTCTTATTCTCTTTGTTGCCATGGCTTTAATTCAGCTTAATGAACCAATCTTGACCAAGTTCCTTTTGTTGAGCTTCTCACGGGCAGAGACTTTTGTGCTACAGTTTCCTCAGTTTCAACACAAAAATAAATATGATAAATTAAGCGCCAGCAAGGCTGGGAAATCTTGATGGAAGCCAGACAAAGCTAATGAAAATGCATTTAACGAGCCCATATTGTCTCTCGATAAAATTTGACCGAATCGCAAACAAGTTTATTGATCGCAAGCCAGTTTGGGCCATGAATCATGGCTAAAATTAGGCAGTCAAGACACACACATTATTTTGCATAATGGCTCTCTCCCTTTGACATAGAATTAGTGGCAGATATGAGGCAACAGTGAAAAGAGTCGTTAGTTTTTGGCAAAATAATTGCTGATTTACATAAGCAAAACCAAAAATGTGGCCCCCAGCTATATTTCTCTTTTTTTGCGCGATTATCATTCCCATTCGAATGTGTTTTGATTGAAGTGAAGGGGAAAACCTCATAAAAAACATGCTTAATGATTTGAAAATGTTTTTGAGTGGACACGACACATGCAGATGGATGGAAAGTTATTATTCGCCAGATATTTTGGCCTGCCTCTTGCATCAGAGTTTCCTGACTGAAGCATATTACTCTTTTGCGAGGTCATCAAACCAAAAGCTGGCCAATTTAATCAGCTTAAATAAAGAGTGGCCACAAACCGATTTATGACCAGCAAAAACGCAATTATTCAAGTTGCCCTCGTTGCGTTGGTTCCATCTTCCAATTCCAATTATTATCCACGAAGTTGGTCGCCAAGCACTTAACCACGCTCGTCTCCATTCATTCATTCGCAGGCAAACAAAGCACTCCCCACTCTCCAAGTCTCTAGAAAATGGGAACGAAGATCGAGTACGTGGACACCACGCATCTGTACGCCTCCAAGTACATCCGCAACTCAAAGGCGATCGGCGTGCTGTGGGCCATCTTCACCATCTGCTATGCGATCATCGGCATCGTGGCATTCGTGACGCCAGGTGGGTTGTTTATTGGAAGTGGTTTGCTTACGGATCCATAACTATCCCATATATTTCTCAGAGTGGATCGGGGATCCGGACAACGATGGAGCCGGTCGTCTGGGCCTCTGGCAGCAGTGCCAGCGGGACGAGATCTTCGACAACTGCCGCAGGAGATGGGAGAGCATCTTCGAGGTGCCCACGTTCTCCTTTCAGGTGAGTGGGAATCGATACTCATAAATGAGTTATAACATAGTTATATATCATAGGGAATACTTTTCTATTAATTGAAGTTTAAAAATAATTATAAACATGACAAGAAGACTAGTGATGGTATTTGATTTAGTATTTGATTTGTATTGTTTTCATAAAATCTCAAACTGTTCTTACGATAACTAGAAGCTCATCAGCTCATCTTTTCCTTTAATGCACATTTAAAGTGTTAATGGGAAAAGTAAATATTATATTAGATAACAAACTATAGTTATTCAACAAGTGCCTATTTGACCATTTTCCATTTTTCTTTAACCCATTTCCAGTTGGCCACATTCTTCATGCTGGGCGCCATCGCTTTGGCCTTGTTGACCATATTCTTCTTGGTTTGCTTGCTGTTTATGAAGTCAACGCGTGTTTTCCACCTTTGTGGTTGGATGCAAATTATATCAGGTATGGTGACCTATCTCCCGCTCTATCGGCTCGCCTTCAATAGTAAATCATGTCGAAAACATCACGTTCCCGTGTATACAAACTGTTTTTGTGTTTCTGTTCTGTTGTTAGTTTCACGTGTTGTTATTTTTGATATTTACTTATTCATTTTTTTCAGCTCTTTGCATGATTGTGGCGTGCGCGGCGTTTCCCTTTGGCTGGAATTCGGACGATTTCCGTAAGATCTGCGGCCCGGAAGCGAATCGCTTCGAGCTGGGCTTGTGCGGAATCCGATGGGCTTATCCACTGGCCATAATCGGCTGCATCGATGGCGTGGTCTTGGCCACCTTGGCGTTTATCTTGGCCACGAGGCACGTGCGCCTGCAGCCAGACCCAATTTACCAGAATTCGCTTTACAAAGGTGGGTCGTTGAGATACGCAACTTTTCAAATGAAAAAATCTACTTCTGGTTTATTTGCGCAGGTGAAATCAACAATGCGTATCTCACAGATGCCATCAGTTTGGCGGGCTCGAGGAAATCCAATCCCCGGATTACTGGCTTGAATTTGCAGCCCATTTTGTTGGTGGCCCCGCCCAATGAGGACAGCATATCGCAGTTTTCTCGTTATCACTGAGGGAAACTTTTGAACAGCCAGGACAGCAACCAACCAAGCTTAGTTTGTTCGACAACCAGGGGTGGAACTCTGCTTAAAGTTTTTCCTAAAGATTTGAGTTTTGCTTTGTACCGCTGATTTGCTTTGCCGCAGATCTAAGCTTGAAACACGAAGGTGTATGTATTTGTGAGTGAGTCAAAGAGTGAATGATTTTGTAAATGCCACTTTGCCCGACTGAATGCCAACTTGTAGTTGTAAGCTTGGATCTTAGAGTTAAACTTAACATTTCGTGTGAATAGCTCGTGCCTAAATGTATGCTTCGAATAAGAGAACAAAGAGCGACTCAAAGCTCTGCCTGTAAATTATATACCCATAAACAATAAACATGTACAAATATTAAACATAAAATCAATGTTTATTTTGACCACAAATAGCCGCCTCAATTATGCCATCATCATCATCATCATCATCAAGGTCAGCAACTTTTGGACTAGGCAAAATCAAATTATGGCCACCCCCCACATAAAACCCATAACGGCAACTTAGCGCCCAATTTGTTTGTCCTTAGTCTGGATTTGGACTCGGATCCGCCTCCTCTCCCGCTTCAATAACCATTTGGCACATACTTTTCCAATAAAGTATTTCCACCAGGCGCGGGGACTTCTCCCCGATTCGTGGGAGGCAATTGAAATATCCCGGGCAAAAAGATCCGTGGCAAGTGCAAGTGGCTCTCCGGGCACGTTTTAATATTCTTGTATAATTCATAAGCAATTCCATCACGGCCTAAGTGGCCAACCAGCTGACGCCGAGCAAATCGCTCCAGATTCGACAGGCAATCCACCCCAAGACGGGATTTCACTTAACTTTTGGTGATACTCTCAATGGGGGTTGTTCTTTTAAAAATTTCTATGAAATTCTACATTCTTTATACCATAACATAATATATCTCGGATTATGAAAAATAAAAAATCTGCGTTATTATAGATTTTTTTCATTTTATATCTGATTTTTCTGATATTTTTAATTAATTTTATGAAGCCTACTTTTTGGCATATTAAACTCATAATTTTACAGGGCGCATAACACTTCGACTTACTCCAAGCTTAGGAGCTTTGATTGTTTTTATTTACTTGAGCCATTTCTTTTGCCATCTTTTTGCGCCTGCAACATATGGCCAGCATTTTTCCAATTGTACTCACGCATTTTCCAGGCCATCCCCAAAGGAAACCCTCCCCAACACGAATGGCAATGAAGATCTCGGGGTTTTCTGTGTGGATTTTGATGTGCCAATTGTTTTTATTCGATTTTATGGTGCGCCATAAACGAATTTTTAACTTTTGTTGTCCTTGAGGTTTGGCGGCCATTTCATTGGGAATATTGGACGGGGAGTGGGGAAGTAGGACCTTTAAGGGTGGCTATGTGTGTGGCTTACATTTATGACGCTTTTGGCAGCATATGTTGCCGGCGAATATTAGTTTATCACTCGCCATTTTAAGGATTTCCAAGTGGCTGAGGCAAATTAGAGAAGCATAACAACTTTTTCATGGCTTATCCGTGGAGATTGTTTACGATGATATGATATCTGGCCACGCCCTTCGCCGCAGCATTTCGTTACAATCCTCCGAGGGCAAAGCAGGAGCACAGAACCCCCTTTTCGTACACAAAGGAGGCGAAATGAATTGCGCCTTTAAGGTTTTCGTTTAAGTGAAATGTCAGCAACAGAAATTGAATCGAAAATTGTAAAATTGGTTTTGTATAAACATTTTTGCCAAATGAAATGAAAACGCTTTTCTTACGACTTCTGCCGCTTGCCTCCTGCCTGCCATGAAATTTCATTCTTTTGATTCCTTTTCTGTGCTCCTCTACTCTCAGTCCTCTTAGTTTTTCACCGAATCTCGGAGCAACATTTCAAAACATCATATTTCTTGTGCCTGTTTTTTATTTCCGAAACAAAAGCCCAGCCGAGTGGTCTAAACTAGCCACCCCCACTGCTCCCTCTATAGAACTTGTGTATAATTTATTGCTCATACGACCCGTGTGCGTGTGTGTATTTCTATTTTTTCCTTGTGGGTGGAAAGCGGAGAGTGCTCGACTGTGTGGAATTGTGGAAACGTCAAAAGTGCGTCAATCAACAAAAACTTCGGGGGAGCGAGAAGCCCGGCTCTGTTTATTTTCTAGTGCATTTTTCCACAGTTCTGGGTTTTTATTTGCTTTGATTTATAAGGAATTGTTCTGGGAACTGCGAAAGCTTCGAGGTGGAGAATCTGCTGTTAACAAGCAGATTTATGCTTACAGCTTGGATTTATGGGGTCTAAGGAAATTCTTTTAAGAGTTTTGAGCAGTCAAGCTTCAAAGAGTTTTAGTTTTAAACAACAATATTCCATACAATTGAAAAATTGGCATTTATATTACAGAATTTCGTACATCCTCAGCCTAAACATTATTTAACAAATACATAAAATAGAGCTTAGGACTACGACTTACTAAGCGTTACGGCTAACGAAACTAGAAATGAGTGCTTGCATTTTTCACATTGTAATCGTTGACTAGTGAATTATTTGTAGCATTCCGTTGACAAAAATGTATACAAATTCATACGTCTATCTACAAGATACAAGTTCCTAGCAAACCCGTTTTGGCGTTGGTAGCAGCAAGATGAATTATGATTGATTGCTTCGATGTGGAAACTGAGTATGGATAATGCTTATGCAGTGGCAAGAACGTCAGGTATCATATCTGCCACGATTTCGGCCAGAACGAGACTAAAGTTAAATATCTTCAGGCACACTCAATCAGACTCAATCATTCACACCTTAAGGATCTAGTTAAAACTAAAATCTGCAACTATGACTCCTGACTTAGTCCCGCAACGAGGCTCTCATCGATAATGGGCTGCGAGTCCTCGCGACCTCCCTCCCCCAAACAGGTGCCAATGGGTCCGTGCCTCAGCAGGGAGTAGCTGTCCCGGTGGTGCAACAGCAGCCTGTGCTGCTGGTGGGCAATGAAGCTGCTGCCACGCCTCAAGGACCTCCTGCCCATCTCGAGGATCTCCAGCGTGGGATCCCGGGCGAAAACGTAGCTCTGGTAGGCTCGCACAAAACTAAAGATGATGGCAAAGGCCCCGCCGATGATCATCAGGCAGGAGCCAATGGGCACGGCACTTGGTGCTATGACTGTGCCCAAATAAATCCAGCGCTTGATGGCGGGTGTCAGCTCGGAGATGCCCTATAGAACAGACAGAGTTTAATGGGTATTTAAGGTGTGTTCTGGCACTTGGTTTCTCACCTCTTCCAGCCACATCACCGGAAAGACAAAGTCTCGAAAATCACGCACTGGATAGACGTCCTTGGCACGCGTCACCTTTAGGTTCAACTGTATCCGCACTTTGCCCTCCAGCGGCACTCCAAGTTTCTAAAAGGTAGAGGCGAAAACGATTTAGAATTAGAATTGCGGTGCGGAAAAACACACAAACTAATTAAACTCTTTATGGGATGCTTACACTAAACGACACCGGTTAAAAACATTTAAAGTACGATCACCCAGAAGTTAGTCTTTTTTAAGTGAATACATTCTTGTACTTGTATAATTAAAAACAAGAAATATACAAAGACCGTTTGTAAAACATAAAATTCTAAGCTGTGGGTGGTTACTCATAATAAGGAAGGCATTTCTGTTGCCGGTTTTAAGTCGTATATATCTTATGTATTTATGTAAACCCACCGGTTGTATTTTGAAGTACGTTTCGTGCTTCTCGCGTTCTGGTTTCAGGCCCTCGACAGAATTGAGAAGATCGGGATGGGACTCGAAGAAATGCGGGTTGGATATGTAAACTGGGGCTCCGTATTGGCAGGGACTGATGTTCTGGAGCCCCTGAATTGGCTCATATTCGTTGGTATCGTAGCACCTGTTCTCGGGATTGTGGGCCGAATCTCCGTAGGAATTGTTGGGCAGCCTGAACAGATCCGCCGCAATGCCATCCTTTTTCAGGCTCTCCACATATTTGAGCGGGATAATTCTGCACAGATCCTTGTCGTAGATGTGAACCATGTCCGACTTGGTAAGATCCCGCGGCGGAAAGAATGATCCCTCCGATCCGGCTATACTTGTGCAAGGAGGCTCACTCCAGTGGGGCAGGTGGTCCATTCCGTTCAGTTGGTCAATGTAGCCGAACTGATCCATGCTATCCATGCCCGTCTTAACGGAGGACACCTCCGTGAGGGTGCCGTTGCGACCCAGGAGCAGACCCATCCTCTCCATGGGCCTCATGTGCTTCGGATAAAACCTGTGGGCCAAACTCACCAGGGCGTCGTCGTAGCCAAAGGCCAGCTGCTCGGCAGTGACATTTATGAAGGGCTTGAATTGAGCAGCTGTGACCACGACGGAAATGGTCTTCGACAGGAGATATCCCAGCTTCGGACTGAGACTGGTGAGGGTCTATTAAAAAAATATTATAATTTTTAAATCAAAAGAAACTAATCAGAAAGACTTAAAGTATAAAAATAGATTGATTAGGCTACCATGATTGATTTAATTTTAAACAATCCATTGAAACTCAATAACTCACCAGCAAAGGAATATTAGGGGTGGTGATGGGCGTGTCCTTATCAATACTCAGTTCAGGAACAAATTGCAGTATCTTCTTATGCTGATATGACACAGTATAGTTATTCTCGTGAAACTTGACATTCACCTTCTGCATGTCTTCCCTATTAAAAGCGGAGAAAAAGAGAGAAATATCTTATCATTAATCGGCACGTGCTTCGAACTCGGTTTCGTGGTCCAAAGTCAGGGGCGGCCAACAAAAAGCCAAAGCAATTGAATGTCAAGTTCAGTTTCACTTCGAGCCAGAGAAAATTCGAAACGAAAACACAAACAAAACGAGTCGAAGCCAACATAAAAAGTAGCGGCGGATGACGGGCACTTTGGGCCTCGATTGTCATTACGGCCACATTTTAAGCATCTCATCACCACGAACACTTCCCCCTGATAAACCCACACAAATTAAACTAGAGACTTCAGGGGTTACAATGATTGATTACTTTGAACCGAACCCTCGCAGGTTATCCTTCGTTTAAACGGGTTCACCGCAGCTCGTAGAGGCGTATCATTAAAAATTGCATTCATTGCACGAGCTCTAGATGTTGCAATCTCAATCAGCGGAAACTCGCCTTCAAGAGCTGTGAGCTCATGGTTTAATTGGCCAACTAATTGCACGGCGGCTCACGGCTGTTGGTCAGCTTGATTGGGTGTTAAAATCAGAAGAGATAATTCGATTGTTTGCACTTTGTTGCGGCTCATGATCAAGCTTGGCTTAATCTGATTTTGATAGGCCTATGTTGGTTAAGTGATTAGTTTATATTCTAAGACATTTTTTTAGAGATATTTCTAAGTAAAATATAATCTATCGAACCTCAAATGAGAAAGTAGTACTATTAATAATTTACACTAGCTTAAAATCATTTTAACTATAATTATCTTTCATAACTAGTTTTAATTTCGAACAGCATGCAAACTAAATAGGGATAGAAATTAATTCTTATATAAAAGGGAAATAAATCAGATATAACTTCCTAAGCCTCTAATTATCCCTACTAGAAATTCAATAAGCTAACCATATTTTTAGCCACTTGAATTGCGATTTGCCACTTGCGGTTCTAATTACAGGTATTAAGACATCAACTCCCCAGCAAACCACGACCAATTGGAGTGCTGTGCCAAAGCCACCGTGGAAATTTATCTATGCACACGCTTATGCATAAAGGTTTTCCCACTTGGGTGTCAGAAAAGGCGTAACGAATTTTTCAATTGCCGAGATTTATGGCCAAAAGGCTGCAACTCTTTGGCTTACCTGTAGACGAAAGGACCGACTTCTTGCAGATGGGGTTTCTCCCCCTTAAGGAAGCCATCTGGATTGGTCACGTTGTAGATGTAGAGCTTCGTCAGTCGAATGACCCCTGGCCTTTGCCAATAATGATAGCTCAACGTATCATTCCACAGCCTTAAGTTCTGGGGGAATAACATTTTCAATATGATTTATTGTTGTATAAAATATAAAAACCCACCTTTAGTATAAAATAATCCAGCCAGGGCATGGATGATAAAATAATGCCTAAGACTAAAGTAATTACTCCAATAATTATCACAGCTAGTCTATCTGAAAAGATAAATAAATTTTTATAAATTATTACTGGAAGCCAATACTGTTTTATAGACACATAAATTTAAACAAACATTGCCAGTATGCAAAATAATCGCATAAACATTCATAGACATTGTAATTGGTATATTTAAATAAAACCTGTATATTTAAAGCAAGAAAATGTACTATATAATATTTTATAATGTAGGGAATTTTGTAATTCAAATCCAATGTAATCAAATATTGTGATATTAATCCTAAAAAGCAAAGCAAATCATAAAATTATAGTGACGTTTTAGTTGTGAAAATGACCCCCCAAATGCAGGTTTCATATTCCCCTGCAGTGCCAGCTTATAAATGCAATTTCGTAAGGTAAATAAAATAAAATTATTTGCGAATTTCATGGGGCAATTTCACGGATGTCACATGCAATTACAACGGTCAACACTTGGGTTCGGCCATCTCGTGGGCAGTCAATCGTCAATCGCGATCTTGGCCGACTTATCGCCAGCGGACATACATATACTATATATACACATGTATGACAGCTGCCAAAATTTACGATCCTCTGTTATCACTAATTGAAATTAAATCTCGAGCGATGCAATGTTAATTGGCCCATGCACTTAGTCTGGAAAATGGACGTTGGATGTCCGCAACATCACCTGGCTGGCATTTCGAGGCGGTGGGCGTGTCCACCAGCATCTCGCTTGACGAATCCGCTGATGATTACGATTATGATTATGATTACGGTGATGGGCATACAATGCCAACGGGTTCTGGGTATTTATTGGCGGCGGCAGAGCGCCCCAGTCAACGAACTTGATCGCCACGCCGATCGAGAAAAACTGTTTCCACTATCAGGTTTCGCCGAAAAGGCGCTGCCCCGAAAAAGTGCAAGGTGAAGCGTTTTGAAACAACATAAATTTCAATTTTATTTATTATTTATTATCTTATAAAATGCATTTCGGCGCTGCTTCGATTTTTGCAGGTCACTAAGTCAAAAAATGCGACGTCAGCGATAAGGTCGCAAAAAAGTAAAGCTACAAAGTAAAGTAAAGGCGAGCCGAAGCTTATATACCCTTGCAGTCATCCCAAGTGTCGAATTCTAAATGTAATTAAATTTCTTATTTATATAAAATCAATAAAACAAATTTACTTTGAAAGCACTCCACAACGAAATCTGATTAAAATAGGACAAAATATGGACTTAAAAGTAGTGTATTTTGGTAACTGTTCACTGTTTACTCCTTCAGTGAGTTGAAAACTCCTGAAATTGTAATACCCTCTGCAAGGGTATAAAAAAGACAGCAGGGGACAGACATCCACAGTGAATGCCATAAATCAGCTTGGAGTTCAGTAAGCCCGTATTGAAACTGGGCGCGATAATTGCTGTCAAAATACAGCCGGATTATACGTGCATTGTATCACTTTTCGCCAGGCAAAGTTCAGGCGGCTTCTTTCCCGTGTTCCACTGACCCTGAAGAGCCCGGCGACCATAAACTCTGGGCCAGAGAAAGTTACGCAAAAAAGGAGAGTGAGGGAAAAAGCCAAAAAGCGACAGCAAGTGTCATAAAACGGGGCTCGTAACATTTCGGAGCTCAAGGTCAAGGGAAGACATCGTCTCAACGGAAGGCTTTATTCGGCCGTTCAGTTCTCCAAAGCTATAGCTATAGTGTTACTGCAATCGAACGGCGATTGCAAATCGGGTTTGCGAGTGAGATGGGGAGCTATGGCCATATAGCCGCAGCGATATGGTCACTAAACATTTGGCACACAATTGATACGTCAGCCAGCGACGACTGTTGACAATTATGCTGATCCCAGAGTAAGCACTGCTGTCTGCCCACTTTGATATTTTGTTTTGCGATATGTTTTTTATCCACTGGGTTTTTATTCGTCTACCTGTCCGTACGACCGACGAAGTTTTGAGTTACAACGAAAGCAGGGGCGGTGAAAAGGGGTTTATATTATAAAAATAAAAGATAAAGTAAGGAAATATAAAAGAGTTTTTTAGGGCAATATATAGGTATCTGTGAGATTTTCCATTATTATGAGTATTTGTTATTAGGCGCCCTTTTCTGTAAGCCACTGCTTCAATTGGTTTTGGCCGCTGGTGTCATATGCTCTTTTCTTCTGAAAATTACAGCTGAGCACGCGATGTTCGCATTTCCGAGCTTCTAGACTCGACATCTACCAGAAAACCACGCACATGATTTAAAAAAAACAAAGTGAAAGAGCGAGAAAAACCTTAGATACCTTTAAACAGTTTAAATGAAACAATTTAAGTGGTCAGTATTGTTGGCTGGAAGGCTTAAGTGAAACATTTACTTACTGGGTGGGCTATCCAACCTGGTTTTATTTTCCGTTGAAGCTTAACCCCAAAAAACAAAAACAGACGAAACAGAATAAACGCAAATTTCCCAATTGCCTGTTAAAATTAACGCTCACAATTACCGGCCGAAAAGCTGCAGCTGCTTCGCAGCTCTTGGCCAACAGCTAAAAAGAGGCGAAAAGGCAACAAAGCGTGCTGGTCATATACCATTTCAATAGACAGTTTCTAGTCGGCTCGGACAATATGAGCACTGCATCCATTAACAATGGAGCTCAAACAGTTGCAGTTTCCGAGACAATCGCGCTGGGATTTCGCCTAAGAACGTGCCGCTTTAATAACAATAATAATCCAAGACCTGATCCGGCTGCCCCTCCCCCAATCTTTATGGCCGTGTAAACACTTTTGTTTAAGCAAATAATGGCAATTGCTGGCGGTCCGAGATCACTTCCTCGTACGCGTTACAATTTGCATCACGTGACCGCAGCTCCTCCGCCGATCTTTCTTGGGATCTTCGGATCTGCAGTACCATGAATGCGATGCCTTAGTGGCACTGCCCAATTAGCCGAAACAAAGGGCAATGCCTATGGGCATGTCCCACGAAAAAAAAACACTCACAACCGGTTATTTGCCACCGGGACGTGCCTTCGCGGCAGTTTTGCATTTAAGTTATCGCATTTCGGCCCTTAATTAAAGCATTTACAACTGATTTTCGCTCCGGATAAGGACCTGAAAGGAGGGCTTTGCAGGAAAAAGAAGCGCCGGCCGAAGGTTAGGAACTGGATCTGGAAAGTTTGCCCCAAGATGAAAGGGAATAAATGGCAAGGGCTTGGTACGGAAATCCTGGGGAGAAACCCACAATGGAAAGTCCATTTTTTCTGGGTTGAGTCAGTAAGATAAAGTTAATAGCTTGTAATGAGTAAGTTTTTTATTTATATTTAGTATGCTTTAATTACTAAAAGCGTTGCAGAATGGACAACGTTAAAAAGATTTATTATTCTTTTTAAATATTTATGTCTTCCCCAAAATGTTCAGTAAATATTTGTTTTGGCTTCTGGTTGGCTGAATTCTGTGTCAACGTCTTAAAAATTCCGACGCAGCGTAACCAAAGCTTGAGCACGATCTTGGCCAGGCCTTAATGCCAGCATCTGGTTATATAATCGCAAAGCACACTCGCCAACGTGAGCTAATGTTGCCAAAGAGTGCGCTGCAGTCGGGAACTCTTCTTTTTGAGCCACTTGAGCAGCATCGAGCAGCAGCCACCTCGCCTGTTTCTGTTTGAGCCGACCAAACAAATGGCCAAAAACCCCGCCGTCTGCATTCGGAGCCCCCACTTAAGACATAGAATTGACCAAAAGCAAGCGCTGATGGCCAGCCTGCATATGTTAATTCATGCTCACTCTCTCGACTCGGCACACACGGCGGCTACTTGATTTAGCACTCGCAGCCACTCACTGTCGCTATCACTGGCCCCTCGAAGTCACTCGGAACCCACTCGCTCACTCTTTTTTCGGCACTCATTCACCGTTTTGCAGGCTCAGATGCACCGAAAAAAATCAGTAGAAATAGTAATAACATCATAATACCTAGTAAAAACTTTTCTTTATTTATATAAATATGGAAATATATTTTTAAATCAAGCGAATAGTGTAAATATGTTCTCTTCCGTAACTTTGCAATAAATTCAATAATAAATGCTTTTTATAACTTTTACATACCTTTTCTTTCTGTGCAGCCATTTCACCCCCTCCCCGCACTTGAAGACTTGACTATTGATTTGGCAACATTTTCATATTTGCTTTGAATGAGCTCGTGGCTATTTGCTGGTATTGGTCTTCGCAAGTCCGACTATTTGGCCGTTAATAGTGGCTAGTGGTGCTGGCCGCAGAGTTTTCAATTGCGAATTTTTCTGTTTTTAATGCTGCTTGTTGTTTGCATGCTGCTGTTTGCAATGCTCGGGCATTGCAGTTGGGTAGAATTGCCCAAGCACAGTGGTAGGAAAAGCCAGAGAAACTTGGTAGAGAACCGCCAGCTTCCTTAATAAAAGATATGCCATAACTGATTAGCTCAAAGTACCAAAGCAAACATGCCAATTAAAAGCTTGAATGGTTTAACCTTAAATCGGAAACGTAAATCAGAGCTGGTAATCCTTCTGCGATCATCACGTCTCAACGAATTGGCCATAATTACCCGTGGACAAACAGCATCCCCTAGAAGTCCAATAGCAAGGCACTTGGCCAACATGGCAATAAAGCCAGGCCAATTGTCAAGTGCAAAGCGCTTAAAAAATAATTCTATACAAGCGACAATCGAAAATGCCTCAAAAAACGAAGTGAAACCGAAACCGAAACAGAAACCAAAACCAGAAAATAGAGAAAAGCGAAACGTAAACAAACGGAGCCTGGGCGCAGTTTAAGCCAAGTTCAGATAGCTGCCGTCCCTCTCTGGCGAATGTTCTTGGCCATGGTTACTGTTTGCTAGTTGGCTAGCTGACTAGCTGGCTAGCTGGCTGGTTGTTTGCACACTTGGCTGCCTTCGACTATCTTGGCTCACTCGGCGTATACGCAATGTCGGCCATTGCAAAGAACGATACACTCGCTGCTTGAATTCGAGTTCGTGTCTGTGTGTTTCCTTGATTTACATCTGCGCTTAGTTGGCTGCTTAGTTTAGCTGTTTTCCACTTTTCGTTTTCAACTCAGCCTTTAAATTGTTTTTAGTTTTTTTTTGTTTTATTGCCGCTTGGTTTTTCCTTTCGGCCAAAGACTCGTTTTTCAATTTTTCGGCTGCAGTTCTTGGATGACCAGTTTTGAATTCAACATTTGCGGTATTTTTCATGCTGTCCAAATGCTGTTAGTTCGGGTATGGGCTTTGCTTTCAGCCAACTTAACAAGCCTCCGACCAATTTGGCAGTTGATATTGACTTTTAGTTAGCTAATTGAGCGTTTAAAAACATTTTTCCTTAAAACAGTATTCTTGTTGTCTGACGAAGGTGATAAAATCTTGGGGAGCTGTCAGTCAAGGCAGTACCATTTTGGGAAAGTTTGCAAAACTTAATATATATTAGAAATTCTTTAAGGTAAAGGTTTTTATTTTTTCATAAAATTTCCAATATCAATTTGATGTTTTGCTTCATGCTAAAATTAATCTACTAATTGTAGCTGCTATCTTGCTCTATCACTTTATTATTCTCGATTCATTAGAAATATTCCACCGGATGACTGGCATATTTTGGGGTATAATTAAGTAGGGTTTACTTACTATTGCTAATCCTAACTCCATTTGATATCAGCATGGAGAGCGGCGTTCCCCTGTGTGTCAAATGGGGGCGTGACCTCCGCCCCGTGGCAGTTGACCCCTGTAATGGTTGTGCGTGTTGCTGCTGTGGATTCTGTGGCTGCTGCTGTAGTTGCTGTTGCTGCTGTTGCTGTTGCTGCTGCTGCTGCTGCTGTCGTCGACCACGCCCACAGGTAGCCCAGTCAAGGAGGTGATCTCTAGCTGTGCGTCCATATCGCAGGTAATGTTTTTCCAAGCCCATAATTCAAGTCTATCGGGAGACAATAAATGGGTTGAGGTGGATTAGTTCGACAACAACATATTTATGGAAAGCTATTATTATTTAATTAGTCTGGCGTGCCGGCCAAGTACTTCCTGGGGTCGCTTCAGCGAGCTGAGATGAGAAGAATTTCTAGAACCTGGCAGAGCAGCCTTGGCATACTCCTGCCAAGATTCGGCTGCGATTAGCTGCATTTTCAAGCGGACCTACAGAAACCGCAATGAATCGTGCCATAAATTCAGTTCCAACAGTATAATCATACATGTTTTTATTAGCCCGGTGGCTGATAAATGCTCCGTGGCGCAAATACATTTGTCACTCGGTACGTGTGTGCCGGGGAACCCTCTCCGCTGGCAGGTCGTTACCTTAAGCCACAGACAATATGCAAATTGGCCACCGACCACCGGCACCGTTTCATTTGTTTACTAATTGAAAATGCAGCAAGCTAAGTGGAATTTATCCGGGGTCCAGAAAAACGTGAAGATCCCAGTGGGAACCGGAGTGCTAATCAGGTAATGCGGAATAAAACTCAAGTCAGTGCATGTCATTAATGGGTAATCAATTGGAATCAGATCATATTCTATTTTAAAAGTTTAATTGTTTGTATATTGCTTTTCTACAACTATAATCCCCCTAAAAACGTTTTAGCTTAAGTTGTTCTGAATTGTTAATCTTTACATCTGTATTAATTTATATTTTATTTTTTTATGGCTACTACTAGTTGTTTTGATGTGTTTTTGAATAGCTAATAATTGTTCCTCACTAGGGAAATGTTAATAAATGCAATTATTGCTGATCAGTATAAAATAATTAAAATTGAAGTCTGGAAGATCTCACCCAAAGCGGAATTGATTTCAAATCAATGAATGTGTTCAATGGACAAGCTTAACGATAGTGACAATTTCAGATTTATGATATAATAATAGAAAGCTTCCATTCCAAGTACTCTACAAATCAAATGACTGAGGCAACGAACTTTGCATACCTGGACTTATGCTTGGAATGGACTTTCGTTTAACTCTATTTCTGTCGCTCCAACTGTGAGCTCATAACTCATTTGGTCATTCACAAAGATTTTCATTTAAGCCGCATCTTAAGTGAGGGCAAATTATATTTAATTGACTTCTGACATAACTGAAATGTTAGTTAAACTGCTGTCACAATTGAGCGATTTTGGTTTATAAACAAAGTTGTGTAAAGTTGGGTACATAAAGCAAAACACAACCAAAAAATATTTAAACCCAATTAATGACATTTATATTTTGTAGTTTGTTTTGCTTCTTTTTGCGTATCTCTTTTAATTGCAGCCGGATTGTAAACTGCTTTGGGCCGCCTTAATTTGTGCCTCTTTGCCAGGGCAAATATTTAGCTGTACGCTTAATGAGCATAAAATAATTAAGGCCGCATTTAATTTGCCAACTTCCCAAGGGTATTCGAAGGGAAAGGATGCGGAAATCAGCGAGGTTCTGGATAACGACTTCATTCGAAGTTCAGCTGTCGGAAGTGGCCATTATTTATCATCTCGCGGCACTCCCCCACCATTAACCCCTTGTTGCACACTCCTTGGCCACAGTTCACGCCTCAACGGCCAACGCCAACCCATTAAGAAGTTCCCCCAGTCCCCAAAAGAAGAAAAAGCAAAGCGCTTAAAATCGAGGAGAGCAAAAAAAAAAAAAAAAAATAAGAGTGAAACACGTTTTTTACAGTTTTGTGCTTATTGGCCACGGCGTGGTCACCTGGCTTCTTTGCACATTATGCAATCCGAAAATGAGACCCCAGCACAGTGAGACCACTCTGGACTGGAACTGGGACTGCGACTGGGACTGGGACTGGTCGGGATTGGCGCGGTTAGAAAATCATTATAAAATAGCATTTGCAGTAGCATTTGCGTAAAGAAATTTCAAAATGCCAAATGCGAAATTTGATTGACCCAAATACGCTTTTATAATAGCCATACGAGTATATCCCCGGCGAGAGGTGTATATGGCAACTGGATGTGTTGCAACTGCCACATGCCACATGCCACTGGAGCACCATGTCCAGCGAGGCTTTCTAACAGCTGACGACGATACCCAACCCGATTCCCAACCCGATTCCCCGGCTATATGTTGTATAGTATCCATGCCCAGTCTCTCAGACTCAGCCTCACTTTCGATTGCTGTTGCCGCCGTTGCAGTTGCAGTCGCGGCGGCAAAAGTGGCGGCAGAAGTAGGTTGCCTGGCCAGCAGGCCATCGAGCTATCGGGCCACTGAGCCACTAAGCCAATGAGCCACCGAGCCACTCCGTCTAAAGCGTTCGTTGGCATTTGCCGAAAATCTACCTTCCCGCTTGCACCTGCTGCATGTTGCTGCTGTTGCTGCTGTTGATGTTGCTGCTGCCTTTGCTACTCGCGTGCATTTCAAAGTGTGAGTCAAGAGCTGCGCCTTCTTTGGCGCCTGATCGAGGGTATTGTGATAAACTCACTGGGAGGATATCAATTACGGAAAAGCCTATGGCGTCATGAACTTTAAATGGGTAGAAAAATTAAGCAAGCTTTGGCATTAGCTGGCCAAGTGTTTAAACAAATACTTAACAAAATATGTCACTTTGTTACTTTAATTAAAAGATTTAAATCAATAGGATAGCAGTATAACTTAAATTACCTGATTGTTTCAAATCCTAATAATAAGAATATTTGAATTACTATTTTTATGAAACTCACTCGTTTGTAGATGGGTTTCTACATATGCTAACCCTCGTTGCTTCTTTATATATTACCAAATATTGTCCCCCGAACTGCTGTTGAGTGTATCTCAAGTTCGCTGCCTTCTTTGACTCACTCGGCACTGTTGCCTCTTGCCAAACAGTAGCTACCTGCTGGAGTGTCTGTTTCTCCGCTCTTCACTTGTTTGTTTTGGTTTCTTGGCAGTGCAGTTGTGGCCGCTGCTGTTGCCGCTGATTTAATAATTTCACACAGCTTCGGTTTCAGGTTGGCGCGGACTTTTTGCTCAGTAGTGCGAAGGTCGCGCGCCACTTTTCTCTTTTTTCCGCACTCACAATGCAACAGGCCATCGTCGCTGCCATCCTCAGCTGCAAAAAGATCCAGTTTGGCCGGAGTGCGAGATTTCGGCCTGTTTTATGCATTTTTAATAAATTTCTGCTTAATTTTTGGCAGCCAACGCTTTATAATTTTATGGTCGTTGTTATTTCTCCTTTTCTTTTGCTGTTATTACATATATAAAATATCAATTTTTTTGAAATCATCAGCTGCAGCGCTTCCTTTTTCCTCCTTTGCCGCCGCCGGCACTTGAATGGCTTCATAAGCCATGGCCAAAAGGCAGCGCCCACAAAAGGGCCAGCAAGGGCCTGGCATTTCATAATTGGCATCGTTGGGAACGCGTTGATTGGCAAATTGTATGCAATTATTGAAACTGTGGGTTGCCTCCTTTTGTTCGATTTCGCATGCGAAAGGTTCGTTCATCTTTTCCGCTGTTGACATTGAGATAAACATAAAATCTTTCCGGAAGTTTCCGATCGAACCAGAAGTGCTCTCTCATTTAGCTCTAATTGCAGATTACACTTGGGGCACGGCATTTATTTGGCTATGCCCCCCAGCAGCATAGTGGTTGCGATACACGGGAAAAAATCTAGTACTGCCTTTTGAGAAGGTGAACTAACAAATATTAAATACTGATATGAAACCTAACAACCAAAAATATATAAGCCATTGTCAATAAAAAGATAGATTTTTATGTATGTGGTTAAAAGAAAATAATATTTATTTTCTTTCCGTGTGAGAGTTTTCCGCTTCGAAGCACCACACTTTCCTTGGCGGGGAGCTTACCCCCCTCAACTCCTATTATGCCATCGTTTTGTTCAGCTCAGTTAAAGCACAACGCATCGAGAGGGAAAGCGATGGGTATATTTACATGTGTATTCATAGCTCAGCTAGCTAGGCCAAGCGCAACAAATCATTCTATAAGCGGTACAGCAACAACAACCAACGCAGGAGCAATGTAAACAATTTAAATGGCATTAAGTAATTCAACATTAACATTAAACTTCATGTTAAACTAATTGTTGTTTTTGAAATGGAAACGGAAAAATGGTGCAATTGATGAGTGGATGGAAAAAACTACAACTCAAACGAAAGACTTAGGCAACGAACTTGACATTGTTGCTTTGGAGGTAAAGAAAGTTCTTGGTAGGAAAAATATGATTCTGGGATACTGAATGGTAAAAATAATGGATTTAATCAATCTTTACGATGAAATAAAATGAAGTAAAATCTTAAATATCTTTAAATAAAATAAAAGGAACAAGCAATTTAAAAAAAATCCCCTTTAAAAACCCTTTGAAAATTACTTTTCAACCTTTCAATAGCTTCTTTTTTAATTTAGCTGCCCTAATTGAGCTCTCATCTTCAAAATCACTTGATTAGTTGCCTCGGCATTTGACACGCGTTTGTTTAAAGTGGAGAGCAGCAAAAACATTAACGAGATTGTTGTGAACGTCATGGAGTCTGGACGCAGTTGCAGTACTCGGCCGAGTCGCAGACTTGGCTTAAACCGTGGCCAATCACTGAAGCGTTGCCGGCCGCTCCATCAACAGCAAAGTTATTGGCAAACATTTTCCAATACTCGGCAGCAGCTGCGTCGAGTGTTGTAATTTATACGTACATACTCTCCCGCTGTCTATTTTTGGGAACACTTTATGGGCCATTTTCAGCATTTTTTTGGCGAGCCATTCGCGAAATGCTCCAATTACGCCCGAGAATTTCCATTAAATCAAAAAAGCCCTTTGCGAGCGTGCTTTTTATGCGGGTCATGAATCAATTTCGCTCGTTTTGAGAAGGGTCTGGATCTGGTTGTCAGAGGAATAAAGCCGGCAAGGTCGTGATCGAGTGTGTGTGGGCCGGCGACTTCAATCCTGACCTAAGTCACCATAAAGCCGCGTATAGCCAGCCGACTCGCTTGTCTCGCCAGCGGCCAAAATTAGCGATTGATGGCTTTCTCGCACTTAAAGCCGCCAAATGGCAATTTGCCAATTTCTCGGGCTTATCAGGGGGGCCAATCAGTTGGTTATTAAAGAGCACGGCCCGCTCATTATGTAAACCTATCTGCCAGGTATTGTATGTTCGCGTTATTAGCAAGTGTGCTTGCCGCGGGCCTCGACCAAATGAATCAGAAAAAAAGATACATACATCACAAAACTTGTGTCAATATTTCAATTTAACGGTTAGGAAAACGCCAAAGTAACGCAACAAAAACCGTCTTTTGTGTGACGTCTATTGCTCTTAAGGGTTTTTTTCGCTTGCGGTTAATTTAAGACAACTTCTGTGTCCACGTTTAAGTCTGGTCAATTGGTGGGCGGGCACACGTTTGGATGGTTTGGATGGATGGGTGGGATGAGTTACTAACTGGCTGTCCCAACTAAGTGGTGTAGAGGGTGTAGACGGCGTCGGAAATTTCGCTTAAATTGTTGTCTGCGGTTCGCTTAAAAGTGAAACTGATTGGGGCTAAGCGAAAAGGTGGTGTGATGAAGTAGGGCTAAAGTTAAAAGACCAGCAATCAAATGAAGTAAAGATAACGTTACATCAGCAGACGAGACACTAAAGGAACCATTTAAATGATAATGCGAATACCCCTTAAAGCCTATACTTTCTGTGTTTTTATTATTTGTAAACATGTAATATGTACACTTTTGTTTGAAGAGAAAAACAGTAGTTAAGACAACTATTTTAAAGCCAATTAAATTGTTGACCAAACAAATATTTAATTTAAATTTTAAAAAAAATAGAAATCAATCCCTAGATATTTCTTCCTAATTTTGTCGTGACACATTGTTTGTTTTTGGGTCAACACTCATTCAACCTTCAAAGTTCCCTTGTTTATCCAGCATTTTTAATTCTACGTAAGTTGTTTACGCTGACCCCTACATTTCACACCATTTCACATAAAAATGTCTCAATTTTTATTACTTTTATTTTTTCTCAAGTGTTTCATTTTGGTTGTCCCTGAGGTCATAAACAGTATTTTGCAAGATTTCCGGCACAGAAATGGCATAGAAACGCGTAAAATAGGCGGATTTGTCAATAATCAATAGATATATTTTACAGATAAACTAGAAAGATCTACCTTGGCGACCTTCAATGGGTTTCCATGGAAGGGAAATACGCAGAACAAGGTGGTTTTGCCTTTGTTTCTCCTTCATTTCACCTTAACATTGACCTGAACCGTAGCTTCCATTTGGGTCAAACTTAATCAGGGGTGGGGAAAACGCATCATTACGGGGTTTTTGGTACGTGTCTGCGGTTATAAATTGCGAAATCCCCAACAACCAAAATAAACCAAAAACAGATCTGCAGACTCCATATATGCATTTGGCCAAGAGACAAACACACGAGAAATGACCGCTCATAACCACATTGCCGTTATTTTGCATAACTTGCAAAATGTTTACACTTAATTGCAGACTGCAAAAATGAGCCAAAAAGCAGAAAAAAAAACCAAAAATGTTTATAAATTAAAGCAAACAAACCAAGACTCGAGGGTAAGGGCTTTTTCGATTATAATAAATTTTTTTGACATCTCATTGATAAGGCTGCCGACTGTCCAGAGCTTTTGCAATCAAATTAATTGATTTGCTCTCGTCTGGCGAACAGAATGATATTTTTGACAGCTCCGTTAATGTTTATAATCCCATTAAATGCGCACATTGAACTTTATTTCGATTACAGAGGTGCAGGAGCTTGCCCATTTGAATTCATATAAGTGCATGTTGCTGATTAAATTGATAAGTTCACTTGTTGACAGAAAAAATGATTGAAGTTAAATGGATTTGTTTAATTATGTTTTATGTTTTTTCTACTTTAAATTGCTGATTACGTATGCATTCTTTTTTTTTTTAGCTCGATTCCGGTTGAAATCAGATCATGAAAACTTGAACGATTTACGTAAAAACAGATTTAGCTTGGGTTGCGAACAACATTTGTTTATGTAATCACTGTTTGAAGAAACCGTAATAGTTAGAGCTAAAAAACTCAAAAACATTTTATCAAATCCGTTGGAGTAAAACTTGATAATTAGGTGAACAAAATATTATTTTATCGTTGGATTAAATTTTACATCAAAATTTATTGAAATTCTAAAAACTAAAAGGAATTTAGTTACTTAAAAAAAAATAAAGTTAATTTCCACAATTTGCTAATTTTCTTAACAAATGTTTCCACATTTATTAATCAACACTTAATGAAAACATTACAGTCAATCCGCAAAACCTTTAACAGAAGCACATTAATAAAATTCCACACTTGACACGCTGAATAAAATTAATTAATCCACACTTTATTTTTATTAATTTATAACCCACAGAACGTTGCACATACGCCCTCTATCCATAACTCATACGCCCCGTTTGCCACTTACATTTCGAAAATTCTCAGAGGCTGCACGGCTAATCCAAAGTTTGTCTATTGCTTGGAGATTTTGGAGGAATTCTCGATTCGTTTTTGGGTCAAATGTAAGCTTTTTGCATATCCACTGCCGCAAACTAATTGATTTTGTGCCAATTGGGATTCGTTTGGTTTTTGCTTTTCGAAATGATCGACTTCAAGAACTCATACTCGCATTATCCTTCGCACGGACACTCGTCGAACTGTGTGGACTTTCGTTAACCGCATTTACTGACGATCGCGCCCGCTGGCGAGCATGTATCGTTTTAAGTTGACGCGTCGGAATGAAAAACTCGCATGAATGGACCGTCGTCTGGGCAAGACGTTTTTGTTTAAAACGCCAAGACTTAAGTTGACTGCGACGGCGACGTCGGCAGCGATCGCCGACTAAGTACGAGCGGCTTTCAAGCTGAGCCGATCGTTCAGTTTCGCGTAGATGTATCTGTATCTGTGAGATACGCGAACCGCACAGAGTGCTGCAATCCTCGCCGCTGTTCAGATTTAAGGTAACAGAAATTTGGCAATTGGCTAAAACGCATTCGCAGTCGAGGTGGGTTTCTCCTCTGTTGAGTTTTCCTTTGGTCAGCAGGTAATTGGACGGATGGGAGTCGGGGATTTTTTTTCGCATTTATGCTGAGTCACCTGTACTTTGGCTCGCCTCTCTTGTTGACTTTACTTCGCTTTATCGCTTTTTACCGCCGCTGTGGGTTCTAGTTAAGTGAACTTGACGCCGTTTTATAGCTTCCTCAGTATTTCCGACTTTTGGGGTTTTTTGAGGGATATGCGGTGCGGCGTCTCGGAAGGAGATGCCTTTTACTCAGGATTTTACACAGAGAGAAATAATATTATATAATGAAGAAGTTTTTTTGAATAAATTACTACTTAATTTGAAATTTTTTTTACTTTTTATTAATTTCTTTCCCTGCACTCACGATAAAACCAAGGCTAATTTCGAATGGATGATCACAACCGAAAGCCATACTTTATCAATTACAAATAATAAACCCGAATTATCTACCTTGAAGGCAGTGGTTGTGAAAAGCTCCCCATCTGCCATAAAGCCAAGTGGAAAATTTTCCAGAGCGCGCAATTGTTTTTATGGGGTAAGTAAACTGCCCAGATGAGGGGCTTGACCACCTCGTCTGGACTGCTAATTCCCCCAGTATTCAGACCGATTTAGCAAATACAAATCTGCGATCACGCACTGACGTCATAGTAATACCTTTTGTTGATCTCACCTGACGGGATCTGAACTCTTCAATTAGACTTGGGACCTGTATGCAGATAGAGGTTGCTTTTACGGTCAAGAACTTGGTCATAAATTCATTGGAATTGATTAATTCCCACTTGGATGAAGGACATCGGCATGCTGAATCGATCATAACTTTCTTAGGCCATAAATACCGACGGGTAATTAGCATGGAATTCTAGTAGCTAGTCAGTAGCTATTTCATTGGGATAGCTTCGGCTCCAGTGATGATGATGATAGATGACAGCGATTTGCTTACTTTAGATTTCAGCACATTAAGTAGCATGACCGGCACCGGAACTGCTCTTTTGTCGAACAATTTGCCGCCACAAAGGAAGTTCCCCGCAGTTCAATGCGATCCCAGTGGGTCAAAATCTACAAGCACTCGAAAATCCTCAAGTGCTCGGCAAACTGTGTAGTCGGAAATAACTGCGGCTTACCGTTGACACAGTTACCCAGTTACCGGCCAAGGATGCGAATGCAGTTACCTGGCCCAAGAGACCTTAATCTAATATGAACAACCGGCTCGAAGGCTGCCGTTGACAAGAACGACTTAATTGCAGTTGTGAAACACTAACTAAAGCACAACAAAATGTTTTACATTTGACAGCGATAAGTAAAGACCGCGACACATGTTATGGGACAAGTTGCGGTCGTTTTTGTACAGCCAAAATTTTAATTTATATTGTTTATAATTATAATTGCCAGCATTTTGCGGAAAAGGCCACGGGGGACATTAAAAGTATTCAAACTGCCTCGGCAGCCGCTCCACTTGAATGGCAAGAGGAATTTACCTTTTGAATGACTTAAGTCTTTTTTACAGAGGCCAGTGGATATACTCATCGCAAGTTCAAGTTTGCCAGACTTTATCACTCCGAGTCCGAGTTAAATGGGTGATTAGTTAACGGCACGTTCGATTTAAGTGCCCTGCGATAGAGATCTTAACTGCATGATCATGTTCGGTACTTGGTACTGAGATCAAAAACACAAGACTGTCAAAAAAGGTGGTTTTGACAAAACAAAAATGACTAACTATCAAATTATGTTCTTTGTTTTTCAGCAGTGTCTAATTACTTGAAAGGTAATAAATATTATCAAACATAACCGTTCTTAAATTTTCTATCATATAATGTATCATTTTAAAATGGACAATACAATGTTGCATATTTACAATCTTTAATAATTTGGGTGTGGAAATGTGTGAAATATTTTGTAATATTGGTATAATGTCATATCCATAAAGTGTTATGGTTTTATAGTTGTTATGTTTGTAATTACCTACTTTATAACTAACAAATATTAAAGGTCCGACTTCTACTCAACACTAAACTGATATCGTTTCAGGGAAATTATCACACGTCATTTAAGTTTGCCCACTAGAACTTTCTACCTTTGGGATTGCTTCCTTAAAATTATAAAAACCCATTCTCACCCAATAGTTAGCAAGTTCGCAAACGTTACGCCAAATTCACATATCAACTGTTGGGCCAAGATTAAACTGCAATTCGCGCACTTCAAGCTGGCCAAGCCCCAGTACTGGATGGCCCTTTTGTATGATTCCCGCCAACTTTTTATTTGTTTGCCAGACACTCGGCACTAACTGCTGGTTAAACAGGGGTAAGGGCCTGGATTTATGTGAATATCGCACTCGGTGATCTTTAAAGTACGTCTGGAATGATATGAACTATGAACCTCAGACGCCGTTTGTGTGTTTTCAGTGTTTTGATCTCGAAGAGGGTGTGACCAGAAAGTGACACCATCCTTCACATTGAAAGTTGATTCACCTGAACGAAAACAGGTCTCGAGTGTCGCTATCCAACCTAGAGAGGTTACTACAAAACCCTGCCTAAAACCCAGCCAGAAAGATGGAGATTGAGAAGATCAAACGGCGTCTCATTGCCAAGCGAATCGGAAATCAGACAGCACGAGCCAGACCCATGAAATATGACCTAGCCGAAACAAAATATGCGCAGTGCTGGCTGTGGCTGGTTATGACTGTAAACTTATTGCCAAAAAGATGACGTGGAGTGCAGAAATCTTTACATATCCATTAATTCAATTATTCACTGCCCGCTGGTAAACAGGCTTGCAAAACGCTGCCTTCCAAGGGCCATAATTCACAGACGACTGGCCTAGAAGCCGTCGTAGCCCGAGGAGTTGGCCCATCTAGCGTTTTAGCCTACTTTATGTACTCTTATGGTATGTTTCCTTCAATCGCCGCCTGAAGGACAACGCAGGGTTCTGCGCAATCGTGGCCAACACTAAGCCGAGTCAGCCCCAGCATACAATTCTCTTTATTGGGGCCAAGAAAATGAAAAGTTTTCGTCTTGCTGTCGGAGGCGTTGAAATGGAAATAATTACCCGCAGACTTTGTGTTTTAATTTGCGGAAAATTCGGGGATTTTTCATTTCAGTTTTCATTTCAATTAATTGCGGCCCAATGGAAAGTGGTAATGCAGGAAAAAAAAGGCGTGGGAAAATAAATAAATTAAAAACAATAATAATTTATTGATTATTATATTTACTTTTTATTTCTTAATAATTAGTAATAAAATGTAAATGAGTTACATATAATAATCAAATATTAAAATATTCCAAAAAGAAATGTCTAAAATTACATAACATTGTACTGTTAATCACATAATGGATTTATGTTAACGGTAAACTAAAACCTGCATACTTTTAGGAAGACATGCAATTTCCAATAGGAAATAAACTCTGCAGATTAAGATTATTGAATTACATGTATTAACTCTTTTGTAACCGAGCAAGCCGTAGTACTTAGTTCTTAACTAACATATATTTTCTACAGAAAACCACCGCCCTTATTATCAACCTGTCAGACGATCTGGAAACAAAACAAGGTTCCCGCAGTTGCCCCACCACTGACTTGCCTCCTCATTAATTTCCAACCAGATTTCCACTGCAATTAACAATTACTGTCAAGGCCACTAATCTTGCAGTTTTTATTGGAATAATAATAGGGGTTTATAGGGGGGTTTTACTGCGATCGCATTGCGGAAAGCTCCTCTTCGTTTACAGTTTAATTGATCCAACTGTAAACTAACTACAAATGGTCTTAAAATAAAACATTTACATTTACCAAACTGGTTTAGTTCACTGGGCTTTTATGACGTCGGACATTAAAGTACTATAGTTGCAATGGGCGAGACAGACACCAAACAGTAAAGCAGCCATAACTTCAGGTCAAGAGCTCTTCTGACCTCGGTTCACTTACAGCTGGTTAAGGGTCAACAAATTGCGGCAAAGCCAGTTGTATTTATTGCAGTTTTTTTTGTACCGCATTCAATCAATTGTCATTCAGGTTGATCGATATATGCACCTCACTTACTCCTGGCAGGTCCTTGCCTGCGATGACGATGATAAACTCGCTCATTGCCTGCTATTTAATTATGCAACAGTTGCCGCTTGATTATCATGCGATAGTTTTTTGATAATTCTGCCAGTCACTGCACTTAATTAACTGAATAACTCTTTTTATTGCTTGTTTTCAATAAATTGGCTGTTTTTTATAATTTTATATGCATTTCAGAAATTAAATCATCTGGTTGTCTACGCACAAAGACTCGAAAACGACTGAATGGCCTGATAAACGTGAAGAACGTCAGCAGCCCTTGGTTTACTCAATTCCAGATTTATTTTCGCAAAATCAGGAGCGGAGTAAGGCTCTAGGAATCAAATCTGTAACAAAAGTCTTTAAACTAGTAGGAGAATATTTTTAAAAACAAGTAATAATTATTATGCAATGTAATTTCGCATGTATCAAATTTAATTCATAATAAGAAAACGAAAAATTATTTTTGTAATCAAACATTTTAAAGGCGTTTTGTGACCCTGCTCCGCTCCTGATTTATGAAGCTCATTTAATAAGTCTTAATTGAACTGAGCGGCTGACCTGTTGGCATGCGTTTGACAATGTATATAGAAGCATACCAGACATAAATTCGGAATTATGCGTGGAGATGGAAACAGAAAATTTAGTGCTCTTTTATATGCTCGCAGTAGTAA